ATTTGGGAAGAAGCATTCTACCGTCTCCGTCTTCTTTCTAATAGGCACACATGCTCCAATAAACGCACTCAGGTCTGTCATAAAGTTGTAGATTTCTGTCTGCAAATCAAGCCTCACAACTTATGGGAAGGCTGTGCTATGATGTTATGTCATTGGAGAATATATGCACAAAAGGAGGATAAGATCCCGTGTTGCCAAGTCAATTCTCAATCTCCAAGCAACCCATCCATTGCTATCATGCTCTAATATGTTTTAGGCAAGGAATATATGAATGATCTGCTACAGAAATTCAAAATGGCCAAATCTGTAGTTAATAGATCACACGTGAAGCATTTGCAAGAGTAAAATTTGCTTAGCTAATTGATCTGAACAGGTGATTCACATCATTCATTTTTCTACAAAAACAAGATTCTTATTCCATTATGCATGTGCCTCTATATTCCAGACAGGCTAAATATATAGCCTTTCTGAAGTGCTCCAAGATGAAGAGCACACATCAATTGTAGTATAGCAAATAGGTTAGGATGTTCCAAGATATGTTAACCATTTTCCAGAACTGAATAAAGAACAGGCTCTTTTCTACCTTTTTGCCAGGGAGGGTTTATTGCCACAGAACATTTTTGCAATTCTGGTATATAATTTAGTTTCAATAAAAAAAGTTTTCCCATGATGTACAGTGTAACGCCCCAATCTGTAGTCAATTTTCAGTATTAATTATCCAAATAATAAGAATAAAGTGAAGCTCTACGTTCGTCCGACATCCGTCCATCTGTCCGTCTGTCCAGAAGACAACTCAATGACTAGTCGGCGGATTTTCTTCATATTTGGTAGAAAGGTGGATATTGGTAAATATTTTTACCCCACAAAAAAAATGTCCAAGATGGCCGCCACTTTAAAAAATATAAAATAAATAATCCTTTTGATTTGACTAATGTCTACCCCCTGATCAGACTGTTTAGAAAAATAAAATATTACTATGCTCAATATCAACTTCAGAATGCAAAAATTAATGCGCTCACAAACTGGCATAGGCAAGCCCCATCTTCATCGGGTGAGATCACAGTCTCCTATCAGTTTCTTTCTAGACCTTTCTTTGTAAGGCATGGCAGAGATGGTTCAGAATGCCCCATCTCATAAACATAATACATGAACATTTTTGAAGTAATTAAATGTTTCGATCTAACCCTAAATGATTACATGAACATTGAATGGACATACTGGACAGTAGCCCCTTAGATACATTTCTATCCTATAAGATTGTAAGGATTTTTTTTAGTCCAGCATAGAGACTCCTATTATTGGATCATGGAACTATATGTTGAATATATTTATTTATCTTATCTTCAATCATCGAATGGGCAAATATAATCCTAAAAACTCAAAAATATGAAATAAATTTGATATAACTGAAAATTAATTTTAATCCGTGTACAAGGGCACATTTTGGTACATAATACTGTTAGTATGTTAAGAGGGCATTGTTCAAGTATCAACTTTTTCTACAACTAAAACTTACTTTTCTCTTTTTCAAAAAGTGGTTTATTGAAATTTATGTTTATATTAGGGCATGTAAAAATGTAAACATGATAGACCTATTGAATTAGGTTAACAAGTCCCATGTAACCTTGACATATCAATTGATCTCAAAAAGTTATTTTTGGTTTTAATGTTTATAATATTAAATGCAAGTCATGCTATACTACATCAGCGTCAAGATTTAGTGACTAAAAATTATGGCATTTTTAATGAGATATTTAGATTTTTTTGCAGAATTCTTTTAGACCCACATAATGTTCATTAATGATTTTGAATAAGGTGTCTAATATTTTAATTCTGTAACAAGTGTAATTCTAATCAAAATTTAATCATTTTTGCTTTGAGATTAGATTTGTTGACGTAGGGGGATCAAGATACAGGTCCAGGGTATTACACAAAACAAAATAAAAAGGTTAAATCAACATTATTTTGATGTTTTGCCAGAAAAGAGGGCTGGGGCAATTTTGAAATTAAATATACTTTATGACGATATTGATAATTATTGATATTGCGCATGTTTGTATAGCTATCTTTCAAAAAGGTTATTTGATAATTATTTTAAAATTAATAAACAGCAATCTACTTCACGGTGTATAACCCAAACGCTCCTACATGCACGACGGAGCGTTACATTTACGCGGAAACGCTCCGGAGCGAAATAAAATGGCGGCTAATGAAGATTCCACTATGACCGTAAGTATTGTTTCTCTCGTTTCTCTTACATATCATATGTAATGGTGAAATATTATGTACCATTCGATGAACAATACCGTGAGCAAAGATCTTATTTATTCAACTTCTGGTGGTAAACTGTTATTTGCTTCATCAAAGCTCCGTAGTGTAGATCGAACGAATCTGAAGATGACGTTTTGACCACAAATTACGAATTAAACTAGCATTTCTATGAAAACGTTAATCTTTCTGTTAAAGTAGTAGGTCACAAACTCGTATATTCTCATTTCCTAAAATCCCAGTCCAAATCCATTACTTGTTCTTGAGAAATCGCTTGTTTTCCTCGAAACGCTCCGTCGATTTAGAAGACAATTTTAGAAACGCTCTTACCATTTTGTTTTGATATCATTTTCAGATTATTAGAGAAGAGTCCCGAATCGAATCTATCTCTTAAAAACGTGTTGTACTTGTTAGGCAAATTGAAACATCTGAACCTGGTGGTGCTAAACGTGCAACTAGCTGATTTAAGCCTATACATTAGATGATGTCATGCCTACATATGTGCTAAATCATAAAACTATAGAAAAAAACGAAAATTTATATGTGAATTAATCTTTCTTCTATTGATGCCAAGGGGTATAATAGATCTTTTCTTTCTCTTCCTGAAAAGGAAAGGCAAGCTATATATTTCCTAAACTGATCTAGACTACCGGAGCGTTTCCAGTTCACTGTGTTAATCAGATCGGAGCGTTTCTTGAATATGAGAATGTCATCATTTTTAAGACTGGATTTTCGGTCATCAAATCACTATTACCATAATGTATGGTGCGTTGAAGCATTGGAATTTGACTAAAATATACGTTGGTGCTCTAATCTTGGCTCAACTAATCACATGTATCGACAAAAGGGGTTTTGACCGGTAGAATGACAAATACGTTTTTGAATTTTGATAACTATACTGCTTCGTATAGCTCTTCCTAATTGCTTCAAACGTCAACAGCCAGCCACGTACAACATGAATATCACACCCATCGAATGGTATACTCGAAATATGTAACTCATACCTCTTATTCCCATTATTGGTGAAATCGTCAGACGGCTCATCATTCCCGCCAGCCAGTTTTCCTACACCGGAGCGTTTCTTTGTTTACTTTCAGTAATGAAACGCTCCGTCGTGCATGTAGGAGCGTTTGGGTTATACACCGTGTACTTGGATTACTAAAGTAACATTAGGTTCAGCTGGAAAGTAGCATTTTGGTAAAAAATTGCTAGCTATACCTGCACATGTAATTTTCTGGTAGAAAATTAAGTATGAAGGCATGTGTGTATTTCCTTGCTTTTTTCAGGAAAGTATCGTTACATTGTCTACTTTTAGTAAACCTGGAAACAGGCCAATGGTAGCCCCTGTGTTGTCTGGGAACTTTGAAAGAAAATTTGGAAAAATAGAAAGTGTGAAATATCAGAATTTCATGGAGTTCCCATTGAACTCCTACCAGATATACTAAAAGAAACAATGTAATGATACTTTCCTGAAAAAAGCAAGGAAATTAAGACATGCCTTCATACTTTATAGTGTACCAGAAAATAACATGTGCAGGTATAGCAATATTTTACCAAAATGTTATTTTCCAGCTGTACCTTAACAAATGAACAAAGAATCAAATTAGAAATAGAAAACATTGAAGATTTGAATTGAAAATACCACTTTTACAAGAACACAGACTTCAGAACTCAGTTAAAGCCTTTGTGGAACATTCTGATACTCATAACAGGACTGAGAAGAAATGAGATGTCATGGATTATCATGATGATTGTCGAATACGATGATAGAAAGGTGCACATTTTTCGAGTCAATCATAAAATATTAACCTTGAAGTTGTAGAATCTGATTGATTGCTATTTGTTCAGTTCTTAGAATGAAGGGTTTATCATGTTAATATCAGACTAACATTTCTTGGCACTTGTGTAATTCTACTACTCAAATAGGGTTTAGGGAATTCTCATATTTTGCAGTAGGCCTTCTCATATTTTACAGGGACTTCTCATATTTTGCAGGAACTTTTCATATTTAGCAGGGATTTTTAATATTTGAAAGTAGGGGACTTGTCATGTTTTAATTTATAATTTATTTAGAAAAATGCTGTTTCATCACCTTATTTATCTAATATACTAGCCTCTCACACTTAAGCTAAGTACTGTAGTATGATTAGTTAGTGACATATCTAGCAATTAAGAATTAAAGGGCCCATGCAAAAAGTTTGTTACATATGGATTAAGGGTGGGGGGGGGGGTACTTTTGGATCTTGAATTTAGTACGGAGCAGAAGAGCAAACTCTTGTTATCCCACGTAGATCTACCAGTGCTATGTGATAAAAAATAACCTCATACATGTATGAGTTAGAACCACTTTAAGTGGTGACATTTCATTGAATAATTCTATTAAAGGTCTAGTTTTTAAATCTTTTACAGATTTTCTTTGTAAGATAATAGAAATTGTCTAAAATAACATGTATTTATGTTGAGTCAAAAACAATCAGTTCATTTCTCCAAACAGGAGAGCCATCTTTTATGTAAATTCAAATGCTGTTACCCACAGGGCCAATGATGCTTTGGCTTAGGCCCTGTTTATGCTGTATCTTAACACTGTTTAAATAAAGGAACCATAAAAACTAACTAACCACTTTAAGTCTCTAAGATTGCGTGATACATAAATCTGGTTTCCAGCCTTACAATCTATACTACAGAACACATCAAAGTTTTCAATTTACTTTCAGAAAATGATCAATCCCCTACTTGAAGCTGTCAGCGTGGTAACTGAAGGGTCTTGCAATGTGATATTGATAAAGTGCCGCATGCCAGTAGACCACACTGGCCAGGTAAGAAACCACACTATTTACAATTTTACACCTGTAATTTACTTTGATAATTGATGATATTATGCATAGACTTGAACTTGAATAAGACATTGTTTGTTTGATTAACATCTCACACAGATGTTTTTTTTAATGTTGAGATTCATTATATTGCTTGTATAATATTTAACACTGGACCTGGACAAACATAGAAAATATCTAACTCTCACCTTTATATAATTTATATTATTATGTTATATATCGGGAAGTAGAGTTATGGGATATATAAGAGTTATATACTGGGGGGCTTTGAATATGAGGTTTATCCAGAGAGAGATATCTACTTAAGGGATCGTAGCAACCAAAGAGATAGATAGAGGTAGATATGCACATCTCGTGAAGAATAAACCCCATTGCCAAACTGACCGTACACAACTGCTTTTTCTAATACCCAGTAGAGTTTTCTAAATTTCACTTCTTTCAATTTTTTTTGTTTGGGATATGGATATTCTGGATATGGAAACCTCAAAATCAGGATATATTACAGAATACATCTTACCAACTTATCTCCCAAAAACTCTACTGGCATAGGATAAATAAGGGTTATGTACTGGGAGGTTTTGGATATGGGGTTTATCCAGAGGGAGATATGCATATCTACCTGAAGGACCAAACCGACCGTACATAACTGCTTTATCCTATACCAAGTAGAGTTTTCAGGGGCATATGGCCATTTCAATAGTACAAGGTGTAAAAATAAACAAATCATTCATATGGAAAGTCATTTTCTTACATTTCCACTTTTACATTTTAAATACATTGATTCATTAGGATAAATGTACATATACATTATACAAAGTTACTTATGGTGCAAAACCTGTTCTCTACAAAATTCACATATGAAATTATTTAAGTTATGCCTTACTTTAGACTTCATTATGGTCATTATTCAAATATCTACAATGTTATTCTACAATACATTAACTTTGTATATGGTCATGTTTACCTTTTGATTTCTGTATATATACATAGTAAATGGCTTATTGATGATGGTGATTCAAATTCTATAGGTCTTACAAAGACTTTTTAACCTTGGCATTGCCATGGGGGAGTTGTGCATTTTCTAAAGAAATTTCTTAGAAATTGTGCTAAATGTGTAAATGGCAAATATCTATGTTGTACTCTCAAGCTAATCAAACTCCTTGAAGTGATCAGATTGCACCAAATCGCATCTTCAGGCAGGTACTGATAAACAGACATTTAATTTGAAGGGCCTTGTTTCAGTATAGGAACAGCAGCTATGTAGAACAATAAAATATATCATGAATTGCATCATCTTAAAGTCTCATCTTTGACTTAAATTTCGGTTTGATTGACCTAAATGGTTTGATTATAAGAAAGTCACATTATAACTGGTCTGTACTCTGTAATGCCATTCTGCACTGGAGCTAGTCATTGATCCATACATGGGCTTTTAATTAGACTAGTTGAAAGCCCATGATCCATATCATTAAATTTTACTTTTACTGCCATGTACTCTTATGATTAACTACCATGGATATGATGGGATTCAGTTAATTCTTAGACAGTTTTTTTACCAGCAGATGAGCTTTAAAAATATCAAGCTGATGCAATTCTTGAATGACAAAACTGATGAATGGGATGAGAGAAGTAATGTTGTTTTTATTGCTACCTTAAGGTGGAACAGGTACCAGTAGATTGAACAAACTGTTGAAAATGGATAGATAAATAATCTGTTAAATAGAGTGAATATTATGCTGAGGTTAAGGTAGTCTTAATAGAATGAACTACATTCAAACCTTAAGGTAGTCTCAGAAGAGTAAATAATTAGTGACAACCATATGCATTCCAAGTGGAATGAATAATCTACCAATCTTAAAATAGTCAATGCTAACCTTAAGGTAGTACCAGTAAGAGCATCCTAAGGTAACCCAAGTAGACAGAGTGGTCTGCTAACCTTAAGGTAGTCTGAGTAGTATGAATATTCTGCCAACCTATTAAGTACTTAACCCATCCCATTCTCATCTCTTCTTTTGGTGTGAAACAGGCATAATTCAAAGCTCTCAAAATGTCCATATATATTAACTTTATATGCAATATAATGGCTTCATCAGGGAAATTGGATGCTAGTCTCATTCAGGGTCAAACCTGTTTTAAATATTCCCGCCGGGATGATGACGTAATGACTAACCAATCAGGGCAGCACTTGCCCTATACTTTTGACCAATCAGAGACTGAGGGGACAGGATTAGATAGTGTTGGTTTTCAACAATAGGAAGACACAACAAGATTTCATGACTATTTACACAAGATCATGTCAAGGCAATGTAAGATTTTAAATGTGTTAAACGTGACCTGCACTGTAGGAATATATTGCAGCCAAATGCATAGACCCAAAGAAGTTCTACTCGTTCATATTCTGCTATTTTCTTGCATCTGTATGTTAGACTGATTGATAAAAAATATTAATTTTAATGTCAAGTAGTTTCGCTTATCTTTATTCTATTTATAACATTTGAGTTACCTTTTTTAAAAGGTCAGCAATTTGAAAAATAGAAAAATAGTAAAGTAGTCAAGCAGAGCGTTCAATTGCCCTGCCTTTATTTTTCAAAACCAATAATTTTTGGGACTAGCTATATACCTATATATTCCTTATCTCAACGATTTAACATTCATCTGCCTTAGAAATACTTCCGCAACTAAAGCGCATTGATTAATTAATTAATTTGATACTTATGCAAACACTTGATGCAACAATATGTCATTGATTATACAAGACCGTGTACTTGAACTCTCTGACCTTGTACGATTTGGACTATATTTTGGCTTTTATACTCTACAGTAAAACCTGTCAAATCTGAACATCTGTGGTACTGACCAAAAGTGTTCAGATTAGCAAATGTTCACATTTCAAGGTTTTTATGTCCCCACCACATAGTGTGGGGCCATATTGTCGGCCTAGGCGCGTCCGTCCGTCTGTCTGTCCGTCTGTCTGTCCGTCTGTCCGTACGTCCGGCAGTTTTCTCCAAAACCGCTACAGATATCACCTTCAAATTTTCAGGGATAACTTATGAGTGCATACAGATGTGGATGAAAAAAAATTAGCTCGATACCTACTTCCTGTCGGCCATTTTGAAGTCAAATGCTAAAATCCTTGTCTGCAAACTTTAAGAAAAACTGCTTCACAGTTGCTTTTAAAACTTTAACATCTTGTTCAGCTCACTTCATTCTAGATCTGATTAGGTTTTGGACCTGCTAGCTCAGTCATGTCAGCCATTTTGAATGTCTTAAGAAAAGTTAGCGCGCGATAATACTTTGTATCATATTGAATGGTGTTTTTGAGTTTTCATACTTCAACTATTTAGTAGCTTTATAAAGAATTTCAGATGTACTTTGCTGTAAAAGCCTACTTTATTGTTAACAGTAGTTATATGTGATAATTTTGTAAAAAGAAATCAGCAAAAACTCATAAGGACTTTTTTATTGTCGGCCATTTTGGATTTTTCGGTCCTAAAATCTTGTCTGTGAAGTCTTGTCTGCGCGTTTTCAGGTGAACCGTTTGGTGGATCAATTTCAAATTTTCAGGGATGATTCTTAGTATAAAAATCTAGATCTCATCAGTTTTTTGGCATTCTGGGTAAATGTCAAGGCAGCCATTTTGGATTTTCCGTCCTAAAATCTTGTCTGTAAAGTCTTGTCTACTCGTTTTCAGGTGAACTGTTTCGTAGATCAATTTCAAATTTTCAGGAATGATTCTTAGTATGAAAATCTAGAACTGATTAGTTTTTTTGCATTCTGGGTAAATGTCAAGGCAGCCATTTTGGATTTTCCGTCTTAAAATCTTGCCTGTAAAGTCTTGTCTACGCGTTTTTAGGAGAACGGTTTGATAGATCAATTTCAAATTTTCAGGGATGATTCTTTGTATGAAAATCTACATCTGATTACTTTTTTTGCATTCTGCGTAAATGTTAAGGCAGCCATTTTGGATTTTCTGTCCTAAAATCTTGTCTGTAAAGTCTTGTCTACCCGTTTTCAGGTGAACCGTTTGGTAGATCAATTTCATATTTTCAGGGATGATTCTTAGTATGAAAATCTACAAACAGATTAGTTTTTTGACATTCTTAGTAAATGTCAAGGCAGCCATTTTGGATTTTCCATCCTGAAATCTTGTCTGTAAAGTCTTGTTTACATGTTTTCTGGTTAACTGTGTGACGGATCAATTTCAAATTTTCAGGGATGGTTCTTAGTATGAAAATCTAGAACTGACTAAATTTTTGGCATTCTGGGTAAATTTTAAGGTGGCCACTTTGGATTTTCCGTCCTCAAATTGTGTTGGTAAAGTCTTGTCTACTCATTTTAAAGGATAACCATTTCACGGGATCAGCACTTGGTGGGGACATTTTGTACACATTTGTGTTCTTGTCTTAACATGTGAGTCTATGGGAGAGAACAAAATTTTGATCGAGAAAAAAAGTATTCACGTTGAGATGTGTTCAGATAAGAGAGGTGTTCAGATAACAGGTTTCACTTTATATTGAATGTAAGGCCCTTTAAAGTGAGCCTAATTTCTTAGTCTGATACCATTTGTTGCCATTTAAAAGGGACTAGAAAGGATAAAGATTAGCCAATTTCTTGCTTTCATCATTGTATCACTGGTGATTCGCTCACTTACGCTGGTTACCGAAATGGTTCGTTTCGGTAACAAAATGTTGGCACGTCGAAGGTACGATTTTAGGTCAGAAGACAACAGAATCGTCGATTTAATTCCTCACTTAAGTTACAGAAACAGTTAAAAGTGCAGATCTTAACTGTTTTTCGAAATACCGTTCCTGTAACTTAAGTGAGGAATTAAATCGACAATTCTGTTGTCTTTTGAACTATTTGGTGAAAGTCAAAAAGGGAACATCCTCTTTTTCTAATGAATTAATTTGGCATTTCTGCATTTTAAATCTTCAATAACTTCTATATTTGATCAGCTCAATCTAGGTATTTGCAATTATGATTGCAAGGAAAACATCAGGCCATGATTGAATGGCTTCTTATTCTAGCATTTTACAAATTCCATTCGTTATATTCCTTTACATTATATTAGCTTGTGTACTTTTGAAAATTATTTTGTCAATGACCTTACCTACATTTCACCTGATGTTACCCCTGGCAAGGATTGTTCAACAAAAATTGATCCATATTAGATTTTCAAGGATACCAGACTGATCTATTGGTATTTTCTCTCATGGGGAAACTTCCCTTTGTTAATTGAACATTAATGTTGATTTATTAACCATGGCAACTTTATCTGTATGGTAAAGTTGATTACGAGAAATAAATGGAAATTGTACAAAAATAGTGAACTGTTATGTTTTCATGATAAATTATTTACTAAATTCAGGGTTGTTTACTTGTTTATGTTTATGCCCTAATTTGGCAAGACTACTTTATATGATGCCGATGTGAACCAAATAAACAACAAACAGGCAACAACAAATGATTTTTAAAGTGCATTTTTTATCCTTGTCATTATAGATTGCTGTTTTGTGGTGGTTCAAGAGGGGGGGGGGAGGTTAGGGTTAGGGGGTGTAAGTGAACCTCCTTGGCCAAACAATATTTTAAATTCATGCAGTATTTTACCATTCTGTGCACCTTTTAAGTGATTTTGGGCTAAGTTGCCAAATGTGAACCCTCTGGAAATATTTGAAAAGTGAACCCCAGAGACTCAAGTGAGAGTACCTCACTTGAGTCTCAAGCCAACAACTTGTTTAAGAGATCACTATATTGGGTTCACTCTGTACTCTAGAAAACAGTTCGCACTCAATAAGTTTTAATTGTTATTCAAAAATATTTTTGAGAACTGAATTTGAAACAGGATATTTGACAAGTGAGACGTTACATTGTTTTGTCTGGGATGAATATCAACAAAATGTTCCATACTTAAAAACATGTAAAATGTTACAGTTTATTTTGCTATAGTCGGAGTGAAACTTAACTGACGTAATGAAACTGTGCTTGCGAAACCAGTGAATAACAAGTCAACCAATATAGATGGAGCTATGAACTTAAATTAAAAAAATAGCAAAAACTATGAACTCAAATTCAAAAAATAGCAAAAAGTGCTCAAATGCATATTGCATTTTGTATTGTTAAGTAAAATTTTATGTATGTATGTATACATAGCATCCTATGCAAGGTCAGAATACAGACAGCCTTGGAAAAGGTAAGGGGTAACTAATTGACCTTACATGGATAACTTGTTGTTTGTACATGTGATGAAGGCATGTACATGTACATTCATGTTGTTTACATTGCAATCGTATGATTAGACCACAAATCAATATTGTCTTTTTTACATTTTTTTAATTCACATTTTATATTATATTACACTGTCCAAAGTATTCACGTAAATTATTATGAAATAACAATTGATAGCTTTTGATAAAATTCTGAAATAGTGAATATAACATGTGTGGAGTCTACACGTGGAAAGTAAATAGGCTTATATATAGTACCTTATATATTATGTAACATGTTATTTCTTACCCTACTTTCAATCTCCACTGGGGTGGACTGACTTTTTCACATCAGCCCTTAGCGTAGGAATTCATTCTGTGTTTTCATTAACCATAAGACTAAATTCTGACATTTTTGAGAAATCTGTCTCTTTATTGAGATTTAAGGTAAGTGTGTACATTTGGAATTTTTATGCTATCCTAACTAGAGTGACGGTCAAATGTTATTTTCAGGAACACATAACTCATTCCATATACAGTTTACATCTTTTAGTTTTGCACAAGAGCGGTGAAGATGACATTTTTTATAAAATGTTTAAAATGAGAAAATTCAGTGACCTTATCATTTTTCTTTGAATTTTACACTTTCTTTCATCATATATTTCACCCTTGGTATACGCAGCTAACGAAAATTGACCGGTACGTGTCAAAAGCTGGACCGGTACGTTAGCTGCGTATACCAAGGGTGTATTTGGCATTTCTCTATGAATCTGTGTAATATAACCTACTCAGAAATATTGCTATTTCTACCCAGAAATATTGCTATTTCTACTCTATGTTATCATAACTATATATTAGCCTCACCAAGATAAAAAAAAAACATTACCATTGATTGCCCTTACAGATATTTTCAATTCTCTTTGAAAAGTTGTTTTTAATGTTAAGGATACCACTCCTACTATTGAAATGATCAACCTGTTTGATGTGTATCAAATACTGTATTTAAGATTGCAAATATTAATGTAGATATTGGCATGTTATTTTGTGAAGGTATTGACTATATATTTTCATCCCTTAAAGGAAATCTTGATTGCTTGTTAAAATCTTTTACCTCTGCCCCCCCCCTCTTTTTGATGGGGTCAGGTCCCAATAGCTCATCTTATAAAGCCCCTCTCCTTAATGATCATATTTCTAGAAAAAATAAATGCTGATCAAATATTTAAAGATACCTCTAGAAAGATTTAGTTGGATGACTTGCAGTTTTCATTTGGCTTTATACTCATTGGTATATTAACATTCTGAGTCTTGTAAGCCTATTTTCTCATATGTACCACTGAACATGCCATAGGATGTAAATATACTGGAATAGAATAGAATATAGAGAGATAAAGACCTGTACTTTTTACCAAAGATCCCATACACCTGGACTTATGATATATGGATTTGTGAGAAATATTTATATAGTATGATGCATTGATTGGATTATGAAGATCACTATTGCAAATAATTATCAAGTCAAGTACATAGACCTTGAGACTTTAGAAGATAAGAACTAGATATTGTGGCCTCTAGGTATGTGCATAGGTAAGTAGACTAATTCCTTGTCTCATTTCGTCTTAAATTAATTTAGAAACTTGAAAGGTTCTGTGTTCTTACCGTATTCTCTCCTGTACTCTCCTGTATAGATGCACAACTGCAATAAAAACTGCCCCCCCCCTTTTCTGGAAAAAACTTTGTTATATGAGTGCCAAAAATCAAGAAAAAAATCTCATTGAGAATATATAATTTATGACATAGCCTTTGGAGAATTTAGTTGAAACCCTGTGCATTTAATTGAGAGAATACGGTAGGTGAAGACAAACACAAGAGAGATAGAATTCAAATTCAGGCTGTCAGAGACAGGTCAGTCGTTATATATGCATATGTCTATCAAGAGAAAGTAAACCAGCATAATTTGTTTTTGTATAAACATCTGCATTGCATAGCTATAATTAGAAAGGGATGCATTGTGCATAGGAGTCTAAAGTTTTATTTTAGAAAATTACAAAACTGGATAAATATTGCTCGACAATATCAAGATTTGTAGAAAATCATATGTAATATATGTATATAATATACTGTATATGTAAAGGGAAATTCAGGGGTGAGTGGATAGATTACTAAAGGTAAAGATTATTACAGAAAAGAAATTAGTGTTAAGTAAGTTATGTGCATATATTTTCATAAAACTTTAATTGACAAATTACTAATTATAATATATTATAACATAGCATACATGTAGTATAATATAATTGAAATAATACATTATAATACTGTATAATATAAGCTTTGTAACTTGATAAATGCTAATACTGTACCCTCAGAGGCTAAACGTTTAATTAAATGAAAGGGGAAAAGAAAATTTTGAAATTGTTAAAAATATATAAAAAGTAACAAAAATTTGGATAAATTTTGACAGCAAAAAATCTTAAAAGAGATTTGACTTGATTCTACTGAACCAGGCTCCAAAAACAGCGTGGGAGTGAAAATTCTGGTAGAAGTTACATAATGGATCAGAACTTAAGCCAAATATAGATTATGGCTGACCCTTTTCAATACCTGTTGAATCAAGAGTATTCATTGCCACTTTAGACTTCTTTTGTAGACGATTGGAAAGTGAAACACTGTTATGGTAGAAATATTAATTTAACTTGTTGATAAGTGAAAATGGATAAGTGATTGGTAGATTTTGTGCCTAAAAACAAAGCATAGGAAAACACTTCAGCTTTATTCCGAAATAGAGATATCTCATTTTAGGAATATTAATTTTTGTATTTTAAGGAGCGAGGTGCAAACCATAGCAATGTGACGGCAGACCTTCTGTGACACTTCTGAACTTTGGTTGGCATGGCAACCACCACAATGGCTTCTCATGGACATTACATAGCAGAAAAAAGGGTGAAATACACAGAAGTAGTCGTTATAGGTGAGTTATTTGTGAATTTCTGCTTAACTAAACATATTTTCAGTGCAATTTATATTTATTGGCGAGTATGTACCCCTCTAGTTATATATTTTCTTTTAATCAAAAACTGGCAATGAATGAATATTTGTCCAAGGTTAAAGTTTTAAATAATTAAAGTGTATCAGAAAAAAAGTATCTATAACCATGCTTTGTGAAAATTCTTTATTTCTCAAAACCAAGTTTTGACCATTTAAAGCTAATATGTGTATGTACACACATGTATTGCATATCTGTATTTCAGGTAATGGTCCATCTGCACTGACGCTATCATATCTCCTGGCAGGGAACAGGTGCTATTATAATGGCAATCCGCACCCTAATGAGTTCCTGGGATACAAACTTGATGAAAATAGAGACCAATCTCTAATTGAGCAGGTACTGCTTTTTCTAAATACTTTATTGGTCCTTTTCAGTCATATATGATCCATTCCATTCAATAAGTACATATCTGTCTTTCATCGTTGATCTTAAAATTTGCTTTCATACACTCCCCTCCATAAGTTTGGCAACTGAAAGTCCCCATTCAGATCATTTATCAAATCCTCTTTATATTTGGTGATTTAAAAAATCATCAAATTTGTAATGAATTTCTGAGCTACATGTAATCTAATTTACAAACAAATTTAGGATTGAAATATTGAGTCTTTGATATGCCAATCCAATAAAAATTTCTAGTTGCCAAACTTGTGGTGGGAGTGTATGTTGTGCCATACAGAATCTTAAAATAAGTGTGAGGCAAACGAAGACCAATGGACTGAATTCCTAACACTTGTCTTCAGTCCCACTGTATTTGTGTGAGTAAATATTTGTCTGTAACATTTTGGCTATGTCTACAGAATCAGTAGTTGGCCATTGAGTTGCCTCTATTGCTTAGTAATACAGAACAATATAGAGTATATAATAGTTACATAATGTTTGTTAAGATAATCAATAATGCTGTGATAATTGATAATGAACATTATATAAACTGGCTTTCAGTTAAAGGAAACAATTAAGAATATTGATTCACTTTCATATAACATATAACATTATTTAGTATGTATATACCTCAATAAAGTAACATGTATTGTTAGTAATATACCATTGGACAGGAAGACACTTCTCTTGTGTATTATATGCCACTCACGTTTCTGAATAAAATTTTAGTAATCCTAGTACTTGTAAGTTTATGGTGTCATGTCAAGGTCATGAACTTTCATGTCACGTTCGTGTCATGTCAAGTGAAATTCATGTCATGTCAAGTGAAATTCATGTCACATGTTCTACCAAACATGTAAACAAACCAGACAATTATCTATAACCTACATGATATTCTGAATGTAGTTATTCAAAATCTTATATCTCAAATTGGCCATTGTTGACTGATTAAGGACATTGACATTTCAGAACCAATGTCTGAAATAAGTCTAGAATTTTTATTGCACTTTGAAAAAGTACTATATTGTCGTCATCTTGCGTTGATGGGCAGACATGCGGGTGGGTGGTTGGGTAGGTGAGCGCACACCGCATATATCGAATCTTGTTATGATTTTAGACTTAACTGTTATGAATGTCATGTTGTATCTCATGTGTGATTTGCGCAAGACTTTATTCCTATATTTTGATTAAGTTTTCCCTTGATATTTACAGAACAGGCATTAATTTGAGAATATTTCTCTGAAGGTGCTTATAAAACTTCATAAGAGTGTGATGTAATATTAATAAGTCATAAAATCAACAGATAAAGTTCAACATACTCTTAGATAGGATATCACAGTCGTTATGAAATTATGTTGATACAATGCCAGGAACAAAATACTGATAAATAGAAAAATAAGAATGTCAGGTCAATTCCTGAGATGCAAAAAGACGTGTGACAGAGTAACATGTGTGGTACAGAGAGTGGAATTGGCTTGTCTGAAATAGGATTTTAAGATTGGGAAACTGACCTTGGCTTTATATTTTAGTAGTTATCCAATTGATAAATATGACTACACACTGAACCTTAAATCTTCAGAATAGGTAAATTTATGATTTATAAAAGCCTTTCAATGAACTTAGGTTTCTTATTTCTTGATCTGTTTTTACACAATTCTGTAAAATTATTGAAAGCAGGATCAATATGCTAAGTCTAAGTATAAATTTGGCAAATATTCTTACTTCAGATCAGATATTTTGGATAAACAAGTATATCAAGTATTTTGCATAAGCACTAATAAATTATTTCAATTTCACAATTTCAAAAGTCATAATTGGTTTTTGTTTTATCTAAATGAGCCCCATCTTCATTTATGTGCACTGACACATCAACAAGCAAACCCACACATCATCTATACTCTGATATGAAGATTTTGAACAACCCTCGTATTTTATTTTCAGTTGAAGATTTTGAACAACCTTCGTATTTTATTTTCAGTTGAAGATTTTGAACAACCCTCATATTTTATTTTCAGGATCTCGAATATTTGAGTGCTGGACTAGAAGGGAGGTCCTCTAACCCAGTTGCAATACTTTTTGATAATCTCACACACCCAGATGCCGATTTTGGTACAGAGCTGCCATCTTTATTAGAATGGAAGAAACACGAAGAGCAGGCCATTCCACATGTTGTCTTGGGGCGGGGACCACCAGGGGGCGCTTGGCAGGTTAGTCAATAATTGTTAGCAACTTCAAAATAAATATTTTTGCTGGCATTGATCAGTTCAATATTCTTTTATTTTACTAATTTGAATGTTTTCTTATAATGTAATTGTGGCAATATCACAAAATAAAAATTTCATGAGTCCAATATTTTATAAAAACAGCCCTAATCATAATATTTGCAGGCTCGTGCAAACCCCAAAATGCTTTTACCAGGGTGGAAATATGACCTTGGCACAAGACAAATGACTGGTCTCAATAAAAATATATCCTTGTTTCAAAGTGTGAAAGCAAATTATCTAGACATGTTTTTTCAACAATGCTGTGACAACAAAATATTTTGACTGGTCTGAAAAGTGTTAACCAAGAATGTGTTTTGCACCCTGGCATAAAATGCTTATGCCACACTTATGCCTATATGCGCCAATTTTATGCATGTATTCTTTGGCATATGCACCAATTTCCTAAATGAATTCGATTCAATAGCTAGTAAATTGTCTTTCCGAAGTAGACTCGGTGATATAAGCTGAATTTTAATAGTGCATACCTTAAACTAAAACGTACCAAAACCAAATTATAAGTTTTTATTTGAATATTACAGGCTGTGAAGTTTGTTAAAGTAAAGCTATTATTAAAGATAACTACTCATGTCAATAATGGTAAAATCACAGGTTTTCATAGCCATGTAACTGTGTGTGGTAATATAAACCATAAATGTTTTTGGCAAGGCATATGTTTTCTCAAATATTTTATGAAGATGAGTACACAGCTGTTAGGTATTGTTGACAGCAGACCAATTTGATGTAAAACATGAAGTTCTTCGCTTGGTTCATAAATTTTCTGATCTACTTAAGGTTTTGTGTTAAAGGTTTGACTCCTCCAAACTGTAAATATTTCTCTATGTACATGTGTAGTTCAGTTTACAGTAAAACCTGTCTTAGTGAACACCTCTCTCTAGTGAACACCTGTCCCTAGTGGACACCCTTCCTACGCACATAGTCCACTGACTTCTGTATAAATTACCCTCTCTTTAGTGAACACCTACCTACAGTGAACGTTTTTTCTTGGCAAAAAAATGTTCACTATACACAAGTTTTACTGTATATTATTAGTCTATTCGTCAACAGTTTTGAACAAATGAAAATGAACATTCATCTAAGCTAATGCTAATATCAAATTTATGGGGGGTCTGAACTGATAATTTATACCATTGATCTTGTCTCTTGTTTTTGCCTTGCTTTTTACACCCTGTGATTCCAGAGAATTGGGTGTTATTTTTGAAATGGGTTCCGTGCTTGATTATATTAGTCATAACTACTCAATTAAACTAACTTATCAGACATCTCTACTTCTGCTGAAAAATATATTATCTGTCTTGTAGATGATGGAGGGTTCTATGCAGACATTGAGTCTTGGAAATTGGATGGAACTACCAGGTCTTCCCTTCAAACAGTGGCTTGCTGACCATAGAATGTACGTATAGAATATACAGGATGGGCTAAAATTTGGTACCCATTCTGATTGTACACTACTACAATTAGGGTAACAATATTATGGTCCACTCTGTATGGAATGTATATTTCAATATTATAGTCTATTAGATTTTATGTGCAATCTTTTCAAAAAGCATGCCAATCTTTTCCTCACAATTCTTATTGAATATTTTTTATGCAGCACTACATTTACTTAAATTGAAGGGACATCCACATTTTTAATTTTTGTAAAAAATATATGAAATGATTATCCTCAAGTCAGAGCTGTTGAAAATGGAGTGATAAGAACAGTTGAGAATAGGCATGGCATGGAATGATGAAAACAGAATGTAATGTATAAAATTATCACATTTTTCTCTAAACTTACTCTTTACCCTTTTCTCCGAAATGTATTGATTTGATTGATTCACAAAATATTTTAATAATATTTAACTTTTTTCAGAAGCACACCGGTTCTATTGAACAATAAATCAAGCAAGCACGATAGAGCCAGTATGAATGATGTTAAAAATTACTATGAGGCATACGTCAGCGAAAACAAGTTAGAAAAATATTTCCAAAACAATACAATTGTGACCTCGGTACAGCGTGTCGTAAATCGTGATGAGCATGAAATTGACTCTGAGAGCGGGGAAGTGATGTCTAGCAGTTGTAATGGTCAAATATGGGAAGTAAGGGGATACCACCTGAACGAGGAAATGTGCATGGGTTTCTGCTACCGATCACGTAACGTTGTCATAGCGACAGGTACTTACGACATTCCAAATAAACTTGGCTTACCTGGCGAGAATCAACACGAGTATATTTTACACTCCATTGCTGAACTGGAGAAAGTAATTGAATCGGGCGAATTGCGTCCAGATTCTAGTCCCCTTGCAGTTGTGGGGGCGGGACTAAGTGCGGCCGATGGGATCCTAACTGCCAAATCTATGGGTATACCAGTGAAGCATATTTGTAGAAGGCATTGCGATGACCCAATGTTGATATATAACAAACTGCCATCTGCGCTCTATCCTGAATACCATCAGGTTTTACGCATGATGAAAAATGAGGAAAAACACGAGGGTTACGAATGCTTCCCAAAGCACCGTATATTGGATCTAATGCAGGATAATAAAATACTGATATCTGGTGACGGTTCACCATGCGACAGAATTCTCGAGGTGTCCTACCTCTTGGTTCTGATTGGCTCGCGGCCTGATTTATCATTCCTGCCAAATGAGGGGAAGGATCTAGGTATCGTGCCAAACTGTGCGATTCATTGTAAACACAATCCCATTGATGTGGATCCGTATAGTTATCAAAGCGTACATGAGCCTGGACTCTTTGCGATGGGACCAATTGTCGGAGATAATTTCGTCAGATTTCTACGCGGTGGAGCTCTCGGAATAGCAAGCACCTTGTACAAGAACCAATCATCAGACAAGCTGTAATTGATTGTGGGTCCTAACAATTGAATGCAGATCCTCGCATATTATGCTGGCCCTTAGAAATATAAGCTGGTGTTTACAAAGAAAATATGGTATATCAGCATGGTTGATGAAATGGTGTACCCCATTAACATGCATAAAAGAAGGAACATACTGTATACTTCATTATATCATGTACATTATGATTTGGGCTACCGTATTTCGAACTATTTTTCTCTAATATAAAGCAAGAAGACGGGGGACATGAGAACATGCACAAGTGCAACAAAATAATTATCTGTCTCACACACTCTTAGAGGTCACATGATACTCATATTTTGCAGTGCATTTTACAAAAACATGTTATTTCATCGTGATTATTCAATGACTATGCACAATTCAAGATTAATATATAATTATGTGCAGTACAATATAAAGGGAGACCTGCATTCATGTATAATATGATTGATAGATGATCATGTAGAATACATGATTAATGTATTTTGATGTACATTACATGATTAATATACAACTATCCTATGGATACTAAATATATATGGCTATAATGGCACAAGATAATGTTGGTATGCGCTAGTGTTGTCGCGATTAATCGATACATCGCGATATACATCGCCAAAGCTGATTCTGGCGATGCATCGATGTCTGAAACAAAACATCGATGTTTTAAAAAAAATTCATTTGCTAAAAATCACCCTTTCTTATCTTATTTTGACGCAAATCGCTTAACTTTCTCATGTCTTATTTCATTTCCCAATGTTTTCTGATATTATTTCGCCTTAAAACTGTTTTAGCTAGTCGAAATGAACCATTAATCTAAAGAAAATTACTTTACTTTCATTTCACCGTTACTAGAAGTTCCCGGATGAACCAGCGTTCTGTATTTTAGTGCTTTAGCGTTCGGTATTTCAGTGCACTTTTCTCGGACTTTTTCTCGATGTACATCGCGATGTGCATCGATGTTTACGACTGAAAATTGCCGATGCATCGATGTACGATTATGGCACATCGCGACAACACTAGTATGCGCTGCTAAAGTTGTATCCAACTTATATGACCTGATATCCAATCATATTTGATGGATATTTTTCATGAGTTTTCAATTAAATAGAACAAATTAAAAAATTGTACCAAAAATCATTGGATAATGAAAACATTGAAAATAATAGTGAACGTGATAACAATTAATTTAAGTTTTGTGACAGAGATCTTAAACAGCTTTGCGAGAACCAGAAAAATGCAAACACAGCAAAAATAGACTTCGGCTAGAATTCTCTGAAATTTCTCTTGTGAAATCAAGGTGAAAAAAAACTAAATTTGATTTACACGGACACTAGCTGACACAAATTCATAGGATAAGTATGATATCCTATGTCTTTCTTGGGCTACCTTTTTTATCCACTCATTGATGGATAAAATGATATCCCTTAAGGAATCATAGGATATTATCCATGTGCATTACGTGATAAATAATAAGACTCTGTCTTATACGATACAAACTACACTGTACATACAATGCCAAATTAATAGATAACTATGTACCATATGTGATTAATAGAAGACTATGTCCAGTTCATGATTATAAGGAAACAAAACATGATTAACAGATAACTATGTACAGGATAGTAATTAATTAATCAATAACTACATTACTAGATTAATCAATAAGTTTGTACAATATGTGATTAATAGATGAAAGGTGTTCAGTCCTTGATTAATGGATAACTATGTACAGTAAATAATGCATATACCATAATTATATACCAGTAATTATGTACAGTTTTCAATCAATGAAAACTAATTGCACAGTACTAGATTAATTACTGACCACAGTATGTACACAGTACTAGATTAATTACTGACCACAGTATGTATATTTGATGAATAGATGACTATGTTCAGTTCATGTCAGATAACTATTGACACCTAACTTGATTAATCGCCAACTATGTTCACTGTATGATTAAGAGATGACAATGTTTAGTCCATGATTAATAGAAACTATACATGATTAATAGGAATTATACATGATTAATAGGAATTATACATGATTAATAGGAATTGGATATGATTAACATATATTGTACATGTAAAAAAGAATGGACAGAATATGATTGAATGAAATGTATGTTGAGGAAGAGCATTACTAATGGATAACTATGTACAGTGCAGACCTATGTACCCAATACATGATTAAGATATATGAATATTTAGAATACATGATCATGATTATGAATTAAACACTATGTACAGTACATAATAAATGATTTACACATATATATCCACAGTATGTGATTAATACCTCATACACTTTTTCATTCTTTTTCATATTATTGTAAAATTGTAATTTAAACACAATCAAAGGTAGGGCATGAATTTAACTCAGGTAATTCATATGATGAAGTACATACGCACTTAGAAGTACAAATCTAGTGAGGTTTGACTTGAAGTTGTGTAGTTTACATGTTAGGTCTTTATGAACAGTATGTCTCTTTGGCTTGCTTCCAAATCCTATCTCGACAAAGTTTCTTCTTGGTTTCTTTATGATCACTTTTCTTTCATTATGACATTTGTAAACCAAAAATAAATGAAAAATTGTCTAAATGACCTGATCTAATTTCTCAAAAAATCTGCTAAACTGTCACCTGACGATTGAGGCCTTACAGACACTACAAGTGATTCTTTATTTGATAATTGATGAGAAGCTTATCTGAGTATTATGATAACTTGAACTTCATGAGTTTAAAATAACAAAAAACCTTGACAGATACACAAGAATTTAAAGATAATATATTCATTAACATTATTTAAGTTGTATCATGTTATTAGGTCAAGTTGTGAAATGTAAATGTAGAGTGGAAATAGTCAAGAATAAAAAAAAGTACAATGAAACCTGTAAAGTGGAACACCCTATAGAGTGGAAATATTCAAGAATAAAAACAGTACAATGAAACCTGTAAAGTGGAACACCCTGTAGAGTGGAAATAATCAAGAATAAAAAAGTACAATGAACACCTCTGTTAGTGGAACACTTTTCAGAGTCCCAAGACCAACTGACTTAATGAACCTTTATAAGTGTAACACCTCCCACATGAAACACTTTAGCGCAACCAAGGGTGTTCCACTTAGACAGGTTTTGCTGTTGATACTCTTCTCTATAGAAATGCCGGAAACACTACAAAATATTTTCATGTTGGTACAGAGTATACGACTTGAGGTTTGGGGTAATTGCATTTTTGTAAATTAAGAAAAAATATTTCCCATGTCATGATGATGATTTTTTGTAGACTTAGATGATTGAAAGCATCTGGATTTACTGAAGATGTGATAATTATGTAGATACATGTATTTATTAATAACACAACAATCAATGTTCAGGGCTGATGATATGATATGTTCTAGTATAAATCTGAGTCTGCAGTCAGTGCACAGCCCTGAGTAAGCAAGGGTATAACATACAGATTTGTGTAAAATCCTCCAGGGAGTATACAATGGTTTTTGCCCTAGTTGGTCAAGTTGGTCACTAAACAATCATAATTTCATTAAATAAGCACTTACTGAAGCAAGCTGACTGCTTTCATATAATAATACCTTGTAGTCAAAATAACAAATTCATAGTTCAGATTCGGTTACAATCGATGAATGGAATACTGCATTAGCCATGTTATATGAGCTTATTTCTCAGAGTTGTGTATTTGACTGGTTGTAATGTAAGTGTCACAAAATATTTTGGAGTAATTATGGAGAAATTAGTTTGTTATTTTTCATATGATGTATATATGCACTCTTTTAATGTATATATACTTTGTGTCTTTTTCTTTTATTTTGAATGTCTGCTAATGTTTTATGATTTTACTAATTGTTCTAACTAGAAAACCATTGACTACAATTACACGAACAGTGATTGTCTTAATTGTAAGTTCTGACGGTTTCAAAAACAGACTATTGTATACTTTTGATGTGATAGTACATGTCTAATTTATAGGACATAGAAAATTAACATTTGTTTTTTGAATGTCAAATGAATTACAATTGCACACTTCTGTATATGCATGTAATTGGGTAGACTGGACGCTACAGGGTCTTGATATTGAGAAATGTTTTTAACACAATGAAGATGTACTAAATGATGACCTTATACATTGGCAATTTGACTCAGTGGTATAGCTAAAACACTAACCAAGATGCTGTAAAACAGTCTTGTTAACACTATTTGAAACTTTCCCTTTTCAACACATTTTAAATGGAAACACATTTCTCTGTATATACCAATGGTATTTAAACATTTTACTGCCAATTATAATATTGATAAAGGTGGTCTATTTTTGTGTGTCACTATTGCATTTACAATTATTTATAATAATTATTTAAAAAATGACAAGGTAGATTCTATTGTAATCATACACAAGTACATTAAGTTTCATTATACTTTATATGATTTTACTAATGTATTTTTATGACGAAACTGATAAGATATAATATTTAAGCCAAAATATAAATGTTCATTCCATGGGATTTTGCAATTTTTAACATGGAAATCATGTACCAACTAAGGAGATTTTTTGTGTAGTTTCTCCCAAAATTTCACCAATTCTGTTTTTAATGGTGGAAATCTTAATAAATTGAGACAAATCTGGTATTGTAAGACATTCATTTATATGAATATATGTAACAATTGTGAATGTAAAATAGTTATTTTTCTTCTTGTCATGACAAAGATGACATGGCACTATAACAGAGCATTGTAACATTTCTTAAGTTGAAAATGGAAGTAAAATTGATTTGCATCAGTGTCAGTCCTGATTTGAAGAGGGAATACGTAATAAGTTAAATTCTCATTTTGTCTAATTGTTTGAAATTGTATTTAAGATAGTCTTGGTTATATTTTTTCAAAATAAATAATTTAAATCAACTCAGATGTTTTGTTATTTACTTTCTACCTGGGGGGGGGGGGGGGTCAGAGAATGAAAGCCATAGCTTCCTGTATGTAAACTCTCCTCCTTCCTAAGTTTGGGAGCTGGAAATCCACTTTTCGACCACTTATCAAAGAGTGTTTATCTTTGGAGATTTAAAGAAATCAGTCATTTTCCATTGACTTTCATGTTATATGGAACCCTCGCTGAATAAGGAATTTATATCAGCTACAAGGAAGAATTCTAGATAGTATGGAACGTGTTTTATATACAAGTTGGCGTGCCATAATACAAGTTGTAATGTACAAGGTGCCTCAAAACAATCAATGTATCAAACAGAATCAACAGAAAATACAATATGTATGTATTTTTAATATTTTTTATTTCACTTTTTCATTTTTATTTTTGTTTGGCATTTTTATATTGGATGATATTCACTGTACAGTACATACCTATATTACAAAATATGCATACACATAATATTAGTATCTTTATACAAAGCATGATTAACATCTTAGGAGGTTAGGTTAATCCCAATGTAAATTGAGCCCAACAGCACGGGACTATGGGATAAACATACCTCCTTTGGGTAGAATTGCTTTTGATTGGTGCTAAAAGCACATACAATCGGATCATGAATCTTTTGAGAAGCAGATCAATTTCGGCAAGCTGATCACTTTTTTAAAGTAAAGCCTTGAAATTGAACTTTGAGATGAGAAAAATTTTCATCTTGATTAAATGTCTAAATCTGAATTGCAGGAGTATTTTTACAAGAACACAATTTTAAGTTGTACTTAGTCCATTTACATGTACTTTACTGAATTAAAGCTAAATTGTAGAATATCCACTTGTAAGGTTACCACAATTAGTTAAGAACTTTGGGACAACCCTTGTACACTTTCTTTAATCATATTTGCAAAATATTGAAGAAGTCTAAAAATTTGATACAGCCAAATTTCAAAAGACAGATTAAACCAAGTATATAGCAAATGACACTGACTCTTAAACTGAGACTCAACATTTGCATCAGACTTTGGCAAATATATGTGTTTGCATCTCATTTGATTCGTAAAATCATGACTGGGACTTTAATTCTTCCATTTAAACTAGAACAAGCAATTATTTTCAGCAATATTTAAGAATGTAAAAAACCCTTTTCCAATTTTTACATCATCACTCTATATTAGTATAAAATGAATAGAAAACCTATAACAGTGAAATAAATAAATTATGCTAATTTACAACTATGCTATACAGCTACACAAAGTACAAGGTCATCTCATAAGTTTTAAGAAAATTTGTGTTTTCTATGTACTTTTTGAATGACACATGTACATTTTAAATCCAAAAAGATTAACACATTGTCCCTTTATATTTGATTGTTGCGAAAAATAAAGCTGAATTGGATAGAATATTGCTATATGCTATATCATTCAGGTGCTTTTCCATGAAAACTTCATGAACATACAATGTATAAGCAATATTCAGTTGATAATACATATAAGCACATTTATGATAAAATAATGTTCACCAACAATAAGTCATAAATAATTACAATCACTTTCGTAATTTAATCGAAATACAACTGTAACAGACATAAACCAAAATAATTATGGACACCCCAGCTTTTTCGAAAATATAACTAACTCTTAATGATTGGACAACAAGCTAGTTTAGTTAAGAGGAGGAACAGCCTTACCATGTTCAACTGTAGCACAGATTATTGAATCATGGGAAGTGTTCTCCTTTGCTGAGGTGTACAAAATTCTGAACATAAATTACTTTGTTTGATGTTAAGATTATAGGACCAGGAACAATGAAAGGATGTTTACAGAATGATATTTCCCCATTGTTGTCATCGTAATATTTCTCCACAAGAAATTACACATATGATACTGTGCAATAATTTATACTGGTGAACCAAAAATTGGTTCTTGTATTATAAATGTTCAGCTTTTAAATGGTCATCAAACAAAAACCTTGGAATGGTTTCAAATGGGTGGTTGTAGAAAGAGAACAAGATAAAATGGCAGACATAAGATATATCGTAATCATAGTATACACACATATATAAGTTTGAACAATTAACATGAAACTTTCCTAATCTGAATAAATTTTCTTTCTTAGTCAAACTTTTCTCCAATCTTGAAACCCTCGATATAAGGACACATCCAAATCCAAACCCTTTTGGCCAATCTCAGAGGTGTTACATTTGACAGGTTTTTCTGTTTGTTAATTAGCAGCTGGTGGAATATAAAATTGCCCTACAAGACCACCAGACTTGGTTTTACACTTTTTAGAATAACTGAGTGAATAAATAATAAAATATACATAATTATTTTTACACATTGTTAAAACAAGAGAGAGATCTGGAGTGAACATGTAACATGTAAGGGTTCTATACAAAGTCCTAGACTCCTAAATTCAGCATTTTCAGTTTGTAGGCTACTAATACATTTTATCACTAGCTTGTACATGTCCATTCATTTATTCAAATGGGCTCAGGTGAAATTATGTCATTCACGAAGCCAACATTTTGAAATGTCAAGACAAATTGTAGCTATAATGCCCTATTGCAACTTTATTGCAATATACCCAATAATGAGCAATTTCAAATCTTTACACTACCGCCAGTATATATGAATGAAACATATAACATTTCATGAATTTAACGTATGATGATTAATGATATTTTAACTGTTGAATTGAAAGATACCTTCAATATGGACAATAAAAGAGGTTTTAATGTGAATTAATGAACCAAACATAAATTCATGCCCAATTCTTGTAGCTATGTAATGAACTGAACATTTCTATAGATTGTTTCCTAAGTACTGTACATTGCGTATGTTCCATAAATTAAATAGAAATCAAGGCTATACCTTTATTGGCCTAAGTTGAGAGAAAACCACCTGCTATAGTCTCGTTTTAAGCTTTATAGCCATGATAAGAGATTAAAAATTTGAATTAGAATTTTTATAGTTTACCAAAACTGAAACTTTTTCAACTGTGAAAAGCTCTCTATTTGTGTTCAATATTACTACTCTCACAGCAAAGAGAGCTGTTCTATATGTGGCTATACTTCACGCACTAGTAAGCATTTATTTTGTTTCTCTCCGAGCATTTACAAACATGGACGAGTATATAACTAGTATACTGTGCGCCTAAAATACTCTATCAGACTACATTGCATTACACAGATTCATAAAAAGGCCTCTGATTTTCTTTGTGGACCAAACACGTACCTAACAATAACATTTTCATGTAGAACCTCCATGAACTCTTAAACTGATCCTATGAAGAATATAATAAATTATTTATAAGTAACGAGCAAGATACAAATGAGTTAGATGGAAGAAATCATGGCACAATTTAAACTTCAACATGTAATATTAAGTCACCCTAGTTACTATGGTTATGTATGTAAACAATGGGAATGTGGAGATTTAGAGTTAAGTATGCATAATTCCACTAATAACATCAATTTATTGGTTCACATTGTCTTATTCTCCAACAGTGATCCTAACATTGTCTCTAAAATCAAACAAATATCAGAACAGCCTATATAACTTTAACCATCAATTTTAACAAAATTCTGTTCTGTAAATGACACTGCAAAAAATTGCTCATGCAATATGTGACTTAATCGCATTTCGATCTGGAACTTACTGTACCATATGCTAGGTAATTATATAATTTTTAAATACTTTAACAAAAGGTTTGCGTTTAGTGATGTTGCAAATTGTAGACTGTTATGATTTTTGGAGAGTATCTTAAGAATCTGAGACACTTTAATAATGGGAGATTTACAAAGGAACAGAAATCAACAATTGACTCACTGAAACCAGGAAAGTGAAATATAAATGTTACAGGATCTTGCAGAGGAAATGGCAAAATCACTCCTTATTTGTAAAACATCCACATGGACATTCAAACAGTAGCATTTAGCTTTGACTAATTCAGCCCAGTCCAAAATATCATAAAGCAGGCCCTCTTTAATATCCCTTGACCCTGTATGTCTAAAATACATGGGATACAACAATTTTCATGGCAACTATTTGAGATTTATATAATATACCTTACTTAGGCATTTTGGCAATCTGAACCTGTTGCTATAAACCTTATACTGGATGTACATACTGTACATGCTTTCATCATATTATTCTGTTGTTACATGTTTACTTGTCTGTATGTGTGTGTCCATTAAGGTGTGAATGAAGGCAATATGTATCCATTTTATCTACTAGATAGTATTATGACATCACTGAAAACCTTGGTAACCCATTATACATACATTTGTATATTTGGGACTTACAAGGAGGGAGCAAAATAACTAACTGTAACTGGTTTCCAAGATGGCTGCAACACTATTATCTTCCTTCCTTAGAGCACCATAATTCCCTTGGCCATTCCACATTGGTTTTATACATGTTCCTAGGCCTCTCCATCAATGACTGGGGCCTGAACTGGCATAGAGAGGCTAGTTGTGTAGTTATACATGTTCACTGGCCTGTGCTATTAGGGGCTTGGCCAGGAACAGGCTTTTTCTGTTGGCGATTCATTCTATCTAATTCTGCAGCTGCATCTCTGCTGACTGTTGCTTTGTCAGCTGAAACACAAAACAAAAGTGAGGCAAGGGCGATTAAATAAAATGTATCTATTTTTTCAGCTACAAAAATATCCGTTAGAATTGAGGAAAACAAAAAACCCACATGCAGTTGGCTCAGAAGTTTTGAACAGATTCTCTTTCTTACACTACATTTAAACAAAATGAGGCAAATTCAGAACACTCAAAAAATGTTATCTTACTTCCAGTTTTTGGCGAAACTGCTCCAGTTTTCTTGTTTAGTAAACTGTTGAAAAAATTTGCGAGTACCCCTTCATTGGCTGCCCCTGGCACTCCAGGCTTGCCTGGTACACCAGTACCATCCAACTACAATGTGACAAGAAGCATATATCATTGGAAAGCATGAACATAAGCAATAAATTACATTGTTCAAGATGATCTAAAAAGATAAAGGATAAATAATGTAAGGAATTTTTAACACACTTCCCACCCTCCTCAACTTCCAGACGAGGCCTTGTTGATAAATTACATTGCCCCTCAGATGATATGAGAAAATATACTGAAGATATTAGGGCAAAATACATCCACCTGCCATTTGGTACAGAAACCAACTGCCAAACCCGCTACTACCTGCTATTTGATACAGACACCGAACACCAAACACCACCTGCCAAACAGTGTCCACAAAAAATTGAAGGCTAACAATATGTCATCACTTGTGGTGGTGACATAATTAAATTGTGATAAAACCCCAAGACTGACCTTTTTGCCAGGCGACGGCGTACCACTAGGTGATGTTCCTATCTTGGGTGATGCAGTCTTGCCCATAGCAGCAGTTGTTCTCATTGGAGACTCCCTACCTATATCAGCCTTGGGCTCCTTGCTTAGTTTTGTCTGTTGCTTCATTAAGAATACCTGCTCATCTTCAGCTAGTGTCTCTGCTTCACGCTGTAGAGGCTGAAATAGAGATTTATATGATTAGAATACAGCCCTTTCAGTGTTAGGACACAGGTGGCCAAAGCTCAACAATTAAGGTGGAAAACATGCAATTTACAGTGAAAACATATAAAACGGATGCATTTGTGTATAAGGCATTAACATGCAAAATGTCACCACCTGGCGTTTGTTACAGATGCCGACTGTCGAACATACATTTATTATAATTCCACAAAACAGTTGGAGATTGTAACAATATGTCACCATTTATGGTGGTTACATATAACAGATCTTCCGAAGTGGTTAAACTTGTTGTCACCTACCACCTTCTGATATAAATGAGCAGCAATTATATCATTTTCTTATTTTAAAAGGGTTCATCATGATTTATGTGTATGCCTCCACATGACATTTTAATATGTACGTAATCTACTAGATACTGAAATAGATTATGTATTATTATTAAAACACACTCCCTTTAAGCCACCCTTAGTACACTGAGATCTTTACCTTACGAAGGTTTGGTTTAACTATGACATCATCATAAGGGTCCTCTGGTTGTATGTTTGACATTGTCTCGTGTAATATGCTAATTTTGCTGTCTTTATCCCAACCAGCTGGGCTGAAATTAAAAACAAAATTATCACGAATCATATCTCAGAGTATGTCACAGAAATTTTGCAACAGATTGGAAACTGAAAAATAGATCAGAAACATTCCATTTTCAAATTTTTTCATTTTGATGTAAATATATTAACGATGCATATGTACATGTTTGTAAATTATTTAAAATGTTTTTGTTGAAATTCATTTCCAATTGTCAAAATTAAATGAATCTTCAACTGAAATTTAGACCCAATACATGCATTCCATTTTACTTTTAATTCTTTTTTTACAAATACTGGGAGTTTATATTGATCGATATTACACTATAAGGATAAAATTACCAATTCTCATTATATAGAAAATTTTCTAATAAAATGTAAAATGAACTTACATAAATACAGCGTCCCTTTCTATAACGAAGGCTGACTCTTGGAACGGGAAACCAAATATCCTATGTATCAAATAGTTCCTCAGTAAATCACAGTTTTTGTCTTCCTTAACGGATGTATAGAATAAAGATGCACCATATGTAAGTCAGTTAAGGAAAGTATTTTGCACATTCTCTTTATGTTTATTACTAATTGTGAAAAATATTTTACAAACAAGACAAAGAATCTCAAACTTTGAAGAGAAATGGTGGCTATGTAATTTAACCGGCATGCCCAAAGCCTAATCAGATCTGAACAGATTAGATCTAGAGGTTTTCATGGAACTTATGTGATATCTGGCGCCTGCCAGGAACAGACACACACAGAATAATCAGCACAAGACAATGTAATGGCAAATTAGCATTCTGATAAAAAGATAAGATTGATATCAGAGGGTAAGGTTCAAGTCCCATTTGGATTGAGCTACCTCAAATCTTTCCCGAACAGAAAATTCAATTCTGTGTTCCAAATAACGAGCATATTTCCTTTCTAATTCTCCATTAAAATTCTCGTCTTTAATAATGTCTAAATATCTATCAAGATGAATTTTAATGCTTATTTTAATGCTTATACATTAAGCTTGATATGTCAGAACACGTTCTACTTTTAAAGGATACAATTCAAACAAAATTTTCTAATATTTTCTTGTATGAAATCGAAATGTTCTTCTTTAAAATCGTGTTCTTTCTCTAACGTTGAGATTGCATCGCTCTGAAAGAATAAACAAACCATTGTAAAAATAGACAAGAACACAAATGTGTACAAAATGTCCCCACCAAGTGGTGATCCTATGAAATGGTTATCCTGAAAATGAGTAGACAAGACTTTACCAACACAATTTGAGGACGGAAAATCCAAAGTGGCCACCTTAAAATTTACCCAGAATGCCAAAAATTTAGTCGGTTCTAGATTTTCATACTAAGAACCACCCCTGAAAATTTGAAATTGATCCGTCACACAGTTAACCAGAAAACATGTAAACAAGACTTTACAGACAAGATTTCAGGATGGAAAATCCAAAATGGCTGCCTTGACATTTACCAAGAATGTCAAAAAACTAATCTGTTTGTAGATTTTCATACTAAGAATCATCCCTGAAAATATGAAATTGATCTACCAAACGGTTCACCTGAAAACGGGTAGACAAGACTTTACAGACAAGATTTTAGGACAGAAAATCCAAAATGGCTGCCTTAACATTTACGCAGAATGCAAAAAAAGTAATCAGATGTAGATTTTCATACAAAGAATCATCCCTGAAAATTTGAAATTGATCTATCAAACCGTTCTCCTAAAAACGCGTAGACAAGACTTTACAGGCAAGATTTTAAGACGGAAAATCCAAAATGGCTGCCTTGACATTTACCCAGAATGCAAAAAAACTAATCAGTTCTAGATTTTCATACTAAGAATCATTCCTGAAAATTTGAAATTGATCTACGAAACAGTTCACTTGAAAACGAGTAGACAAGACTTTACAGACAAGATTTTAGGACGGAAAATCCAAAATGGCTGCCTTGACATTTACCCAGAATGCCAAAAAACTAATGAGATCTAGATTTTTATACTAAGAATCATCCCTGAAAATTTGAAATTGATCCACCAAACGGTTCACCTGAAAACGCGCAGACAAGACTTCACAGACAAGATTTTAGGACCGAAAAATCCAAAATGGCCGACAATAAAAAAGTCCTTATGAGTTTTTGCTGATTTCTTTTTACAAAATTATCACATATAACTACTGTTAACAATAAAGTAGGCTTTTACAGCAAAGTACATCTGAAATTATTTATAAAGCTACTAAATAGTTAAAGTATGAAAACTCAAAAACACCATTCAATATGATACAAAGTATTATCGCGCGCTAACTTTTCTTAAGACATTCAAAATGGCTGACATGACTGAGCTAGCAGGTCCAAAACCTAATCAGATCTAGAATGAAGTGAGCTGAACAAGATGTTAAAGTTTTAAAAGCAACTGTGAAGCAGTTTTTCTTAAAGTTTGCAGACAAGGATTTTAGCATTCGACTTCAAAATGGCCGACAGGAAGTAGGTATCAAGTTAATTTTTTTTCATCCACATCTGTATGCACTCATAAGTTATCCCTGAAAATTTGAAGGTGATATCTGTAGCGGTTTTGGAGAAAACTGCCGGACGTACGGACAGACGGACAGACGGACAGACAGACGGACGCGCCTAGGCCGACAATATGGCCCCACACTATGTGGTGGGGACATAAAAACTATGCAATCAATTTGTAATACTACAGTTGACAAATAACATACATTTTTAAACGCTATCATTGAAAGTGTTGACAGCTGAGGTTTATATAATAGCAACTTATCACCAGATTTTATTACCCTTAATTGTATTTCTCAAACAAGTACAGGGATTTCATTAGCATCAGGCAACAGGCGATTTTCACCTGTTGTTATCACAAAGTCGCCTGTTGTTTTTCAGGACTTTTCAACTTTTCCATGTTAAATTCATGATTTCCATTAATTTTGCCTGTTGTTTTCATTTATTTAGCATGTTGTGAGAAATTCTAGTGAAACCCCTGAAGTATTTAATTTTCATGTTCACATCTTGAGAAGAATCTGATCAAATAAGGGAATAAATGCACTGACCTTGGTTATGACTACAACTATGGGAATTCCTAAATTATTAGTGAGTGTGTTCTCCCCTAGGGGGAGTAGTACATCCTGGTCACCTTCAGAGGGCGCTGATGGATGAAGGGGGTTTGGGCCACGTCTGGGCGGGGACTGCACATTGCTTGGATCACCTGATGGTTCGACATATTCTTGAAAATGTCGAACCACTGAAAAATAAATAAACTAATAATGTCAAATATGAGGATACATACACACAAAGTTCCAATTTTATACAAAGAAATGGAAACATACTTGAAAGATGGATTCTCCATTATTAGCCTCACTTTTACTTTGTATGTTTTTACATTAATGTACCACAAATGGAAGCAATATCTGTTGTGGATAGAATTATTTTGAGAAGAACTGCAACAGTGAATCTTTGTTTAGAGCACAGCTGTTCGAATTTAGAGTACAGCCGATTTCCTTTGTTAGAGTGTTAAAATACAGTTTTTAGGAGTTCAGTATTTAGCACAGTAACAAGAGTACCATTGTTAGAATGCACTTGCTATAGTACACTTGTTGAAGTTCATTTGTACATGTACTTACAACTTTGTTCATATTCTCGCAGTTGTTCTCTAGGTATCCTAAGTTTGTCTATGTGATCCTGGAGCAGTGTGCTCCATTTCTTTAGAGAGTCTATAATAGACCAGGGTGAAGACATACTAGCCACTAGAAGAACAATTGAGTTGGCAAAGTTCTCTTGTGTCAATGCAAATCTTAGGAGGCCTGTATGATGAGGGTCTCCATCTAGAATCCACACACCTACCCTGGCATGATCTGAAATGAGATAATAAGTAAATCTATTATTTACTTTTTATTCATCCTCCTAAGCAGGTGTCCAGAATCCATACCTCCTTCTTCCCCCTGCTATAAGCAATTTGGAATCGCCTGATTTAACCGTATCACGTGGTCTAATCATGCGCAATGGCTTATACATGATTTCTGTTGCAGTATTGCGACAGCCAATCAGATTGCGAGTTCTTAATCGGGGAAATGGTAACTGCTTATCGCAGGGGTTAAAAAGAAAGAAAGATTCTGGATTTTTAAGCCCTGTGATCGGAGGATGCTTTTTATTGAGAAGAGAAAAATGTGCCTGAGAAAGTATAAGGTACCAGGGGATCTTTCTTGAGCATAATATCTTCTTTATTGTATGGACTGATTTAAAACAACAGGACAATGTCAATGAAGCATATTCAATATTTATTAACAAATTTACTGAGGTGTACAATAGATGTCTCCCAATATTAACTAAAACTGTCAAAACTTACTCTAACTTAGAAAGACCATGGATATCCCTGGGTATTATTACTTCAGCTAAGAGGAAAAATAAACTATATATTAAGTTTAAAAAATGTCCAACTGATGAAAATAGACTCACTTACACTAATTATAAAAATAGACTTAATCATATTATCAGGAATGCAGAAAAGCTTCATTATAAGAAAAAATTTGAAATTAGCAATGGCAATATAAAAAAGACCTGGGATGTAATAAACTCTATTTTGAAACGTAAACAACCTAAGAAGATCCTTAATGATAATTTTATCCATGAAGGAAGAAAAATTGATGATGGAAAATCCATAGCAGACAATTTTAATAAATTTTTTAGCACAATTGGTGAAAAGCTAGCTAATGAAATTAACTCGGATAAAGACCCACTTGATAATGTTAATAAAATCGAACGTAATATTAATTCAATTTTCTTGGCACCTGTTGATGTTAATACTGTCCAAAATCAAATCAAGAACTTAAAGGACTCAGCCGCAGCCATTGATGATATTAAACCAAAGGTTGTTAAAGTATTACATGATCATATAGCTGATCCTCTTACTTTCATTTATAACCTCTCTATGACCACAGGTATTTTTCCTGAAGAACTTAAACTTGCTAAAGTTATTCCAATTTTCAAAAAGGGGGAACATGATAAATTCACAAACTATAGACCAATATCTATTTTAAGTGTATTTGCTAAGATGTTTGAAAAAATAATGCATGACAAAGTATCTACTTTTTTAGAGAAATATGAATTATTGTATTTACACCAGTACGGCTTTCGGAAACATAGATCAACTTACATGGCACTCCTAGAATTTATTGAAAATGTCAGACATTCATTAGATAACAAAGAATATTGTATCGGGATATATTTGGATCTATCAAAAGCTTTTGATACTGTTAATCATGCAATATTACTTAAAAAAGTGGAACATTATGGTATAAGAGGAATTGCACTTTCATGGTTTTCATCTTATTTATCAAATCGAAAAATGAAAACTGAATACTCTAAAAGTTTATCCGAGAAATATTTGTCTGAAGAAGCAATCGTTAACTGTGGAGTACCCCAAGGGTCTGTTCTAGGCCCCCTCCTATTTATCATATTTGTAAATGATTTCTATCTAGTTTCTGATAAACTCAAACTGGTGATTTATGCGGATGACACTAATATATTATGTAGTGATTCCAATCTTGATAATTTGACCACAACCGTAAATTCTGAACTGTGTGACATCAATGATTGGTTGTTGGCCAATAAACTCACTTTAAATGTTAAGAAAACAAAATACATGGTCTTTGGAAATAAAAGAAATATATCTGTGAACAATGAAATAAAAATTGCAAATTCTAACCTTGAAAAAGTAGATGAGATAGGATTCCTGGGAGTAATTATTGATTCAAAATTATCTTGGGCTCCCCATATCAATGCTCTTCATAGAAAAGTTTCAAATGTTATAGGAATGTTATATCGAACAAATTATGCTCATACTTTAAATTCAAAGATGATAATATATAACTCTCTGATTTTTTCTCATCTTAATTACTGTAATATTTTATGGGGAAATGCTTTTAAGAATCTATTAAATAAACTACTGATATTGCAAAAGAAAGGATGTGTCTGGGTATATGCCCTTTTGGTCCCTCAGTCAAATGTATGTGAAATATGGTTTTTATTACTGACCTAGTTATATTTGGTAAGTATATTTACTTTTTCACAAGTTTTGATGCATAATTAACCCCCTACTGAGAGTCAGAATAAGTATCTTAACAAACAAAAAAATAGTCATTATCATAGAAAAAACACCAATGGCAACATGTATGACATACAAAGAAGAAATAACTTAAGATCCATGAAGAATTAAAGAGAAAATCATATTTTTGAAAAATATATTTAAGGATTAAAATTTTTTCAAATTTTTGAATTTCCCGCCAGTTTAATTTGAAGGGGGAAAAACAAGATGGTTGCCATTTGATATGAGAAATATCAGAAAAAAAGTTGCTTCACTTTTAGTTTTCACAATGAGCACAGTTTTCCGGTTTAGGTTTTTTGACTGATTCTGACTCTTCATCACCAGGGTCACGTATAGAGATTATAAAATTGAAACCGGAATGTTGTGCTCAGCATGAATTTGACCGGAATATGTGTAACTTCACCAACACAATTGAAGTCTCAAAACTGGATGCTCAGTAACTTTGAGTGACTATAATCCCTTGATTACCCAGATAAACACCAATTCACTTATCCAGAAATACCATTCAATGTCTATACAAAGAAAGTAACCAATGTTTTGGAAGATAAGTTTCAAACTTATTGCATAATTAATTCATTTAATATTTGCCATTGATTTTTTTTCAATTATGACAAAGTGATATGCACTGTCTTTGATGCCAATATTCTTCATCAATTGTGATACAAATTAATATTTTTGTAATCTCAGAAGAAGGATAAGATATTGAAGTTTAATAATATGTGTAATTGAGTTGGTTTTTCAGACATTACAATTTTCAATATTTTCTAAGTCGATACCCAGACTCATTCCCAGACTCATCCTTTGTTAGATTAATAACAAATTCAGATAGATTAGCTCACACATTCCCAATTTTTCAAGATCTTAAAATACTTAATATTTATCATATTCACACAATCCAAACTGTTTCATTCATGAAAAAAGTTATAAGCAAATCTGTACAGTTCCCTTCAAAATTATACGATCACTATTTCAAAACTAGAGAAAACATACATCAACGTATAACTCGATTTGGTCATAACTTAGATATTCCTAAACATAGAACCAGAATTGGTGAAAATTCTATTAAGGTCCATGGTTCATATATATGGAATTCCCTCAATGAAGATATTAGAAATAAACCATTAAATTCACTCATATCTCGTTTGAAAATTGACCTCCTGAGTACAGAGTAACCAAAACATTTATTTCAATTCTTTATTGTCTCATATTATTGTATTTGTATATTGTATTTATATTATATTATTGTATTGACCTATGTACCACTTTAAATGTTCACAGTTTATCATGTTTATTGTAAATTTAATTATGGGCAGTCATACACCCCCTGGGGTGTCATAGCCTGTATAATGTTGTAATTTTTGTAATGAAAACTGAAATAAATTATTTTGAAATTGATTGAATTGAAGAAAAATCATTGAATAATGGTCCTGTGTTCCTTTTTTCTACAAAAGGTTTTTACAAATGATCAATGACTTTATCCAAGAATGAAGAAATGCATCAATGCTAAATTCACATCACATTTTATAACAATCTCCAAACAAGCATGTCATCTCACCATCTCTGTATTCATCTTTTACATCTATAGTGTGATATTCTAGCCCCGCCCCCTTTCTTGGATCCTCTGTACCCTGTAGCTTAGCAACCAGTGTTGTTTTCCCGGTGTCATTATCACCTGCAAAATACAATAGACATTTACATTAATCTGTATATCCATAACATAACAATACTTTGTGACTGACACAAATGATTTTACAATTTTGATGCTGACTGATATGGTCTCAATGACCTCAAATGCATTTTTATGGCTTTAGCTGTACTTGAAATGTTTGTAATTCAAAATTAGATAAAAAATGTTGGAAAGTTATGAATTTCTAACTATATACATGTATTCTTATTGCTTATATAGGTTAGATCAATCTAAAGAAAGCACACGAAGTCATGTATCAAAAATAAGTAAATTGAATTAAAGGGTTGCATTTTCTGGGTCACCCTGTATTATTAAATACCAGGAAAGTATCAATGGCTCAGTGGTAATACTTCACTGATAATCTGATTATGTTTGATCTATTCCAGTTGTAGGAACATCATCCAATCAATGGCCAAAGCATTACTAATTGACATAATTGATGCAAGATGTAACAGATGTGAATTGATTTTCTTGCCATATCCATATAAGCTTAAACTTCTGTTAAGGGTTGTTACAAATATGTTATTGAAAAATAAATTTAATTTTTTATAGGACAACTGACAAAGGCTCAATTTTGTTAAACAATACAAATGATCGCCATAGCATTGCATCAAGTAGATTTTAAATCTTAAAGCGATTTATATTCTTTTGAAATATGTACATGTATCATGAAAAATTTGAGTAATTTGGCCAAATTTTGGCAAAACTGAAAAAAAGAAAATTGCATGTACTTGATGAAAAAAACTGGGAGAACAATTTGTTCATTAGCTTTAAGGAACAGTGACTTCTTTCAATTACTTTAACAAAATTTGAAATTTTGATCTGGTCCCTCAAGAATGAACTCAATAACGAATGGAAGAAACAGGTGAACAACACATTTAGGTGATGGGCTAGCTCTTAAATTGCGGTATGGAGGTAGAATTTTGGAGACCATGCTAGTTACATTCTAATTTGTAATTCTCACCACAATTTGGCAATAATTAAGCAAAATTTTACAGCGTTTAGGAAAAAATCAATATTTATACCCCCCGCATGACAAAAGTAGGGGGTACATAGAAAATAATTAATAACTTTACAAAAACATTATGAATAACCACATTTTTTTCAGAATATATGCACATATATGTCATTAATAACTGGTAAAAAATTGGTGACTATAGGTATGATGGTTGCTATGGAAACAGAATGTGATTGTCAAAATTTGCTAATTTGTGTCTATTTTGGGGGGCTAGTTAACGAAAAAATCCTATGTGAGCAAGTTATGCTGCAAAAATAGCATTGATTTATGGTTTAGAAAATTGCATATATATGTCCTGCATGCATTAAAATTGGAATGATGATTGAGTCTCAATTAGAAATATTTTTAAAAATCTTTTCTATGACCCACCCCCTCTAAATAATCCAAAGTGGGCGTGGCATTTAACTGAATGATCAAGCCTACTTAACAGTAGATAACTTCAATTGTATAGCCTGTATTATCACAATTTCAACAGAATGTAGGATTCTTGTATTAGTTAACAGTAATATGATTTTGTTTATCCCCCTCAATATTTATAACCCCTCCTTCGTCGTCACCACCACCCCTCCCGCGTGACAAAAGTAGGGGATACATTGAAAATGATTAATAACTTTACAACAATGCAGCGAATAACCATCAATTTTTCAGACAGGATAAATGTATATGTCATCAGTAATTGAAAAAATTCTTGGTAATTATAGGTATGATAGTTTCTAAACAGGATTTGATCGTCACAATTTGTGAAGATATTGGGAGGGGGGCTGGTTCACAAAGAATACTATGCTAGTGAATTCTGCTGCAAAATTAGCATTGTTTTAAGGTTTAGAAAACTGCATATGTATGTCCTGCATGCATTAAAATGAAATGATGATTGGGTTTCAATTAGATTTTTTAGATTTCACTATGACCCATCCTTCTTTATAATCCAAAGTGAGCGTGACATTTAACTGTATGATATAACCTACTTAATAGTTCAACATTTCTACACAATATAGGCATCAAATAACTTTTTATCATTTTGTTCATCCCCAAATATTTATGCCACTCCCCTTGTCTTAACATACTAAAAATTACACATGTATATGTCATAAGTAACTGGAAAAAGATTATGGTGATTATAGGTTTGATGGTTGCTATGGAAAAAGGATTCGATTGTCAAACAAAGGACCGCATGTTGTTTGTAGAATGAATCGGGTTAAAAACATCAATACACTTTAAACCATTTTATTGACTATAAGACTGCACCATATAATCCCCAAAAGATATTTCTCTTTTCAAGGATTATCTATGGATTGACACCCAGGGTTTTTTATTTTTCAAACTTTAGAGGGCTGGGAATCATTGATTATGATCATATAAATGCTGTTTTAAAATAGGTTTAATGTATGCCAATAATTTCTCAAATCGTGTAAATGGTACCCATTCCTTATTCCCTAGAATTTTCTCTTTGAGGAATTTCCCATAGCAATCTTATGGTATAGTTCCAAGCAGATTTTGAGATAACAGGAAAGTTAATCATTAATACACACCTCATTGGGTTGTGATATAAACCAAAATAATAGTCAATAAAATGTTTGAAAGTGTATTAAGAGAAATGCATGAAAAAAATCCCCCGATTCATTTTACAAACAACTCATGGTCCTTTTGTGAATTCATGTAGACTTGTAGATTTTCTTTAGAGCAACAAAAGAAAACAATCTACCTGTCTACTTTGCTACTCTTGTTCCCATGACTCATACATCTCTTCATCACTTTTGATCATCGGAACCATACAATACAATATATCTTCTGACATTGCTTAGCGTAGATACAATATTTCCTGGTGTCAAGATGATGGGGGGATGTACCATGAAAGGAGGTCACGGGGTAGGTACAATGCTGTCAAAATTAGAACCTCAACAATACAACCAACAATCAACGGGCACGCAAAGTTCCTTATTGGTATAAAAAAGATTCAGTCACAAACATGTTGTTTATGATGATCATTGATGAAGATAACAGTTAACGTCCATTTGACGGCTTCACAGGCAACAGTACTGTAAAATTACATACAGTTGTGTATCTCCAACAGTATCTTATGGTACTATTTGGGCTATGGTTCTGTATGGTATGGTAATATATGGTACCAGACTAAAATAGTATTGTACAGTACCATGGACTCTGTACACCACCATAATAGAATGGCACTGTACGGTACTATTAATGTACCATGAGTGCAGATTGGTGGTGTTTATCAAGTCATTTGATATCACAGAATCAAGACTCCTATGCATATCATCAGGACTTCCAGCACTTACTCAAGTCAAAAAATCCACCCAGTGTTAGGAGCTATTGTTTCTCAAGAATTTGTTAAATGCCCGTATTAGGATCAATACTAAATCATTTGATGCGCCCAAATCAAGATGAAGAAACACCATTCAGTTTATAATAAAAACTCATGGAGAGCCATGGAATCATGGAAAGTCCATGAGTACATATTCTATGGTGCTTAGCAAAAAGCAAATTGCAGTTATCCAGGGAGAAGGGTGTGTCACAACTTACAAAACAGTAAATGTGTTAGTGGCAACATGTCCTTTTACCAAGTAGCCAAATTTCCAAACACATTTTGTCAACTGGCTGGTGTTCCATTCTCTGGTGTTTCAAAGTACAGTGATATATCAATCATGTTCTGATATGTAACTCAGTATTGGACAGTCTTTCCAAACTTTCCATTCTTCATGTCATTCTTAAATGTTTGGTACTGATAACTCATTGTTTTCAATATTAACTAAGGCTTTAGTTGAAGTAGCAGTAATATAAGTTATTGAATGATTTGAAATGCAATACAGAATAATTCTGCTCGAGAGATTCTGTGTTGGAACGAGACAAAGTCGAGTGCCAATACATAATATCGAGAGCAGAATATATCCTGTATTGCACCTCAAATCATTCTATAACGTTTTTATCGTGTGGTCTTAGGCCAATACATTTTACTCAAGAGGTAATTTCTATGAAATATTCTGTATTGCTACTGAGATTGTCCCCTCCGTACCAATATTTTCTGTATTGCTAAGGAGATGATCAATAAGGACAATCTCAGTAGCAATACAGATTGGTACAGCACAAGAACTGATCAATCAGAGGGCTTCATTTTACAAATCATACGATAAGTAAGCTGAATACTCTCCAGATTCATGGAATTTTGAAATCAACAAGGATTCCAATTCCTCATTCCTGACTTTATGAACTCTGAAGGCCTTGTTGAAGTGTTTTCCACTACCATCAATTGAACTGCAATTATCTAAGATTCTATAAGAATGTCCTCGAACCCTTAATCTCATATATTTTCCCACAGCACAAAAGGGTATGGAATGTCCCCAATCTAATGAAAGCATTGCAGTGAAACATTAAAGGATCAGGCAATATTATAGATTTTCTTTTCTGCCGCTAAATCAAAGTTTGTTAATGTCACCTATTATTATAATCTCATCAAAAAATTTATTTGTGAATGACACCCTATCATTATTTCAGTTTTAATATATAAAGGACACAGTTCCTAAACCTTAAAGCAATGGTATTTTGCAGCATAATTTACTAGGATATGATTCTTCATAAACTAGCCCCCCACCCAATCTACACAAATTCACAACAATCAAATCCCGTTTCTATAGAACCATCATCACCAAGAATTATTTCAAATTACTGATGACATATACATTTATTCTGTCTGAGAAATTGGTGGTTATTTGCTGCATTGTTGTAAAGTTATTAATCATTTTCAATGTATCCCCTACTTTTGTCCTGCGGGAGGGGTGGTGGAGGAGGGGGAGGGGTTATAAATATTGAGGAGGGATAAAAAATCATAGAAAATGTTAACTGATACAAGAATCATACATTCTGTTGAAATTGTGATAATACTGGCTATACAATTGAAGTTATCTACTGTTAAGTAGGCTTGATCATTCAGTTAAATGCCATGCCCACTTTGGATTATTTAGAGGGGGTGGGTCATAGAAAAAAAATTTAAAAATATTTCTAATTGAGACTCAATCATCATTCCAATTTTAATGCATGCAGGACATATATATGCAATTTTCTAAACCTTAAAACAATGATATTTTTGCAGCATAACTGGCTAACATAGGATTTTTTCGTTAACTAGCCCGCCCAAAATAGACACAAATTAGCAAATTTTGACAATCAAATTCTGTTTCCATAGCAACCATCATACCTATAGTCACCAATTCTTTACCAGTTATTAATGACATATATGTGCATATATTCTGAAAAAAATGTGGTTATTCATAATGTTTTTGTAAAGTTATTAATTATTTTCTATGTACCCCCTACTTTTGTCATGCGGGGGGTATAAATATTGATTTTTTCCTAAACGCTGTAAAATTTTGCTTAATTATTGCCAAATTGTGGTGAGAATTACAAATTAGGATGTAACTAACATTGTCTCCAAAATTCTACCTCCATACCGCAATTTAAGGGCTAGCCCATAACCTAATTGTAAACAAAACAGAGGATATAATATATAACTGTCCATCAACTTTCTAGGCAATGACAAGAACTCTTCATAATATTTAAAAAAGTTTATAATTCCACAATAAAATCAAACAGTTTCACATACATACAGTACTTTAAATTACATATGTTTAAAAATTGTAAATCTTAGTTAAAACAGGAACATTCTGCGGACAGCAACTTATTGGCTTAATCATACAATACCTACAGTAGAACTATTTATAAATAGGCTTAAACGTCATCTACTATCAGCAATAGTGAGAACTGAATAAGGTTGCCATGGCAATACTTAAGAAAGCATCTCTTTGAAGAAAGATTAGGCAACAAATCTTACAGGTACACTAAAAGCTGTATAAGTAGAACACCTTTGATAACTTATAAAGTGTTATTTGGAGGTGTTCCAGATACATAAGTTCATTTTATTTAATAAGGATCTAGAAAAAGTGGAGGTGTTCAACTTTACTTTTTTTACTATATATTAAAAGAAAATCTCATATTACGTTATGGTATTTGATACGGGTTATATATTAAATACAACATGGGTCTTTATCAACATTTATAAATATTTTATTTCCCCAGGATATGCTACATGGTTGTGAAAACATGACATCATGAAGCGACATCTTCTAAAATAGTCTAGTACATAGCGACAAGAAAACAAATCACTGATGAGGTATTTGGTAAAAGTGATTCAATGAAAGTAATCTCTTTAAAAGGTATCTGGTATGTGGGAAACATTTGTGAGCCTTAATGTACTTTATAACTGAACATATAATGAACCCTTGCATTTTTGATTGATGGTTCCTTTAATTGGTATAGCGTAGTAAGAAATACTGTTGCCTTCCTTTAATATCTATATCAACTGATGCAAGGTTATTTTCTTGAAACTTTGACAGCAGATATGACTGTCAAGAAGAATGACTTCTCAAAAGAAAAGGAAATAAAAATTGTGAGAAACGTTCAATATGGCTAGGATGACCTTAAAAGTTATCAGTAAATTGTGTGAGACACCATTGTCTGAGAGATTTACAGGTTGAAGTGACCCACTCTGATCTTGAATATATTATACAGACATTTTAAGTGCTATCTCATGCAACTTCACCATATTTCATATGGCGTTTCATAATGTATGTTGAGACAAAACACTACAGGAAAACGTAAGTTAGTCTGAACACCTCTCTAATCTGAAAACGTCTCAATGGGAGCACTTTTTTCTTTGTCCAAATATTTGCTGTTTCCCATCAATTCACATTTTAACCTTGAAATGTGAACACCTACTGATCTGAACACTTTTAGCCAGTCCCATTGGTGTTTGGATTAGACAGATTTCACTGTATTATTGTATTTTCTTGACATAAGAAATCCCAGTTAAAATACACATATTCAGTCTTATACCTTCCAGCACCATTTCATGCAACTTCACAACATGGTATGATTTTCAATAAATACATGAATAACACAATGAACACAGCCAATATAATTCGGCGCCGTTTCGGCATCAAAAAAATCGGCGCTGTTCCGGCACCATTTCGGCACCGTTCCGGCAGCGAGAGTGAAACACCACACAATTATAGAAATGTCTTGACATAAAAATACATACCTTCACAAATAGCACTATGCAATATAGTACTTGATATAGTATATCTAATTTGAGGAGACACAATGTGGCTATAAGTTATCATGACATAAAAATCACTGTCTTAATGCTCACATCTAATCCAAAACCTAGTAATAATACAACTTACCTAAAAGAAGTATAGATTTGCTTGAGGGAAGTTTTGAAGTATTATGGCTCTGAGCTTCTGCGAGGATAGATGACCTACAAAGCATACACAATATTATTTTGTTGATATACATTTTACTTGTTGTAAAATCATATATTTTACACTTTAGAGTTCAATAGGTATCTCCAAACATGTTATTTACAAATCATCCTCTATGTTTTTGAATTTCTAAATATATACAGAAAGAACATTACTAAAAACAGGTATGTTATACATGTTAAGATTTTCTTGGGTGTTAAGTTTTGATTGGAAGACTGGTTACTGTTTATTCCTGGGTATTTTAGTATTCTTTTTGTGTAGTTGAATCCACAATTATCTGGGTTTATCGGCAGAATGGGAACATTTTTCTTTTTTATCGAGAGAGTTTCCATCACTTTTCGAGATGGCGGTTGGATTTAAAAGGGGTGTTTGACTGGCCCGGAAGTGGCCTGAAAGAAGTAATAAATGGAGGAATTTGACGGATGAAATAAGTTAAATATTACACGCAAATATTGCGATCAAAAACGAGAATTTCTTTGTTCTGCCGATAAACCCAAATAATTATGGATTCAACTACACAAAAAGAATGCTAAAATACATAGGAATCTATTGAAGTAGGTATCTTAAGTGTAAGAGGCGAAGAAAATTCTCCCATGTTATAATCGTACAGGCAAAAGATTGAGACGTTCTCAGGACTATAGTCCTGGCACGGGATAACATACACCTACAATTCATAGTTATGAAAAATATGTTTACGTGTGATGTTAACTTTGACATGTTTCTTTAGTCAAGATATACAATTCATATACAAGTTTAGATTTTAAAACAATGTCTCTTTATCAAAAAATGGCTGCCAGTTTTTGTACTTTTGATTATCTTAGCCTTCCCCTTAATGTTAATAAATATCATGGGATGTGTATGTAAGGAATATGCTCACATCGATAAAAACATCTTATCAACGTATTGTGTTTGTAAACTAGCCGGTGAAAATTCTGACAAACAAGGTGGTAATTACTCACTTCGAGAGCCATGTTAGATTTTGAAACTTATGGCTCTCAAACGGAGAAGTGAACAGCTGATCAATAGTGACCTTTGAAATTGAATTAAGTCGATCCGCGGCTTACTTTTGGTCTCTAACTGTGTCTTACATCAGTATCATCAATCCGTGTAAGTATTGGAGCGCTGGAGTACTTCTTTTTCAATCAAGACTTGTAAATTGTTCATCGAGTTAAAGTTTTACAGACCTATTTCCAATATGGCGGTTTGCTAGGTGCGAGATACGCAACGAACGAAATGAATTTTGAGAATTAGTTAGGTTCGGACAACCTCCGGAGATTTACGAAAATGTCCGAGCAGAAACCGCCATATTGGAATTTGGCAGTAAAACGATTCACTCGACTAACAATTACAAGTCTTGATCGAAAAAGAAGTACTCCAGCGCTCCAATACTTACACGGATTGATGATACTGATGTAAGACACAGTTAGAGACCAAAAGTAAGCCGCGGATCGACTTAATTCGATTTCAAAGGTCACGATCATTGAGCTGTCCAAATGCTCCGTGGGAAAGCTATTATATCAAAATCCAAATAGCTTTCGCAGGAAGTAAGGTGGTAAGCAAGAGATGAGACACTGAAACTATCATCTATAAAGCTGTTTTTTCTCCTCTTGAAGAATATAATGTAGTCACGGATAAGAATGGCATCTCGATAAGAATTGGCGAGTTTGAAGGCTGGTCCAAAGCTTATTTTGTTTTGAAGATGGAATGATATTGATATTTCACATGATTTTTGCAAGAATGCCTTTTTAGCCAGAAATCTCTAGACTAAGTTCAGATAACACATGAAGAAGGTAAGGTGAATGCAAACATAATGATGCAATAAAAAACTTGAAATACTTCTTATGTAAGTGTGCATTACAAATCTGAAACCTAAATAAGTGTAGAATGAATGGAAAAAATGAAAATGAGCTCACTTCCGTTTCGAAATTTTGACAGGACTGCCACGTATTTAAGTGCACATTACGAGAAATCTGTAAGGTTAAACAACTCCTAACTTAGCTGTATCAATTGAAGTAAACAAAGGTTTCGTTTGCACGCTTACCATAGATTCTGATTGTCACCATCTGCATTATTTTGACTAAATGTGTCGCCTCTTTGCCCGTCTCCGATGAGCGCCATATTTCCTCATTCAAGTCCCCGGATGATTACACAGCGCGCATGCGTCTTGAGATGCAACACCACACATACCATACCACTTCTAATAAAGTGCATCACGCGGGGTGCTATGTAAATCAAGTTGCACGACACGTGGATGCCTGGAGGCCTCAGGGGTCACTTAGTCATTGATAAATAAACCCAATGAGTATTCGTTCAAGCATCACTATTTCATGATCGATATATGATTTGCTAATTATTTGTCATTATGAGCAGAGACATTGTTCATAAGTCTCTGTTATGAGTGGAACCTAAAATTATAGCCAGCTTTGATTTATCCAGTTAATCGAAGATCAATAGTCCCAAAACCACCAACATTTAAGACAACCCAATTCAGTACCCCCTCATTCGTTTGACATCAAAGACCCAGTTTCTGACTGAGAATGCTTTTCATATGCTTGAAACGTTGAAGCGAAGGTGAGTTATATTCATTTATTATGGACAAACGCAGTTCTTATTCGGACACTAGAACGCTGAACTTGTAAAATACAAACGAATCCAAAGTGATGAATGAATTTTGTTTCATGAATCATTAAGTTTAGCTCAATACATTTTAGTGTAAATGGTAATGCTAGTGTGGTTAATTTGCATACCAATCATTGGATAAATCGCTAAAATGAACAAATAGATGTCAGCTGGGAGTTGTGGCGTGCTCCTGTAATCCAGTTACTTGGAGGCTGGGGTTGTGGAGCGGTTTGAGGGCGGGAGTCCTGCTTGTCGGTGCTCTATGCCGATCGGGCGTCCGCACTAAGCTCGGCATCAATATGGTCACCCCTGGGGAGCCTAGGGTGCCCAGGTTGTCTAAGGAGGGACGTACAGGTCCAGGGCGGAAACGCAGCAGACAAAAGTCCCCATGTCGAGCAGTAGTGGGATCGCGCCTGTGAATAGGCGACGGCTTGCAGCTCGTCCAACATAGTTGGACTCAATTCTTTTTCTTTTTATTTTTTAACCTTTTTCAAACGCAGATATTGAGGAAACTCTGAAGGAAAATTAGCCGAAACATTAATGCAAGTGGTCCAAAAATAAAATCCCCCAAATTTTGACAATTGTCGAAAAGTGGCAAACAACATTCATTAAAGTTCAATATGGCTATTTCGCTTCTATGACACGGATATGGTACGATCTCAGATCAATCATTAAATTTCACAAGTGACACTCTATCTTATGCAGAAAATACTATCGTATGTCAAAAATCTGGTGGAAATAATTTTGTCACTCCTAATCAGGTAAGTTATCACAAACAATTTCAGACGGTTATACCTTTGATTATGACAGTTTTCTGACCATGAAGACAGATATGCAGGGATAATAAAGTCAATCGGACTTGGAGATATTTCGCTATCAATCAACCATCAATATATTTTTTTCAAAGTTGTTGACCTCATTTTCACCAAAATGCAATCATTTTTACAATGTTTAATGTATCACTATTCTTTATTTTAATATATCAAATAGCTCTTGAAAGGAAAACTGAATTCCCCTAAGATTAGTGGTCCCCATGTTATTTTCCCATTGAAATTATTTGTAAAGCTAGGAAATGGGTCAAAAATGAATATTGCAAGACAAAAATGGCGGTCATTTTGAAAATAGACGAGCTTTTGAACAGGAGTCATAGGGGAGTTTTCTGTATTGATGTTGAACAGAAATAACTTAAAACGGTAATCCTATCGACAGAGGTTTTAAAACGTGCCACTATTGTTGACGGACGGACGGACGGACGGACAGACAGACGGACAAGTGAGTGATTGCAAAAGCTCACCATGTGAGCTAACAACATATCCCATGTTATTTTCCCATAGAGATAACTCATGCTATCCATTGTTTTCTGCATAACTTTGGTCATCATAAATTGATATTTTAACCAGACTTTCAAACCATTCTACTTTTGAAGAAGTTTTAGACCATTTGTTGAATAATATTTTCATGCAATAAAAATCAGAATTTACGATCCTCTTTTGAGTAATGAGTTCAACACTCTGGAAAAATTGTTGATATTGACATTGACATTTTTCGAATTATTCGATTTATAGTACTCGTGGTAAAAGATATGACTGTCTAAAATCACTTGCAATACGTCACATGGTCATTTGACTCCCCAAAAAGGGTGAATTATAGTGCTTCAAATCTATCGAAATTGGTATAATAAAAGATTTGCTCAGGATTTATCCTCCGAACGCAGGGTTCCAGAATCATACACAAAGTTCCTTCCATCTTAAATCGAAATTGAGACCAGATTGACCCTCTAAAGTAAAAAAAACTCGTAAAATATTTATTTTGACTTTAAAATAGGTTAAAAGAAATAATAAAAGAACCTTAAAAATTCAGTAAACTCAAAATTTTGAGCGTCAAATATCAAGGTCAAAATCTGGGTCATTTCGTTATTTTCCCAATTACCACACTTGTTCAAATTTAAATCTTACTCAGTTTCTCATCAAAAACTAATGTCGAAATCGTTTTTTTAATATAAATCTGAAGTCTTAAATTGAACAATTTCACAAATCTAGTTTTTCTTGATGCTGAATCAGTATTTCATATTACTCATTTGTCATACGATACTTTTAATATTCCATTTCAATATGGAAATAAATTTTGAATACGCCGAACGGACAAATTTCATGGAGGTGGGGGAAAGTACGATTTTGCGACTATATGCAAGATTTATCTTTTACGTCAAAGTTTTAATATACAGGGTGTCCCGAAAGTATGGGGCCCCCCCTAGGCAGACATACAACAATGTCCCCATAGTATGTATCATATATCATTTTAAAGCTTGTCCAAAGTTACATTGATTTGCCGAGTATCATGGTTCAACTCACAAATGGGAAAAAGTTACATACATTTCAAAATGTACTGTTTTACCAAAATTAAAGTTTAGTTTTACACAAAATGAATAGTCGCCGCGTCTCCCTTGGCCATGTTAACAGAACCAATTCTTTCCAGATATGACCTTAAATACACTGCAAATAGGGGTATGGCATTTAATAATCCTAATAAAACCTTTTTAAGACATTTTAGAAGAGTTTCCTTGGAGTATCTGCCCTTACCGACCTCTTTTTACAACTCAATATCCATCCTCTCTTTAATGATATCACCCATATTTTTGGTCACATTCAGGTTAGCGGTGTTTCCAGGATACTGATTTTAACTTTAATTTTGGCCAAACACTAAGTTTTGAAATGCCTGTAACTTTTTACCATTTGTAAATTGATCGATGATACTTGGCAAATCAATGTAACTTTGGATGAGCTTTAAAATGATATATGACACATACTATGGGGACATTGGTGTATGTCTGCCTAGGGGGGGGGGGCATACTTTCGGGACACCCTGTACGTCATTAAACAAATAAGACCACGATATTGTAAAATGTGTTCACACGGGTAGTATCCAAAGCCCCGCCATGATTTCAAAGTCGCGAGCAAGTTCCCGCTGAAATCGCGAGCATAGTCCTGTTTATTTGCATCAATTTGGAAAATGGACCAAAAGGGTGAAAATACTTATGACTGTTCTTCCATACTCCAGCAATACTTTAAAAACAGATACATTAGACAAACAATGGCATCAAAAATGATTCTTCTTCACTGGCATTGAAAAGAAGGGTGTCAACATGCACGTTTGCATAATTTACTGTTCATATATTACTTTTATCGTTAAAATAAAGGCAATAAATACGATTTACATACTCCATAATACATATTGGATCAACATGGTCTGAATTGATAAGTAATTGTGCAATTACGCCTGCCATGGGGGTCGAAATACATCATTAAAGGTGTTTCAGTGGCCCCGCTGAAAACATGAGGAGGTCCCGCTGAAAACATGAGGAGGTCCCGCTTCGATCGCGAGGAAAGCTTCATTATTATTCCATGAAGATATTGAGTTTATATGAACGTACAAGAACGTGCCAATAACGTATTAATACCATTATAACATATAAATGGCAACATCGCAACTATTTCTTCTGCAACTTCAGGCAGTTTGATCCATCTGTCAGCGTCGTCATAAAATAAAATTCTTAAATGTGTAAACAGACTGTGTACATTTGTACAGTTAAATGTAAATTCTATATAATTCTATGTTCCAAGGAATTTCTGAGGACACATATATTTCATTGGCTTGTTTGTTCTTCTGACCGTCCATTCTTGCGTGCGTTCGTCCGACCGTTCGTTCGTTCGTGCATGAATTCGTCCGACCGTCCGTTCGTGTGTGCGTTTGTTCGACATTCCGTTCGTTCGTCGGTGCATTTGTTCGAAATTCGTTCGGTCGGGCATGCGTTCGTCTGACCGTTTGTTCGTTCGTGCATTCGTGCCATAGTCAAATCGTCCATTTGTGCGATCGTCAAACCGTCCGTTCGTGACAGCGCCCGTCCGACCGTCAAATCGTTCATTCGTGCGTTTGTTTGTCCCACCGTCCATTCGGGCGTTCGTCTGTCCGATCGTTAGCACGTGCGTGCGTTCGTCCGACCATCCATTCATTCAAGTGTGCGTTCGTCCGACCGTCCGTTCGTTCGTGCGTGCGTTTGTTCTACCGGCCGTTCGTTCGTGCATTCGTTCGACCGTTCGTTCGTGCGTGCATGCGTTCATCCGATCGTCCGTTCGTGCTTGTTTTCGTCCGACTGTCCATTCATTCATGAGTGCGTCTGTCTGAACGTCCTTTCGTCCGTGCGTGCGTTCTTTCGACCGTCTGTTCATGCGTGCGTTCGTCTGGTCGTTTTTACGCGTGTTTGTCTAGCCGTCGGTTTGTGCGTTCAAACGACCGTTCGTGTGTGCGTGGGTACGTTCGTCTGACCGTTCATTCATGTGTGCATTTATTCGTGCATGCCTTCGTTCGTGCGTGCGTCCGTGCGAGGGTTCGTTCGTTATTTGTTGGTAAATACTTTTTGCATTCGTTCGTGCGTTCGTTCATTTCTGAAAAGGGAGAGAAAAGGTGAGTGAGTTAGTGGGTGGTTGAGTGAGTGAGTATCTAAGCTGGCAACAGGAGATTGAGACAAAAATAGTATAGCTGAACATTTTTCTGATTTAATTGTTTTAGCTTATGCATGAATCTTACTAAATATCGACTTGTACTCATATATGATGGAATTCCACTTACTTTTCAAACAGTTGAATTGATTAGATTTGATGCGTAAAATCAACAACATTTATTTTCACATCGTAATTATGAAAATGAGGATAAACTTTTAACATTTCATCCGATCTAATTCTCATCACATTTTCTCATTACAACGTATCATGATATGTACTATATCAATACAGTATTTGCTGTTTTTGAGAATTGTATCAACAAATGATGTATTCATGAAACTGGGTAAAATAGTGGATCAAGCTAGGTACGATAGTGGGAGATTTTCACGGTATAATCAGGATTCATTCCATTTTTGAGAGACACTTGCTCCTGTTTTCAGCGGGACCTCCCCATGTTTTCAGCGGGGCCTCCTCATGATTTCAGCGGGGTCTTTGCTTTTTTGCTCCACTAGAAGCTGGGCCTTGAGAGATATAAAATTGAAATATAAAGTGTTCTGTAAAGCTTTAGGAATTGAAACTCAGTACATTTTTATTTCAAATCACTACCATTATTTCAACCACAGGACAACGTCGTACTTCACCTATAACGTATAGAAATATATAGATAAAGATTCAAGATGATACTTTTCTCTCTTCAATTGTCAAATAAAGAACCACAGAACGACCGCTCGTGATACTTTTTTCCATCAGTTGCCTTTTTAGTCTCAATACCATGTAATCATTGCGGAAAATTAAAAAGAAAACGTTTTGTACATCAAACAAGTAAACAAAAGACAACCCATCACTTTTTTATTCCTCGCGATTTCAGCGGGAACTTGCTCGCGACTTTGAAATCATAGCGGGGCTTTGGATACTACCGGTGTTCAGCCTTATATACTTTTCATGTAACCACCAAAAGTGGTGACATTTTGTTCTAGTCTCCCAATTTCTTTTAAACTTTTTTTGTGGACGGCGGTTGGTGTTTGGCGTTTTCGGAGTTCGGCATCTGTAACAATCTCTTACGGCGTCTGTAACAAATTCTTACTGTCAACATATGTAAATATGTTATGAATTCCAACACATTTCTACCAAAATCTGTAACCAAGGCAACATGTTGAAGGTCAACAAAAAGTTATTTTTCAACGTGCTTCAAATTGACCAAAGATCTTTGGGTGACCGTTATAAAAATTACCTAATATGGTCTGAAAAAGTAAAACTTTCTAGGTCAATTAAAGGTGAAATTTATCAAACTAGATCACAAACGGTATTGCCAACATATAGAAGGTCAACATTTATTTTTATTTTAATTTTAAAATCATCTACAAGTTCTCAGAAGTTCAACTCTGAATTAAGATTTGACATTTGAATTCTGTTTCACCTTCAATGACCGAAAGGTGGTGACATTTTGTCATGTTAATGCCCTGTCTTAAATGCTGAGTTTCTTATATACAGGGTGGGCCAAAAAATTTTGCAACCTTTTTAGAAGGCAAAAAAGTATCAAAACATTATGGTATTGACATGAAATTTTTTTTACAGAAACTTAAGGATAGGCATATTTTACCATTCAAATACTTAAGCTAATACTGACTTCACATTTTTTTGTCAGATGTTTGAATATTAATGGTAAATTGTTCATGTGTCCAAGATTTACCGATTTTCCTAGAAAATGTGATTTTCTATAATTTCATGTGCTCATCGATAGAACATTTATTATGTTCACTAAATCTGCTGCAATCTTTGTTAAGTGGTGTATTGGGCGGCTATTCATCAGGACTAATGAATCGAGGGGTATTTTGCTCCAGATATTCCATAGTGACTTTTGCCCTATGGTCAGGAGCGCTATCCTGCTGGAATAAGTTATCACCTGGGGCTGAAAGATCCCTCATTCTTGAAAGATGTCCCTTTTGAAGAATATTAGTCCTGAGGCGAATTGCCATCCAATACACCAGATGTCAACCCCTTGGACTATTACACATGGGGGCACCTGGAGCAAAGTATTGTAGTTAATGGTTATACCCCACAAATTATTGATCGACTATAAGAAGTTCTGCAGGATAAGTGGAGAGAACTACCACAAGAACTGCTGGATCTCGCCAATGACCAGTTCGGTTCTCGTCTCCATGTGATTGTGAAGGTGAAAGGCGGATGCATAGAGCATTTGTTTGTTAAATAAATCATACAGTATAACAATATAACCATAGTGACTAGATACTGATATAAACCTGGTATAGCCATTGGTTAAACAGTTATCAAAGATTGTAGCAGATTTAGTAAACATTATGAATGTGTTATTGTCGATCAGATAAATCATAGAAAGTCACATTTTCTAAGAAAAATGGTATATCTTGGACACATGAACAATTTACCATTAATATTCAAACATCTGACAAAAAAATGTGAAGTCAGTATCAGCTTAAGTATTTGAATGGTAAAATATGCCTATCCCTAAGTTTCTGTAAAAAAAATTTCATGTCAATAACATAATGTTATGATGCTTTTTTTGCCTTCTAAAAAAGTTGCAAAACTTTTTGGCCCACCCTGTATATAAGTATTAGTCCTATTGAAAAAGGCGCAACGTAACCAGCGTGCAAAGGCCAAACCTTTCTCTATAGTATAAATCATGCAGTCGATATATCCATTGTCTACATGTCTATAATAAATAAACAATTTTTCTTTACAATAACATTTAAAGGTCCCACTTTGGCATATTGTTGTCTCATCCATGGCCAAATATCACCAAATGTGAAAGATGAAACCTTTAAATTGCCTTTGAATTTGATGGAGCTTTTGTTGGAAACATACAATAAATGTGTATCCTCCAATGCATATATGATGACTTCTAATCAAGGAGTCCATTTCTCAATTTTTCCGTTTCTGGTAAATTAATGAATCGCGATGACGTCATTTTATCGATTTATTCGTTATCCATGATTGATTTTACGAGCATAAATGGGGGTCTCTTTATTCCATTAACGATGCGGTATCCATAGAAACGAATTGACAATTTATCCAATTAGCAATCGCAAGAATGTGTTTAATCGATTCTTTCATATGTGAGGGAGCCTTTAAAATATGTGATAAATATGAATCATATAAAAGTATGCTTACTGCAAAATTAATTTTATTAATTAATTCAAAGTTGTGGCTTCACATTTATAATGCTAATTCCATTTCTTTTCACATATTGCAAATTGACGTCCATGTGTTTTGATCTATTGAAGGGCACCACTGATCTTGTTCATTTGAGACTCTGATATAGAGATAGGTGACGCGAAGACCAACCATCTGGCAGACTCAGAGTAGAGAGGATCATTTTGATTACCAAAGGAGCTTGTAAAATCGTGCATGTTGTCTGGCAGCAAGGAGCGAAGTGAAAACGTTTCTAGATCTACAACACTTCTATCTAAAATGATAAAAAGTTAAAATGTTCTACAATGTTTACAAAATATATACAGTAACATGTATTCCAAATTTGATGATGATAAAAGTAATAATCTTTTGTGATTTTAGGAAAAATCAAACTGTTATGTACATAGATTGACATTACAAGGAGTACTACAGGCGTACTAGGGTTCAAAAGGGCCATGGAGCACAAACCACCAAGAAAGTTCACAAATGTTCCTTTCTACACCCTCACTTGTCCTCTTTATTTGAGAATATTTCAGTTTATAGCTGTTATATGAGTAAACATAAAAACACTTATTTCATAATTGATGTAATCGATTGATTGCTCTGATCTCGGTTAATTTCTTTTAAAACGTTCTTCATCAAGCTCTCTAATTCCGTTACTCAAATAAAAATTTATTAAATTCTTCTTACAGTCTGTGATAGTTATCAGCAAAGTATTATGAACCCCATTCATTGGAACAAAGTATTAGTTATTAGACGAATGTTGAGAAACTCTTTTCTGAATGCTGGACAATCACGAGCCAAAAGACAATGTCGATTTAGATGTAAATATGAAACACAAAATCTTAAGGATTCACCTTGTTTTGCTTGGTCTAATACATCAATGAGGAATTTCCATTTTGAATTGTCTTCATCTGTTAGCTATAATGTCAAATAAATTGAATTAGAAGCAAGGATTATATTATGACAAGATACATCAAAACGATTGACAATCTAAATAGCATGTGTGATAAGCATCTCAGCTTCGATACGGCTTAATATCGGTTATTTTGATTTAATGAGAACATAGTCCATTTGTCATCCCTATACATACTATAGTGAACCTATGAATTGTTAAAAACACGATGTTTTATGGTTAATTTATAATAACGAGGGTTTTCTGAAGTGATTTAACTGGGTTGGACAAAAAGTTAGTTTGGGGAAAAAAGTATATCGGCTAATTAGGGAGGGGTGCATTGGCTTAACATGGCGTTGACTATTGACTTTGCGTCAGGATACCACCATGTACCTGGTATGTTAGCATGGTGATAGATACAAACATTTTCCCCAACGTTAATTTTTTGGCAACCCAGCTAAATCACTCCAATAAACCCCAATGATAGTATTTGCACAGAAAAACATCATGTTTTTAAATATTCATACGTTAAGAAAATGACAAATGGACTAACAATGGATTTAATAATAAGAGCAGGGACGTAACCAGTTTTCAGTCAGGGGGGGGGGGATGCGATCGCCAAAAAATCGGGTTTCAGTCGGGGGGGGGGGGGTGTGTAATCGTCGTGGCATAAGCAACCCAAAAAAGATTAAGATTTGTTTTGAATTTTACAAACATTGATGTAACTTCCTTCAAAATTGAGCTAGAAGCTCCAAATAAAAAGCAAATTGAAGCTCGTTTCATTTTATTTTCATTGGTTTGGGTGTGTGTGTGTGTGGGGGGGGGGGGGGGGTGGGTGCGATCATGCACCCCCTCCTGGATACGCCTATGAAGAGGTAATTTTCATACAATGTCCATTTAAAGTGTCTCACATATTCGATCAAAACTTGCCATGCAAACATGTTAGTCTACTTTACTGACCCCCCTTGCTGTAACAAGGAACCCAAAACACATTAAAACGTAAACATAAACCAATTAGTCACTTCACTTTGAAAGTGGGGGTGTTAGCAAATGTGTATTAGGCCATAAGAAGTAGATTCTTTGTTTTGCGTCCTGGCAAAATCCAAATCATGCAAGGGTTCAAGGGTTAAAGGAAAACAAACACAAACTCAAGAAAAAAACACAAGGCACAGACGTGAACAATATCGAACCTAAAACACAGCAGTGTGACAGTGAAGAATTTAGGACGGAAAATCCAAAATGGCCACCTTAAAATTTACCCAGAATGCCCAAAAACTAATCAGTTCTTAACTTAAATACGTAGAAACATCCCTGAAAATTTCAGATGAATCCATCAAATGGTTTGGCTGGAAACCTGTAGACAAGTCTTGAAAGTGAAGATTTTAGGACGGAAAATCCAAAATGGCCACCTTAAAATTTACCCAGAATGCCCAAAAACTAATCAGTTGTTAACTTTGATATGTAGAAACATCCCTGTAAATTTCAAATGAATCCATCAAATGGTTTGGCTGGAAACCTGTAGACAAGTCCTGAAAGTGAAGATTTTAGGACGGAAAATCCAAAATGGCCACCTTAAATTTTACCCAGAATGCCAAAAAACTAATCAGTTCTTAACTTTGATATGTAGAAACATCCCTGTAAATTTCAAATGAATCCATCGAATGGTTTGGCTGGAAACCTGTAGACAAGTCTTGAAAGTGAAGATTTTAGGACGGAAAATCCAAAATGGCCACCTTAAATGTTACCCAGAATGCCAAAAAACTAATCAGTTCTTAACTTTGATATGTAGAAACATCCCTGAAAATTTCAGATGAATCCGTCAAATGGTTTGGCTGGAAACCTGTAGACAAGTCTTGAAAGTGAAGATTTTAGGACGGAAAATCCAAAATGGCCACCTTAAAATTTACCCAGAATGCCCAAAAACTAATCGGTTCTTAACTTTGATATGTAGAAACATCCCTGTAAATTTCAAATGAATCCGTCAAATGGTTTGGCTTGAAACCTGTAGACAAGTCTTGAAAGTGAAGATTTTAGGACGGAAAATCCAAAATGGCTACCTTAAATTTTACCCAGAATGCCAAAAAACTAATCAGTTCTTAACTTTGATACGTAGAAACATCCCTGAAAATTTCAGATGAATCCGTCAAATGGTTTGGCTGGAAACCTGTAGACAAATCTTGAAAGTGAAGATTTTAGGACGGAAAATCCAAAATGGCCACCTTAAAATTTACCCAGAATGCCCAAAAACTAATCAGTTCTTAACTTTGATACGTAGAAACATTCCTGAAAATTTCAGATGAATCCGTCAAATGGTTTGGCTGGAAACCTGTAGACAAGTCTTGAAAGTGAAGATTTTAGGACGGAAAATCCAAAATGGCCACCTTAAAATTTACCCAGAATGCCCAAAAACTAATCAGTTCTTAACTTAAATATGTAGAAACATCCCTGTAAATTTCAAATGAATCCATCAAATGGTTTGGCTGGAAACCTGTAGACAAGTCTTGAAAGTGAAGATTTTAGGACGGAAAATCCAAAATGGCCACCTTAAATGTTACCCAGAATGCCAAAAAACTAATCAGTTCTTAACTTTGATATGTAGAAACATCCCTGAAAATTTCAGATGAATCCGTCAAATGGTTTGGCTGGAAACCTGTAGACAAGTCTTGAAAGTGAAGATTTTAGGACGGAAAATCCAAAATGGCCACCTTAAAATTTACCCAGAATGCCCAAAAACTAATCGGTTCTTAACTTTGATATGTAGAAACATCCCTGTAAATTTCAAATGAATCCGTCAAATGGTTTGGCTTGAAACCTGTAGACAAGTCTTGAAAGTGAAGATTTTAGGACGGAAAATCCAAAATGGCTACCTTAAATTTTACCCAGAATGCCAAAAAACTAATCAGTTCTTAACTTTGATACGTAGAAACATCCCTGAAAATTTCAGATGAATCCGTCAAATGGTTTGGCTGGAAACCTGTAGACAAATCTTGAAAGTGAAGATTTTAGGACGGAAAATCCAAAATGGCCACCTTAAAATTTACCCAGAATGCCCAAAAACTAATCAGTTCTTAACTTTGATACGTAGAAACATTCCTGAAAATTTCAGATGAATCCGTCAAATGGTTTGGCTGGAAACCTGTAGACAAGTCTTGAAAGTGAAGATTTTAGGACGGAAAATCCAAAATGGCCACCTTAAAATTTACCCAGAATGCCCAAAAACTAATCAGTTCTTAATATCTTCTTGATACGTAGAAACATTCCTGAAAATTTCAGATGAATCTGTCAAATGGTTTGGCTGGAAACCTGTTGACAAGCTGAAAAGTGAGACGCCGCCCGCCCGCCCGCCCGCCAAGCTGACGACAATATCGTACCTTTATTAGGTACGATAACAAACTTGTTTGCTGAGAAATGTACACATTTTATGGGCATAAAAAGGGATGACATACCAATTTGCAGTGATTACAAACACATATCTATACATTTTATACAATATATTTAAACTTTAAGGGTAAAAAATAAGAAAATACACAATGTATGCCAAAATAATTCTAACACTGTCAATTTTGACGCACATCAAATTATCCGCCATTTCGTCTGATTCTGATTGAACGAAATGTAATGGTACTTTCAGACCCTTGTGATTGCTATTTTGATGTGTTTGTTTTTTCTGATTTACTCAAAATCGTGCAAGCAAGGGGACGCAAAGAATCTACTTCTTATGGCCTTAGCAGAATACGCTGTGTGCATGGACTAACACAATATCAGTGGTCATTTACTGTGTCAACTTAGTAACCCTTGCATATCGTGCTCACTCAAGTATTGAATAATTTTTTTATGATCTAAATGTTTGTGGTTTATAAAAAAATGTGATATATTTTAGTTAGAAATACATTAATATATTCATTCAAACAGCACTAGAATGCGGGAAGAAAGAGCAATGGTAACAAAATGCAGACAGAATTTTCCGTAAGGGTTTCAAACATTTCTGAACACAATCATACATGTACTTCATGTGTACTGTTATTTTTAGTGCTGTATAGATATAATTTCACGTATTAAAATCATATTTTCCAGCAATGACTTCAAATTCGGAACCACACCCATATCACATTTTCTTCAATAACTCCAAACATGTGTAAACATTGACCATGTGCATATAAATTCAAATTTCACAAGCTCTTTCCTATTCGAGTACCTCATACACCCCTGCATGGATTTGAGTTGGATTCGCCTTTTATACGTGAGCCGACACACTCGCAAACGCTGATTGGATAAAGATTGCGAGAATCTTTAACATAACAAAGTGGTACACTATATATCACCCTATGCAGACAGAGCCTGTGGGAAATATTGGGTGCGGAGCAAATGAGCGGAGGGTGCGGAGCTAACGGTTATTTTTGAATTTAAATTTGGGATATTTCTGAAACTAAGCCGTTTTGGGACTTCAAATATACCAAGATATGTGTATTTGTCACCAAATATCAATACAATTGTGAAAATAGTAGCGCAATTCATTCTATAGCGACACAGTGTGCCTTAAACCTTTCCCAGACCTATATATTTTGTAATTATCCTTTTAATACTGAGTCCCCAGCATTCATAAAAAATGGTGTTCAAGGTGCACTATCTATACAAATTATTTTTGCATCTTGGAAGCCAGGCAGTATCTGTGTGATTTTATAAAAATTCGGAAATTTTTTCAGATATGAGCCCCCTCTAAATATTGGGTGCGGAGCAGCTCCATAAACGTAGCTCCGCACCCAATATTTAGAGGGGGCTCATATCTGAAGAACATTTATAATATAAAATGAATTGCACTACTATTTTCACAATTTTATTGATATTTGGTGTCAAATACACATATCTTGGTATATTTGAAGTCCCAAAACGGCTTAGTTTCAGAAATATCCCAATTTTAAATTCAAAAATGACCGTTAGCTCCGCACCCTCCGCTCATTTGCGCCGCACCCAATATTTCCCACAGGCTCTGTCTGCATAGGGTGTATATGCTGAATATTTACCTCAAACACGAAAATTAGGTTTGTAAATTGGATACATTCAGGAGCATTTGGGTTTCCATTCTTGCTAACAATATGCAACTGAAATATATCACACATCAGCTAAGCGAATTATCTCAATACTTTTGAATAAGAAGACTTCAAAATAATATGGTTTTATTTTTACCAGATAATATTAAAATTGATACATATGGATTCATAAGTTCATAAACAATTTTTATCGTGTACCTCCATTGACTGACGTTGGTCTTCAAATGTGGAAATGAGATCCATATGTAACACACTGTAGAAATCTTCAGTTTGAAGTCCATCTATGAGCTCGAATCCACATGTCTTCAGTCCTATGCGAACTAGAAATTATCCCAAAGTTGAGAATAAGATTTCAAGACAAAGAAGTATGTGGGCAATTTTTACAAAGTTATTAGTTGACCAACGACTAATTTAGCACTCATTGGGCTTTCAATGTTTATTTTCAACATTTTGAAGTAATTAACATTTGGTGTATATGTTTCCCAGTTTTCCCATTGGCTTATTGAGTAATATGATTTGCAATTTCTTTTTTATTCAATGGTTTAACTACTACATCTTTTGAGTTTTAAATAGAGTTTTCTATTATAAAACGTATAACTTTGAATGTATATTTCAAAGATCACTTAGAATTTGTCAAGATGCATTTGTTCATGCTTATAAAATGTTTATCATGTCCCTTTTGAAATCAGTTTTTGTTAACGAGTAAAAAACATATGCCCACCTGAGTTTTCCTCCAGATGCAATTCTGCCGATCCACACTTGTCAAAAACTCTTCCTTTGATGATATAGTCACACATTTTACTAGCGTTGTCCAGGTTTGTATCTTCATTACCGTTCGCCAAATTGCAGAATTTGTCTTGGTCACTTGTAAATGAAATTCATAACGGGCCATAATTTAGTGTTGATATTTGCGATAACTCTGAAATCTTATTTTTCATTTCTTTGCAACGACATGAGAGATGGATTTGAACCTGAATCAAATTGATTACATTGGCCTTTATATTTGGGAACTACATTATGAAGCGACTTGAGTTTGAAAATCTAGATAATAAATTGTGATTCTTCACCCACCATGCCTCGTATGTAGATCTACCATTGATATCTTGGAGGGGCAACATATCTTTAGGTGTTGCAGTGTAATGTGGATCATACCCCATTATAGAACGAAAATCCCGCAACTATAAAACAAACAAACACAAATGTTATAGTGTTCAGTAGGTTTTGTCATTCAAGATACTAAAGGGGGACATACAGAATGGAAGTTAAGATTTTTGTCAATTTAACTTGAAATACCAGATACGCATTGTGAGTTCCAGTCTCTACAATACTTTGGAATAGATTTGGGGCCCAAAATCATCTGCTCATCCCTAGATAAATTGGCCAATTTAGATAACAAACTGGCAAAACTCACAAACTTTAGATAAAGAGAGACTCTGATAAATAAAAATGTCAGTCACGCATATAATATCATTTTATACTCACTAGAGTTTGAACACGATACACATGTAACATAGTCATTTTCGATTATACTTTTATGTTGATCAATCCCTTCATCTCATTTTTACAGGTCCCTTTTCATACCTTTTATGGCAATGTCAAATAGTTAATCCCGTTGTTTTCTAGTACTTTATACATGTATGTGCTTTATATTATCATTCACGTTCACCTTTTGTTTAAAACCTGTTTTATTGTAGTCCATGCTCTGCTTATATTATGTCCTTTTATATTCCTTATATGGTAAAACACACTCACTCAGTTGAGTTTTGGGGCCAGTAACACCCCAGTCACATTTGTCGCACGGCGGCCGCAAGTCGACCGCAGATCAATTAAATCGGTGAATTTCAGAAAAATCGTAGAAAAACTACGCTCGCCTTGCGGCCTCCGTACGGCGAATGCAGATTTTTACAGGCCGCAGGGAAGGCGTAGAAATTATAACTCGGAGTTATAATATTCGTTCATTTCTGAGGTCCCCGTAGAAATCAACTGGCTCAACAAGATTGAATCATTATTTATCAATGTTTCACGATCACTTTTCATTTGATATTACATCCTAGCACTATGGATAACATTTTTAAATTGTCCTGATGTAAATAAAATGAAAAAAGTATTATTTATCGACAGAAATTTAAAATTCACCGTGCGGCTGCCGTGGGAAATGTGACTGCAAAAGTATGAGAGCGCAGAAATTCTGCGGCGAGCGTAGAAAAGCTACTGGCCGCAGAAATGATAGACCGCAAGGTCGCCGTAGAAAATGTGACTGGGGTGTTAGTCAGTTAGTTAGTCAATTGTTGCAGAGATACATGTATCAGATTTTGAAATATACCTTTTTTAGACATTTTAAATCATAGTTTTCTGTTATATTTTATTTGCCACCCACGGGCCTTCCACGCCCATCTTACATACAGAATGAACTATCATAGAATAGGATTTGGAATGATAGAACAGGATACCTGTCGTTCAGATATGCTGATAGTATCCTTAAATATTGTCGCGTTCCAGACTTTTGCTGATAGTCTGGAAGCGATGAGTAACTTTTTCACCTTACACTTCTCTGTGGGCCCAGTCCTGGTTTGGTGGACTGGATAAAACGACAGTCACAAATGGCTTCCAATTTAATACATATATTTTAACACAACTATTAATACATGAAAATAACACTTTAATGTTCATAAACTAAAATGTCACTATAATTCTCTTTGTAGGATGGATGTCGGCGGTTGCTGCGTTATTAGCTCTTTGCTTGGCTCCCTGGGCTCTATAGCCTGGCTCCTCTGGCTCTTGAACGTGGCTCCTCTAGCTCTTCGTTGAGCTCTTTAGCCTGGCTCCTTTAGCTCCTGGACTTGGCTCCTCTGGCTCCTCGTCCAGCTCTTTGGCTCCTTAGCCTGGCTTTTCTGGCTCCTGAACTTGGCTCCTCGTTCAGCTCTTTGGCTCTTTAGCCTGGCTCCTCTAGCCCTTAAGCTTGGCTCCTTTAGCTCCTGAACTTGGCTCCTCTGGCTCCTCGTCCAGCTCTTTGGCTCTTTAGCCTGGCCCCTCTGGCTCTTGAGCTTGGCTCCTCTGGCTCCTGAACGTGGCTCCTCTAGCTCTTCGTTGAGCTCTTTAGCCTGGCTCCTCTAGCCCTTAAGCTTGGCTCCTTTAGCTCCTGGACTTGGCTCCTCTGGCTCCTCGTCCAGCTCTTTGGCTCCTTAGCCTGGCTCCTGTGGCTCTTGAGCTTGGCTCCTCTGGCTCCTGAACTTGGCTCCTCGTTCAGCTCTTTGGCTCTTTAGCCTGGCTCCTCTAGCCCTTAAGCTTGGCTCCTTTAGCTCCTGGACTTGGCTCCTCTGGCTCCTCGTCCAGCTCTTTGGCTCTTAGCCTGGCTCCTCTGGCTCTTGAGCTTGGTTCCTCTGGCTCCTGAACTTGGCTCCTCTGGCTCCTCTTTCAGCTCTTTGGCTCCTTAGCTTTGCTCTGCCTCTATGGCTCTTGAGTTTTCTGGGAAGGCTCCTCATTGCCCGATGCGATGGAAGTCTTCCTGGAACTATTTCTGTCAGCGGTGAAACCAACTGTCAAAATTAGTTCGCCGTGTTGGGAAGTTTCCCAATTTCACCTAACGATAATGCAAGGCTGCTTCCAGGTTGTTCCTTGCTGCTTCCCCTAAGACAGCACTGAACTGTGAAGAATTCTTGACAACACTTTAGGCAATTAATGACACAGTGTTGTTTTACATTAAATCTGACAAATATCTCACTTTAGCAAGTCTGGGACACAAAATGGCGACGCATGATAAATCTCAATACCCGTTGAATTATAACTACAGTCAGTCAGAGGCATCCCAGTAGCATGCTGGCCATAAAGTTACAAATTCTGGTACACATGAAATTAAAAATTATAGTCAGTCAGAGGCACCTAGTAGCATGCTGGCCATAAAATCAAATTACAAAAAGGAAAAACCTCACCCGAATAAATGCTTTTTTCTCTAAGTTGCCAAAAATTAAGGTTTTCTCTGTTGTTTCTCCTTCAAGAACCTCCTGGTGCGTCTTCCCGCTTTATCATTCGTTATTAATCCCGAATCCTTGGCAGATGGCTACTCTAAAGTGTGATAAATGTGGATTTCCTCCCAACCTTTGATTCAAGCTGCTTCCTTCAAGATGGCGACCTTCGTTCTCCTCACGTGATGGCATGAGTCACAGGCACAGGTGAACACATTTTGAAAACAGGGGCACTGCATTGCAGCAATTGAGGGGAATCCCCTTCTTGTCTTGGAATACCCACTTGTGAGCAGGGGTTTCCCTATCCCTTGCATAAATGGACTAATTAAACATAAAACTGCACCAGTGGGAAAATTAAAAAGGATACACTTAAAAAATGAAATTTTCCCACATACCCCCCTTCTAGCTTTTATGTGCCCTCACATAAAACAAAGTTCCTGCAAACTATAAAAACAAATGTACTGTAACTGATAACTGTCTTCACTCTCTGACTCCTGGTGCCTTCTTTAAAGGAAGAGCTCGACAGCTCTCAGAGACTCTTGGTCTTTCTGTGTTTTGCTCGCTGAGTTAGGTATGCTCCTTGGAGGAGCGCCAATTGGACTTCTTGTTTTCTGGTGTGTTGAGCTCTTAGGACGATGCTCCTTGTATGGCGAATTCTTAGAAGGATAGTTCCTCTCACAAGGGGAGCTCTTAGCTGGATAGTACCACTGGTGCGAGGAGCTCCTGAGATTACCCTCCCTGTGCAGATTCCTCTTTCTGGCGAACTCGTTTGCAGGTTTGTTTCTCTCACAGGTCCTTGGCCTAAATTGTGACCTCGAATGCTCCCCCTCCTTTTTCTTGGCTTAGTTGACACAGCATCGGGCAACACTGATTCTATGATTCCCATCTGACTTGGCTCCTCTGAAGGAGCAAACCCAATGTGGACCTTTAACAGCCTGCTTGAATATGGTGGTATGTCCTCATCTGCAATCAATTGACAAACCCGAGGGGCCAATTGGTATGGTGCATTAGACCCAGTAGAGTTTTCTTCTTTGCTCATAACTCTAAGCTTTTTGGCTTCCTCCTCTTCCAGGTCACTTCCCCCAGCATCAACATTCTTATCAAAGGTTGCCTTCTTATTCTGCTTTAGAACCTCAGTAAATGTTACTCTTCTCTCGTTTTTCTTAGATCTTTGCATGGGAAGTGGTAATGATGCTCGGTCAGAGGATGTCTGTTTCTGCTTCTTAAGTCAGTCGATGATGTCATATTCGTTCTTTGAGTCTGCTCATCTTGCACATGGTGTCGCTCTGTCATCTCTCCGTCATCAAAAGACATCTCCAACTTGTTGAAGTTTATAACAGCTCCACTGGTTGACATGTATTCTACTCCAAGAATACCAGCTTGAGCAATATCGGCTACCACTGCTGTAGTCAATGTTGTTCTCCCTTCTATCTTTATCTTTCCAGTAATCTCCCCATATGTGGAAAGGGGAGAGCCATCGGCTTGTACAAATACTTGAGACGGAGGCTTCAAACTGGGTCGTCGACAAAGAGGTATCTTCTGGTAGCTTTCTATGCTGATCATGTTCTGCATGGACCCAGAATCAATGAGGAACTGCATGGAAGTTCCACAAAACTTTGCATCTGCAAGAATTTTCTGCACTGCTCGCTTACTACCAGGCTGAAACTCAACATTGTTATTGAACAAAAACCTAATAGGGCTGGTGTTGCTGAATCTTGAATCATTACTGTGTCGCCGAGGCTCGGGACAAGAGGAAGCAATATGACCTAGCCCATCACAGTTGTAACACCTGGTTTGTGAGCAAGAGGTCATTGAATGTCCCCGTTCCCCACAGCTCTTGCAGGGATATCTCGTTCCCGCCTTTCCCTGGGGTTTGGGGCTCTCCTCCTTGTTTTGAAGATTCTTTATTTCCGTCAGCAATTCCCTTTTTAATCCATGTAAGAGCTTGGTAAATTCAGATGAGTCTTCTTCCACTGTCGAGATTCTTTGCTCCTTAGTCCTCCCTTTGAGCCCTTGTCTTATTCTCTCAGACTCTTGATAGCTCTCCTCTCTAAGAGCAATTTCAATGCTCTTGTCTAGTGTGGATGGCTCCTTACTGTGTATGGCCCGCCTTAGCTCCTCATCTGGGATTGCTTGTTCAAAGCTTCTGCGAGCGAGCCTATCTTGAACATCCCGGCTCATTTCCGGGTATGCCATGGAGGTCAGTCGTCGTATGTGTTGCCCTAGACTTTGCAAAGATTCTCGAGGCTTTCTTTTTCGACTGCACAGCTCAGCTTCATACACATCGGCCTTGCCACCTGGGCCGAACCTCTTCTCCAAGGCTTCCAGTAGGTCTTCATAAGAGTAGCCCTTCTCCATCTCCAGAACAATCTGCTGGGCATCTCCTCTTAAGTTGGTGGCCAAATACTGAGCCTTCTCTTTGTCCGTCCAGTTATTATTCGCCACACACGTCTGAAAATATGCTTTGTAATCTGGCCAGGGATTCGATCCATCGAACGTTTGTGTAGGCTTTATCCTTGTATGTTTCCCTGTATTTGACGATTCGACTGCCTTTCCGCAAATTTTGATAGCTTTCTGAGCCATTTGCAGAACAGAATCTAGCGCTGAGGTATCCGGGGCATTTGAAGCTTCTTTGTCTCTGCTCTTCTTATCAGGAGACACATTGGGCTCACAGTCTTGTTCTTGCCCCGTGGCTCCCGTTGCTGTCTCTTCTTGAGTAACTCGGGCTGTCTTGTTATCATAACTGAGGGATGGTAGCTCCAGGTGTGGATTCGCCATCATTAAGTTGTGATCTACCCCCTCTTCTGGATGCCGCTTCTGTTTCAACTCAGGCCTGTACCTGGGCTGAGGACTTTCTTTCATGGCTGTTTTCTCTGCTCTTCTACTCGAAGAAGTAAGTTTCGGCACAGCACCACCCGACTCTTTGCTTACCTCAACGTATGACATGGGATCTGGATTTCTCTGCATTCCTTTTACAGAGCAATTACTCCCCCCTTCCAGATGTGACCTATCCTCCATCGGATGAGCTTGATATCTCATTCCAGTAGGAGGCAGTCGAGGCTCTCCATACATGGTCCTTTTCTCCCAAGTGGAGCGTACTGGGTCATCTTGCTGACAGGCAGTTTCCTGTTCCTGCTTTACCCGTCTCTCATGAATCAAATATGGAGGCATCCAACCTCCCGCCTCCCCGGGGACTGGCTCAAACATCATTGGTGTGTCTTCTCTATGAAAGTTAGCTTCTAACTGTGCTTGCCCACACTCACGGGGACTTATTCCTCTGTAACTTGAATGTGACTTAAGTTGGTGCTCTGTGATGGGATCCTGGTTGATCTGCCACTCCTGTTCTATTGGGTTAAAACTGCTCCCCCGAATATGTTTCCTTATCTCCTCTGATGGGGATCTTGACTGCTCTATAGTCTGAGCAATGGATTGTAGGGCTCCATGAACTGAACTCAGCCCAAGGGAAAGATCCTGTTGAAACGTGCCAAGGCCTTGGCTCAAGTCTCCCCTTAACTTCTGTTGCTCCCTCCTCAGTTCATGTACATATTCTCCCTGCTCTTTCACACTGCTCGTCAGCAAAGTTGTTTGGAGCTGCTGTAAGACCAGTTCCCTCTGCAGTGTGAACAATTCTTCACTCATCCGTCTGACTGGAACCTCCTCAGTAGAAGTTCTTGGCTGATTAATACCATGGGCTCCTCTTGGTGGAGTCGCATAATTTGGTAGCACCCGCTGCTCTGTTCCTGACCAGTATCCGTTACTTTGCAGCAGAAGGGTCCTCCTCGGCCTGTTTGGTGACGGCATATCTTCCACGGGAATGGTGTCATCCAATACCATGTCATCACCTCCTGGTTGTCCTTTGAAGAACACTGTCTTTTCACCATCTACCTCTAATGCTGCTTCTTTGTCTGTTTGGAGCTTGCTCTCCATAGCTCGGCTTGTATCTGTGTCTGACGTTGCCATCTTGTGCTCGGTACTGTCGTTTTACTAATCCCACTTCTGACACCAATGTCGCGTTCCAGACTTTTGCTGATAGTCTGGAAGCGATGAGTAACTTTTTCACCTTACACTTCTCTGTGGGCCCAGTCCTGGTTTGGTGGACTGGATAAAACGACAGTCACAAATGGCTTCCAATTTAATACATATATTTTAACACAACTATTAATACATGAAAATAACACTTTAATGTTCATAAACTAAAATGTCACTATAATTCTCTTTGTAGGATGGATGTCGGCGGTTGCTGCGTTATTAGCTCTTTGCTTGGCTCCCTGGGCTCTATAGCCTGGCTCCTCTGGCTCTTGAACGTGGCTCCTCTAGCTCTTCGTTGAGCTCTTTAGCCTGGCTCCTTTAGCTCCTGGACTTGGCTCCTCTGGCTCCTCGTCCAGCTCTTTGGCTCCGTAGCCTGGCTCCTCTGGCTCCTGAACTTGGCTCCTCGTTCAGCTCGTTGGCTCTTTAGCCTGTCTCCTCTAGCCCTTAAGCTTGGCTCCTTTAGCTCCTGAACTTGGCTCCTCTGGCTCCTCGTCCAGCTCTTTGGCTCTTTAGCCTGGCCCCTCTGGCTCTTGAGCTTGGCTCCTCTGGCTCCTGAACGTGGCTCCTCTAGCTCTTCGTTGAGCTCTTTAGCCTGGCTCCTCTAGCCCTTAAGCTTGGCTCCTTTAGCTCCTGGACTTGGCTCCTCTGGCTCCTCGTCCAGCTCTTTTGCTCCTTAGCCTGGCTCCTGTGGCTCTTGAGCTTGGCTCCTCTGGCTCCTGAACTTGGCTCCTCGTTCAGCTCTTTGGCTCTTTAGCCTGGCTCCTCTAGCCCTTAAGCTTGGCTCCTTTAGCTCCTGGACTTGGCTCCTCTGGCTCCTCGTCCAGCTCTTTGGCTCTTAGCCTGGCTCCTCTGGCTCTTGAGCTTGGTTCCTCTGGCTCCTGAACTTGGCTCCTCTGGCTCCTCTTTCAGCTCTTTGGCTCCTTAGCTTTGCTCTGCCTCTAGGGCTCTTGAGTTTTCTGGGAAGGCTCCTCACTGCCCGATGCGATGGAAGTCTTCCTGGAACTATTTCTGTCAGCGGTGAAACCAACTGACAAAATTAGTTCGCCGTGTTGGGAAGTTTCCCAATTTCACCTAACGATAATGCAAGGCTGCTTCCAGGTTGTTCCTTGCTGCTTCCCCTAAGACAGCACTGAACTGTGAAGAATTCTTGACAACACTTTAGGCAATTAATGACACAGTGTTGTTTTACATTAAATCTGACAAATATCTCACTTTAGCAAGTCTGGGACACAAAATGGCGACGCATGATAAATCTGAATACCCGTTGAATTATAACTACAGTCAGTCAGAGGCATCCCAGTAGCATGCTGGCCATAAAGTTACAAATTCTGGTACACATGAAATTAAAAATTATAGTCAGTCAGAGGCACCTAGTAGCATGCTGGCCATAAAATCAAATTACAAAAAGGAAAAACCTCACCTGAATAAATGCTTCTTTCTCTAAGTTGCCAAAAATTAAGGTTTTCTCTGTTGTTTCTCCTTCAAGAACCTCCTGGTGCGTCTTCCCGCTTTATCATTCGTTATTAATCCCGAATCCTTGGCAGATGGCTACTCTAAAGTGTGATAAATGTGGATTTCCTCCCAACCTTTGATTCACGCTGCTTCCTTCAAGATGGCGACCTTCGTTCTCCTCACGTGATGGCATGAGTCACAGGCACAGGTGAACACATTTTGAAATCAGGGGCACTGCATTGCAGCAATTGAGGGGAATCCCCTTCTTGTCTTGGAATACCCACTTGTGAGCAGGGGTTTCCCTATCCCTTGCATAAATGGACTAATTAAACATAAAACTGCACCAGTGGGAAAATTAAAAAGGATACACATAAAAAATGAAATTTTCCCACAATATTGTCCATATTGCTACTTCATCTGTAGGCTTCAGTACACTTCCGTCCGGATTTTTAGCTGGGCATGTTGGACTGCCATAGTAACGGTAAAAGCTGTTCATGTTCCTTGGTAGAAGCTGTTGTATGCGTAATTGATCAATACTAGCAGGATAATCTAGAAATCAAAAGATATAATGATCTGAATTTTACTGATATTTGAAAAGAAAAATGATCATTATTAATATACTCTGCGATCTTTGGCGTGTTGGTTTTGCGATGATTTTTATGTCCCCACCACATAGTGTGGGGCCATATTGTCGGCCTAGGCGCATCCGTCTGTCTGTCCGTCTGTCCGTACGTCCGGCTGTTTTCTCCAAAACCGCTACAGATATCACCTTCAAATTTTCAGGGATAACTTATGAGTGCATACAGATGTGGATGAAAAAAAATTAACTCGATACCTACTTCCTGTCGGCCATTTTGAAGTCAAATGCTAAAATCCTTGTCTGCAAACTTTAAGAAAAACGGCTTCACAGTTGCTTTTAAAACTTTAACATCTTGTTCAGCTCACTTAATTCTAGATCTGATTAGGTTTTGGACCTGTTAGCTCAATCATGTCAGCCATTTTGAATGTTTTAAGAAAAGTTAGCGCACGATAATAGTTTGTATTTTTTTTTTTTTTTTTCAATTTCAAAATAATTTATTTCAGTTTTCATTACAAAAATTACAACATTATACAGGCTATGACACCCCAGGGGGTGTATGACTGCCCATAACTAAATTTACAATAAACATGATAAACTGTGAACATTTAAAGTGGTACATAGGTCAATACAATAATATAATATAAATACAATATACAAATACAATAATATGAGACAATAAAGAAATGAAATAAATGTTTTGGTTACTCTGTACTCAGGAGGTCAATTTTCAAACGAGATATGAGTGAATTTAATGGTTTATTTCTAATATCTTCATTGAGGGAATTCCATATATATGAACCATGGACCTTAATAGAATTTTCACCAATTCTGGTTCTATGTTTAGGAATATCTAAGTTATGACCAAATCGAGTTATACATTGATGTATGTTTTCTCTAGTTTTGAAATAGTGATCGTATAATTTTGAAGGGAACTGTACAGATTTGCTTATAACTTTTTTCATGAATGAAACAGTTTGGATTGTGTGAATATGATAAATATTAAGTATTTTAAGATCTTGAAAAATTGGGAATGTGTGAGCTAATCTATCTGAATTTGTTATTAATCTAACAAATTTCTTTTGCAATATCAGTAGTTTATTTAATAGATTCTTAAAAGCATTTCCCCATAAAATATTACAGTAATTAAGATGAGAAAAAATCAGAGAGTTATATATTATCATCTTTGAATTTAAAGTATGAGCATAATTTGTTCGATATAACATTCCTATAACATTTGAAACTTTTCTATGAAGAGCATTGATATGGGGAGCCCAAGATAATTTTGAATCAATAATTACTCCCAGGAATCCTATCTCATCTACTTTTTCAAGGTTAGAATTTGCAATTTTTATTTCATTGTTCACAGATATATTTCTTTTATTTCCAAAGACCATGTATTTTGTTTTCTTAACATTTAAAGTGAGTTTATTGGCCAACAACCAATCATTGATGTCACACAGTTCAGAATTTACGGTTGTGGTCAAATTATCAAGATTGGAATCACTACATAATATATTAGTGTCATCCGCATAAATCACCAGTTTGAGTTTATCAGAAACTAGATAGAAATCATTTACAAATATGATAAATAGGAGGGGGCCTAGAACAGACCCTTGGGGTACTCCACAGTTAACGATTGCTTCTTCAGACAAATATTTCTCGGATAAACTTTTAGAGTATTCAGTTTTCATTTTTCGATTTGATAAATAAGATGAAAACCATGAAAGTGCAATTCCTCTTATACCATAATGTTCCATTTTTTTAAGTAATATTGCATGATTAACAGTATAAAAGCTTTTGATAGATCCAAATATATTCCGATACAATATTCTTTGTTATCTAATGAATGTCTGACATTTTCAATAAATTCTATGAGTGCCATGTAAGTTGATCTATGTTTCCGAAAGCCGTACTGGTGTAAATACAATAATTCATATTTCTCTAAAAAAGTAGATACTTTGTCATGCATTATTTTTTCAAACATCTTAGCAAATACACTTAAAATAGATATTGGTCTATAGTTTGTGAATTTATCATGTTCCCCCTTTTTGAAAATTGGAATAACTTTAGCAAGTTTAAGTTCTTCAGGAAAAATACCTGTGGTCATAGAGAGGTTATAAATGAAAGTAAGAGGATCAGCTATATGATCATGTAATACTTTAACAACCTTTGGTTTAATATCATCAATGGCTACTGCTGAGTCCTTTAAGTTCTTGATTTGATTTTGGACAGTATTAACATCAACAGGTGCCAAGAAAATTGAATTAATATTACGTTCGATTTTATTAACATTATCAAGTGGGTCTTTATCCGAGTTTATTTCATTAGCTAGCTTTTCACCAATTGTGCTAAAAAATTTATTAAAATTGTCTGCTATGGATTTTCCATCATCAATTTTTCTTCCTTCATGGATAAAATTATCATTAAGGATCTTCTTAGGTTGTTTACGTTTCAAAATAGAGTTTATTACATCCCAGGTCTTTTTTATATTGCCATTGCTAATTTCAAATTTTTTCTTATAATGAAGCTTTTCTGCATTCCTGATAATATGATTAAGTCTATTTTTATAATTAGTGTAAGTGAGTCTATTTTCATCAGTTGGACATTTTTTAAACTTAATATATAGTTTATTTTTCCTCTTAGCTGAAGTAATAATACCCAGGGATATCCATGGTCTTTCTAAGTTAGAGTAAGTTTTGACAGTTTTAGTTAATATTGGGAGACATCTATTGTACACCTCAGTAAATTTGTTAATAAATATTGAATATGCTTCATTGACATTGTCCTGTTGTTTTAAATCAGTCCATTCCATGAGACATATTTCATCTTTAAATCTGGTTAAGTTCTTATCAGAATATGAACGATAACTTATTTTGATTTTTTTATAAGATGGTTTTTCAAGTGAAGAGGTGCAGAATACTGGAAAATGATCAGAGATGTCATAAAGTATAACACCTGATGATGTCACATTATTAACATTCGTGAATATATTATCAATCAAAGTTGCACTGTTATGAGTTACTCTTGTTGGTCGATAGATTAAGGGCATAAAATTGTTCTCATATAGATGGCATAAAAAATCATTTGTCAAGTTATGTTCATCTGCTTTAAGTAAATCTAAGTTAAAATCACCCAATAAATAACTTGGCTTTTTTTCAGATGTGACTTTATTTAAGAATTCATTAAATTCATCATTGAAAATAGCCAAATTAGAATTTGGAGGCTTATAAATAACAGATACTAAAGTATTTTTACCATTAGGTGGAGTAATTTCAATTGTTACATTTTCACAGGAATTTAAATTCATTGTAAGATCATGACGTTCTTTGAAAATGATATTTTCCTTAATATATATACAAACTCCACCTCCCTTAATACCAACTCTGGATTTAAAAACAGAATTATATCCTGTTAATTGAAAATTGGCTTCATTTTCCGTGTTAAGCCATGTCTCAGACATAGCAATAACAGAGAAGGAATGTTTTGTTAATGACTGCATAAGATCAAACTTCCACTTATTCTTTGGAAGACTTCTGGAATTTAGGTGTAAAAATGTAAGACCATTGCTTTTATCCAGGTTAATATTAAGCTGATCTAAATTCAAATAATTACATTGTTCAATAATATTTCTCATTGGCGTATGCTCTTCAGGTGGATTATCTTGAGGTTCTCCAATTAATCTATTTAAATCCATAGGATTAAATACTAAACTTTCATAAACATGTAAGTCATATGCTAAATCTAAGACCTCAACATTTGTACATGAAAAAAATGGCAATTCTTCAAGCAAATTAGCCATTGTCGTACAAGTGTTTCATGAAATTCATATTGCATTTTTCAATAAATGTACAATAATATATACCACAATTTTGAAATTGTTTATATTCTAAACTCAAAACACAACAAAAAAACAAGATAAAAAGAAACATAAACATAAAATCAAGTTGTATTAGTGGGATGTAAGGACTGACAAGTGTTATCCCACTGCTGAAAGAAAATGGATCAAGGTAGCCTGCAATAGGCCAAGTAAAATAAATCATACTTTACTGAAACAATCTCAATAGCCTTGGTAAATGCAAAGAGTTTTGTCAGCATAGAAAATCAGCTTATGTTATTATTTTGTCAATAATTGTATGCCAATACACCCATACCCAGTATACTGGTGCATTGGAAGCACTAAATAAGGACTTGAATCAACCTGACTGGGTATACAATCAGCAAACAAGACAAAAATAAATAAAAATAAACACTGGCCTTGAAAAATAGCAATTGACTGCCAGTTTCAAGTACACAAATTCTAAATTGTAGAATGAAAACTTGGTTTTTAACTCAGCCAATGTGTTATTGTGTATTTTATGTCTAGGCAAAGAAGAATGAAAACTTTGTTTGCAGCAATTACCCAAACAGCCCTGTACAGTTAATTGAAGGAAACAATTTTTCTCACTATCAACCCTATCACAGTATTCTGCACATGATGCAGAACACTGTTTGTATCATATTGAATGGTGTTTTTCAGTTTTCATACTTTAACTATTTAGTAGCTTTATAAATAATTTCAGGTGTACTTTGTTGTAAAAGCCTATGTTATTGTTAACAGTAGTTATATGTGATAATTTTGTAAAAAGAAATCAGCAAAAACTCATAATCACTTTTTTATTGTCGGCCATTTTGGATTTTTCCGTCCTAAAATCTTGTCTGTAAAGTCTTGTCTACGCGTTTTCAGGTGAACCGTTTGATAGATCAATTTCAAATTTTCAGGGATGATTCTCAGTATGAAAATCTAGATCTGATTAGTTTTTTGGCATTCTGGATGAATGTCAAGGCAGCCATTTTGGATTTTCCGTCTTAAAATCTTGCCCGTAAAGTCTTGTCTACGCGTTTTTAGGTGAACCGTTTGATAGATCAATTTCAAATTTTCAGGGATGATTCTTAGTATGAATAGAATCTAGATCTGATTAGTTTTTGGGCATTCTGGATAAATGTCAAGGCAGCCATTTTGGATTTTCCGTCTTAAAATCTTGCCCGTAAAGTCCTGTCTACGCGTTTTTAGGTGAACCGTTTGGTAAATCAATTTCAAATTTTCAGGGATGATTCTTAGTATGAAAATCTAGATCTGATTAGTTTTTGGGCATTCTGGGTAAATGTCAAGGCAGCCATTTTGGATTTTCTGTCCTAAAATCTTGTTTGTAAAGTCTTGTTTACGCATTTCCAGGTGAACCGATTGGTAGATCAATTTCAAATTTTCAGGGATGATTCTTAGTATGAAAATCTAGAACATATTAGTTTTTTGGCATTCTGGATAAATGTCAAGGCAGCCATTCTGGATTTTCTGTCCTCAAATCTTGTCTGTAAAGTCTTGTTTACATGTTTTCTGGTTAACTGTGTGACGGATCAATTTCAAATTTTCAGGGGTGGTTCTTAGTATGAATATCTAGAACTGACTAAATTCTTGGCATTCTGGGTAAATTTTAAGGTGGCCACTTTGGATTTTCCATCCTCAAATTGTGTCGGTAAAGTCTTGTCTACTCATTTCTAGGATAACCATTTGACGGGATAACCCATAGGTGGGGACATTTTGTACACATTTGTGTTCTTGTTGTCTTTATGCTTACGATTTGCTCTGATTGAGTATCATGATTTGTAGACTTTGCAATTTCTGTTAATACTAACTTTTAATTTTGAAATAATGGTATAACACACCAAATTACTTTTATTAAATGAAACAATGTGGCTCTAAATAAATGAATTGCACTTAAGTTCCGGTGGCCTGGGTCCGGTGGCCATAACAATTCTGTTAAAGAGACATAAACTCCTACCTATCGATTTAATGAAGCGTGTCCATTTCTTGTTATCCTCTGGAGATATCTTAAAGCGAATAATTGAAAGTGAATTGCTTCACTTCCACCATAGGCTCGATTTTCCTCGGAAAAGAAGTGGATTCTCATACCACACCGACCCACAGCAAAGAATTTGTAACTACTAACGTACAATGTACAAACTAAAATACATTATGGCTGTGATTCATTTATCTATTTTTATTTCATTTTCGTTTGATGTCTTCAAGACTATGCCTACCCCTTAAAGCAAAAATTACTAATTTACGTTTTATGTCTTTAAGACTACGCCTACCCCCTAAGGGACGAACGACTAGTTTTCGTCTGATGTCATCAAGACTCGGCCTACCCCAAGTTCAAACGACCATGCGATCAATTTATACAACAAAATTTATGATTTGAACACAGACTCACCTCAAACATCACAGAAACATATGAAATTGTGGCACACAAGGGGTTTCCCCACTTGATTCTGTTGCCAAGGTGCATCTGAAAGTACGAGTCAATTCAATTACATCATACATTTTTAATCATTAAAAACATGAACAGTAAATACAACTCAATGTGTGGCCCTTTGTATTTTGATACTTCTCTGCGATGTTATTTTCGTAAGAAATATCATGGCTAAACCCCCAATATAAGAAGAGGCCAAAGTTCTACTGGACACAAAAATAATTTATTTAAAACATCTAAAATATGTTTTCCATATAATGTTGCACTGTGGTAGATACAGAGTGGGACAAATTGTCTACATTTTTTATTTTGCTATAAGTTTAAATGTGCGAGGATTTCATAATATTTTCTCAGGGGTCCCGAGAAGATTATCAAATCATCCTTCTGAACAAACTAATATACAATCCCTTCTTAGCTCGAGTGCCAATATGATGTAATCTGATAGGGGATTTTTGCTGATATGGGATTTTTTGAATAGCAATTCTATTCCCTGTTTATTTCCCAGGGAAAATATGTTATTATAGAATAAAACAAGAACACAAATGTGTACAAAATGTCCCCACCAATGGGTGATCCCGTCAAATGGTTATCCTGAAAATGAGTAGACAAGACTTTACCAACACAATTTGAGGACGAAAAATCCAAAATGGCCACCTTAAAATTTATCCAGAATGCCCAAAATTTAGTCAGTTCTAGATTTTCATACAAAGAACCACCCCTGAAAAATTTGAAATTGATCCGTCACACAGTTAACCAGAAAACATGTAAACAAGACTTTACAGACAAGATTTCAGGATGGAAAATACAAAATGGCTGCCTTGACATTTACCCAGAATGTCAAAAAACTAATCTGTTCGTAGATTTTCATACTAAGAATCGTTCCTGAAAATATGAAATTGATCTACCAAACGGTTCACCTGAAATCGGTAGACAAGATTTTAGGATAGAAAATCCAAAATGGCTGCCTTAACATTTACGCAGAAGGCAAAAAAACTAATCAGATCTAGATTTTCATACTAAGAATCATCCCTGAAAACCTGAAATTGATCTACCATAACGGTTCACCTAAAAAGACGTAGACAAGACTTTACAGGCAAGATTTTAAGACGGAAAACCCAAAATGGCTGCCTTGACATTTATCCAGAATGCCAAAAAACTAAACAGATCTAGATTTTCATTCTAAGAATCATCCCTGAAAATTTGAAATTGATCTACAGAACGGTTCACCTGGAAATGCGTAGACAACACTTTACAGACAAGATTTTAAAACGGCAATCCAAAATGGCTGCCTTGACATTTACCCAGAATGCTAAAAAACTAATCAGTTCTAGATTTTCATACTAAGAATCACCCCTGAAAATTTGAAATTGATCCACCAAACGGTTCACCTGAAAACGCGCAGACAAGACTTCACAGACAAGATTTTAGGACCAAAAAATCCAAACTGGCCAACAATAAAAAAGTCTTTACGAGTTTTCGCTGATTTCTTTTTACAAAATTATCACATATAAGTACTGTTAACAATAACATAGGGTTTTACAACAAAGTACATCTGAAATTATTTATAAAGCTACTAAATAGTTAAAGTATGAAAACTCAAAAACACCATTCAATATGATACAAAGTATTATCGCGCGCTAACTTTTCTTAAGACATTCAAAATGGCTGACATGACTGAGCTTACAGGTCCAAAACCTAATCAGATCTAGAATGAAGTGAGCTAAACAAGATGTTAAAGTTTTAAAAGCAACTGTGAAGCTGTTTTTCTTAAAGTTTGCAGACAAGGATTTTAGCATTTGACTTCAAAATGGCCGACAGGAAGTAGGTTTCGAGTTAAATTTTATTCATCCACATCTCTAGGCACTCATAAGTTATCCCTGAAAATTTGAAGGTGATATCTGTAGCGGTTTTGGAGAAAACTCCAGGACGTACGGACGGACGGACAGACAGACAGTCGGACGCCCCTAGGCCGACAATATGGCCCCACACTATGTGGTGGGGACATAATGATTGAAACCACATTGTGCTAACGTACCTCAATAGGGAAATGTTTTCCATTGACGGTATGTTCGGAACCATATGTATGGAATACAATTATGTTGACATCGTACTCCCCAATCAATCCCCCTCCACGCACAGTTAAATCACAACTAGATGTATCAAGTTTAACTGAAATGTGAAATTAAACTGTATATTTCTTTATCAAGTGGATATTTAGGTTATCTTGTTTACACGTTACAAACAAACACGTTACCAGAGTCAGTCAGAATTTCGACATACTAACATCACGCCGATTTCTGTATGAATTATTTAACCATACTGAAAATAAATTATTGTATAGCAAACCTTTTCCGTTCCCCTCTTTTTGGAATTCCAAGTTGGAACACGGTTGCCACTTGTACCCACGTTCTTGTCCATGTTCTTGCACTACTAATGGTGGAAAAGGTTTACAGACGGTTCCATTAGTAACAATGTTGATAGGAGAAAGCCTTGGACTTGGGAGCCCTGTACATTGCGCCTTAGCTGAAAAAGCACATGTATATCCGGTCATATATTTCAGTGATGAAGAACTACTGATATTATAACAAAATGATGTCGTTATTTATTGCGAAAGATTTAAATTATAATTTAAGTTTACTGTTCCATCACCACTTTTAAGCAGCAAAAAGGAAATTATGAGGTTTTTAATAAATGAGTTAAGTCTGCAAACTTAACAATTATGTAGATATATATCAATTTATTGCTACAATACTCAATAATCCTTTATCTAAATGTTGTATTATTTGCAATATGAGTTTGACGAAAACAATTTCATTTTTCATCCGTCAAGGAAATACCTTATGCAATGATGTGTGTTCAATTTGAATATGTTTAATTATATTGGTAACATTACCGTCACATTCCTTCCCCTCTGTGATATGAAATACTCCAATAAGATACAAGATGGCCACCAAAAGTACCTTAATGAAAATAATGAAACAAATATTTACAATCAAAAATATAACCTAAAATGAATGTGAAAATACAAGGGGAAAAGTGCATGATACAGAAAAACACAGTTACTGCATGGTACTCAAAGCAGGCGCATCAACGTCAGGTCTTTTAAACTAGGGTCCACCATCATAGACTTAGGCTAGTTTTTTTCTCAAGATTTTTTTATGTCCACAGTTAGTTTTTTTTCTCTTAGTTCTCAACGTATTCAATGTACGTATTGAACGCTAAAGCTTGGGTTATAAAATCCATATTGGATTATTTTCTTAATTATTTGACCGATATTTTTGCTATGTCTAAACGATTAGAATTTGATGAAACAAAGCGAGACATGCTTTCAATAATTTATGAAACATTTGGTTTATTTAACTAATTTTCCACAAAATGACAAGAGAAATTATTTTAAAGAGCATGGATATCTATACTTCATTGCAAATTAATTAATAGCGGAGTAATTGATATTTAAATAAATGGTAAGTCAATGTAGATTAACAAAATAACTATCATACCAAACTATTTTGATCTACTTACCATTATTTGCCGTTTGAAATCAAAGCCGGTTTTACTTAGTCTTCACAAATGCAGTGACAATTACATGCAAATACTTTTTGCAATATCTGACGCCAGAAAACACATGTCATCAATCATATAATAGTAATAATAAAGTAATAGTACAGAGTGGGACATAAATTGAAACTCATAGTATTATAATTAAAGAGTTTAACGTTAATAGATTGATGTTTGTGATCCCAACTATTTAAAGAATGATACGTGTTATCTTTCTCTAAAATTTTAATTTTTATACGAGTATCCCCAATTGCATCATATTTGGTGAGAATTTTTTCCAACGATTGGTATCGATATGGAGAACTGAATTCAAAAATGTCTTTCTCTTAAACCAATCATTGGAAACATTCTGTAAAAAACATGGTATTTATGTAAGTGTATATTTTCTGTGTTTTCGAATGTTGCCCAGTATGCTTTGTCACTATTATGTAAGATAATACCAAGAGGATCAATTAAAAATGTCTTAAATGACTGTAAATAATGATTATTTTGATAATAAATAGAAAAAGTGACAATAATGATGTGAAAAGAGTGATTTCCTTCAAAAGGTTAATAGAAGGACCTATATTTTGAAATATAAAGGTCAGAATGATCTATTTTTTTGGATCTGGTTATCATACAAAGTCCCTTCTTTGATATCCTGTACAATTTCTTCTAAATATCTTGGGGGCTAATATGGTCTTAAAGACACTCGTCCTTTCTGAGTTGAGAAATGATAAACAACACTATCAATTTATTTTTTGTGAGCACTTTTTTGTAGATTCTGTTTTAAATAACATGCATTACATTGACTCTACGATAATCCAACTTAATAAATCGTCCAATGTTTTGATCTATTTAATTACACTGCTGATCTTGTCCATTTGAGACTCTGAAATACCAATAGGTGTAGCGAAGACCAACCATCTGGCAGACTCAGAGTAGAGAGAATCATTTTGATTACCAAAGGAGCTTGTAAAATCATGCATGTTGTCTGGCAGCAAGGAGCGAAGTGAAAACATTTCCAGGTCTACAACACTACCATCTAAAATGATAATAAAAAGTTAATATATTCTACAATGTTTACAAAAAATATACAGTAACGGGTATTCCAAAAATGATGATGACAAAAGTTATTATTTTTTGTGATTTTAGGAAGAATCAAAATGTTATGTACATAGATTGATATTACAAGTAATACTACAGGCGTACTAGGGTTCAAAAGGGCCATGTAGCACAAACCACCAAGAAAGTGTGATCTGAGAATCAAACACATTGTTCTTTTCTTCATCTTTACTTGTGCTTTTCATAATACAGATTTTAAGCTTGCAATGTTTTTCACAACCTAAACGTGAACGGAAAATATTTAAGTGATGCATTTGCATGGACGATTGGTCATACGTTTAGGTTGGCGTTTCGATTTTATATGCAAGCTTAAACTTCCTAATGTCGTCTAGGTACGTTTGGGAATTTTTCAGTTTATAGCTGTTATATGAGTGAATACAAAAGCACTAATTCTATAATAGATTCGATTGATTGCTTATCTCTCAGATAATGTTTAAAAACATTCTTCATCAAGCTCTCTAATTCCGGTACTCAAAGATAAGCCCATTTATTATATTCTTCTTACAGAGTGTGATCGTTTTCAGCAAAATATTATGAACGCCATTCCAAATGGATTGGAACAAAGTATTAGTTATAAGACGAATGTTGAGAAACACTTTTCTGAATGCTGGACAATCACGAGCCAAAAGACATTGTCCCTTTAGATGTAAATATGAAACATAAAATCTTAAGGATTCACCTCGTTTTGCTTGGTCTAATACATCAATGAGGAATTTCCAATTTGAATTGTCTTCATATGTTAGCTAAAATGTCAAGTAAATTGAAATATAAGCAAGAATTATAATTTCATACATTTTATATATCATGACAAGATACCTTTAAAGGGTGACGATTAGCATCCCGTATAAAAACAATATGGCGGCTCCAGGCGAATCAACTGGATCAGTCCATTTTTAAGAAATAAGGGGAGTTCTGTAAAATCAAGTTTATTGAAATTGTCTTTGAGATAAAGTAATCCGTTTATAATGATTTTGAAAACGTTATCCAAAGAGTGATTGCGTTCAAAGAATACATGTACATCAGCCAATATAAATCCTTGTATTGGAAACCGGTTTGTCTTGCTTTGTTTCATTTGTAGGATATTTCATATGCCAAGCTGTGTGCTATTACGTTATGGGGAAATTTAGATGCCAATTTTTCCTTATTATACACAAATAGAAGATCCTGAAACTTCACCCATAAATGTGGAATTGATTTGTCAAAATAAAAATCACCCTTTTATAAATGTGTGACGATCTATAATATACTTATGCTATATAACAGTTAGAGGTGTTGACACAACGACCTCAAACCTGTGAACCCTTGAGTATTATTCCGGGATCGGGCCTTTTATACTAAACGGTGAGCAACACCAGAAACGAGCGTTCGATTTGCTAAACGATATGCGTCACCCTTTAAACGATCTAAATAGCATGTGTGATAAGCCTCTCAGCTTTGATACGACTTAATATCGGGCATTTTGATTTAATGAGAACAATGGATTTAATAATAAGAGCAGGGGCGTATTCAGTTTTCAGTCAGGGGGTGTAATCGTGGCATAAGCAACCCAAAAAAACATTAAGATTTGTTTTGAATTTTACAAAAATTGATGTAACTTCCTTCAAAATTGAGCTAGAAGCTCCAAATAAAAAGCATTTTGAAGCTCGTTTTATTTCATTTTCATTGGTTTGGTTGTGTCTGTGTGTGTGTGTGTCGGGGGGGGGTGCGATCATGCACCCCCTCCTGGCTACGCCTATGAAGAGGTAATTTTCATACAATGACCATTTAACATAACAAAATGGAACACTATAATGCTGAATATTTACCTCAAACACGAAAATTAGGTTTGTAAACTGGATACATTCAGGAGCATTTGGGTTTCCATTCTTGCTAACAATATGCAACTGAAATATATCACATATCAGCTGAGCAAATTATCTCAATACTTTTGAATAAGAAGACTTCAAAATACGATTTTATTTTTACCAGATATTATTAAAATTGATACATATGGACTACTAGTATTCATCTAAGTTCATAAACAATTTTATCGTGTACCTCCATTGACTGACGTTGGTCTTCAAATTTGGAAATGAGATCCATATGTAACACACTGTAAAAATCTTCAGTTTGAAGTCCATCTATGAGCTAGAATCCACATGTCTTCAGTCCTATGCGAACTAAAAATTATCCCAAAGTTGAGAATAAGATTTCAAGACAAGGAAGTATGTGGGCAATTTTTACAAAGTTATTAGTTGACCAACGACTAATTTAGCATTCATTGGGCGTTCCATGTTTATTTTCAACATTTTGAAGTAATTAACATTTGGTGTATATGTTTCCCAGTTTTCCCATTGGCTTTTTGAGTAATATGATTTGCAATTACTTTTTTATTCAATGGTTTAACTACTCCATCTTTTGAGTTTTAAATATAGTTCTCTATTAGACTGTGGACTACTCTGATAATTGTAACTTCTGCTTTTCATAGAAGGTCACACATTCCAACATATTTCAAACAGTCTGTATGGTTATCCTGGGCACTTTCTGGGTAGTTGGACTTCATGTAGGGGTGGCAGACGTCCCTCAGGCCAATTTATACCCCCACCCCAAGAAAACCTTGGGGGTACTTTAATACCACCTAATAAAAAGAATACTAATGCATGTCATATATTCATAGTTTTTTTAGTAGGCAGGGCATACCATGGTTAGTCAGTGCCAGAAATTTCCAATCTCCAACTTATATGGTTACCATGGAAACAGTATTTATATCTCAAAATCTTCTCAATTTGACCTCCTCCCAAATATGTCCCTTCGCTCTCAAAGTGAAATATTTGCAAATTTGTAAGGAATTTGTGGCTACCACTTTGTTAAAAGTTGTATAAATATGTATATATTCACACTAAAGCACTAAAAAGTTGATACAATGCTCCAATAAATCAATAATATTTATCAAATATAGTCACACACAACTACTTTTAGGGAAAAGTGGGCGTGGTACTTTTTGGTACTTGCGTAATTGTTGCAGCATTAAGCGAAAAATACATATTACACTAACAACAATTGACATTTAATTATCATCTACTAACATTGTGTAACATTGTAATATGTTCATTATCATTATTAGATACTTAAGATATTTTATGTAAGTGTTATCATGAACCTTCCTTTTATCCCTATACCATAGAAGGTGGGCATCACCAATGGTGTCAAACTAACTTTTCTGTTTCATTTATTTTTTACCATAGACAGGGGAAAAAGCTTTACTTCAAGTAGTGACCTCATTAGGTGCTATGTATATGGATAGATGGATTGATACTAGTAGGTAGATGGCAGCACTTGTGCTAGTTGGGCTAGATACTAGTGTTTACCATTGACTTGATATATTTCACTTAGTCTATTGATTTACCATATTCATTCTGTTGGATTAAAGTAAACCTGCATTTGCAATGAATTTGCTGATGTTCAGATTGTGTTTGAAACTTGATGATAATCAGATTGTGATTGAGACTGAATGTTGTTCAGATTGTGTATATATGAACTTTAAAAGGACCACTGAAACAATAAGTCAATGTTTAAGATTCTTTAAAATTATGTCAATGAGAAATTAGCCTGTTAACCTAGAGTTAAACTATACTTCAGCAAGATTTTAAAGTTATATAGCAAATCTCATCATTTGCAACTTTTTCATTATTTGATAATTTAACCCATTATTCTTTATTGCTGATTAAAAATTGCAAGGCATTTAAATGACCTAGGGAAGCCAGTGATATGAATTGGCCTTATTCATTGATTTACAGTAAAATGGAATATTGTGAAGAACAAGAGAACTGTTCCACAGCTTCACAGGAAATATGGGAGCAAAGTCAACAAGGGATGTGGGAAACTAGGCTGTTTACATAGAGAGATTTAGAACTCTCCAGGGAAGTGTCTCTATTTGGTATAAAATACACAGGTCTATTCATGCATACCATTTTAAATATGAATCAAAGTTAGCGATATCCATGTTTCTGGTGAAAGCATCAATTGAAAGAGACAAACATCCTATAGCTACTCCTATGGTATAAAATATAAGGAAGTTCGAAGCAGTAAAAAGGTATTACCATTTTAGATTTGATTGAATAAGTTGAATCAGTGGCAATTTTTAAATTTTGATATGTTAAAAGAGGCTCTGTTGGTTAGATGGGAGAATTAGCTGCATGTTAAAGGTGGCGTTTTGCTCAGTTTATAACAAAAATGATATTTAGCCCGAAACAGTAATAAATATTAAGCAAATATTTCATTCTCTGGAGGGCAATACCTATGGGCTGTGGGCAATACATATTGCAAAAATCATTGAAGGTGCAGTTGTCAGAATCCCCAGGCGGGCGATACGTAGGGCAATAAGGGATACATATTTTATATGCCAATAATTCAGGGAGCTGTGAAATACGCTATGGTATTTTTAGTCCCATGGTACTGAATAAGCCAATCAAATCACACGATTAATAGCAATAATGTAATAATTAGTGCTACTTCGATGAACACCCGTTTTGTAGAATAAGATTCTGATTCTCGTAAAAAAATATGAAAATACAGGCACAAACAAAGTGTATTTCGAAACTCTGCTTTTGGATATTGATAAATTGAATGATATTTGCTAAAAACTTCTGTCAGAATTGAAACAATTTTTCCCCAAGAAAAGTCAACATTTCAAAACAACAGCAATAGCTAGAACTATCCTATTTAGATGTTTACTTGACAGTATGTACAATTGGGGAATCCGGACAGAGAATATTAACAGAAGTAGAAAGATTGATAAAGAAAATGGAGTTTTAGTGTGGGGGGGGGGCATGTAATTGTATACTTGTTTATGTAACAATCATTTCATAAAATTGATAAAATGACATATTCTAGACAAGGATAGGCATTTGCCATCATAAACTATGAGGGATTATGACTCATAAACTTAACTACTGGTATGGACATTTGGGGTAGTAATATGGAACATACGTTATATGGAAACTGTAACATTATAAGATCTTGTCCAATTTCAGTCATACCTGATTATAAAGGACCATTTATGTTACAGCATCAGGGCATATTACGTATAGTATTAAGTTACTTAGGTATAAATTATAGTTATAAATTATGACTGTCATCGTTTCTACTGTGCCAAAATCATTCAACCAATTTTAAAATGGAATACGAGAACAAGATTTCTTATTTTAGGTTATATTCATATGTCTAATAATAATTGATATTAAACATATTTACTTTTATTGTTCTTATACACTAAACAGATTTGTTTAGATATTATTTTAAGTTTCAACATAACAAACCACTATCCATATTGAAGGAATCACTGAAGGTACAGCATTTTGGAAATGTGTATTGCAAAATACTAAAAGGAGTTATACCCGTACCTTGTTAACCATGAGTCAATGAATGCATCATATAATATCTGCAAAATGATGCACTATGCAATTCATACATGGAATGATTTATTTTGCCATATTAGAATCAAGTATTATCTTTAATCCATTGGATAGATCATGCATTACCTGATGTTGATGTATTGATAATAGAATCAGTTAGTCTATATCCTAGATGCGAGTAGAAATAATCTTGATTTGCGTCCGTCATTAAAAATTCACAATTCAGTCAAACTGATGTCATATTTGGAATCTTCATGTAAAATTACATCAAAAAATGTGGTTTTGAAAAGAGTTTATCAACTTTGAAAATTTAATTTTCTTTGAAAATATGACTTCTAGGTCGGGGAGATTCCCCATAGACCCCATGTTGTAAAACTAAAAAAATTAAATATCCTTTCTTGTGTTGGGCAGATAATATTTTCTTTTACTTGACATATTTTAATTTGTATAACTATCACATACATAAGGGTAAATGAAAAGTGAATCACTAAAACTGATGAATATTCAAGTTTAAGGGAATTTTGTAATACCCTGCCATGTTATTTCCCCCGAATCAGCCACCTGGTGGCGAAACTGGTAACTACCTACTTGCATCTGAGTATTTGTGAGACACCATTTGTCCGAGAAAATAAGAAATCTTAGTTATGTATTAAGGCAGGGCATAACATTTCACCTATCATTTATTTATGTTTACTACATCCCCTTTACTAGTTAGTATTACCTTCCCTTTTAAAGCGGAGTGAGATATCGTTGAAATGTGGCGCTCATGCACGATATATGAAAAAATTATCATACTCCATAGTTCCACTGTCATTTAAGCCCAATTTGGTACAAATGTCAAAGCATAATGTCAACTCTAAAGTAGTTTAATTCAATGAAAATAAAAAATATCTAAATCGACAATTACTGTCTGCCATCTTAGATGCGAAGGTTACGGCCGTTGCCTTCGCTTGGTGCTGATCAGTGTCCTTGCTCTGGTACAAATTGTCATTGCCCTCTGTTTGTAACCCCTCCCTCCTTCTAGATTAAAGCCATGAATATGAAGATGATTTAGAGGTATTATGAGAGATACTAGTGAAGGGTTGTTTTATGATAAATGAGTTCATATAACTTAATCCAAGTCATAACAAGTATGCAAATCACACCAGCATGAGATAACATCATACTCAAAGGATGCAACAGTCCATTACTTTTCAATTGCATAAAATGGCTCTAACCCTGACAAATGTATTAATCAATTTTAACTCATAGCTCTTGATCAATGGAACCATTCATATTCTAGGTACAAGTCAATGAATACGACTTTGACAAACTAAAAGACTAAGGACCTCTAAAAGTTAATTTGACCATTGATGATCTATGATAGGGAAAGGTCATGATAACACTTATACAAAATATTTAAAGTATCTAATAATGATAATGAACATATTACAATGTTACACAATGTTAGTAGATGCTAATTAAATGTCAATTGTTATTAGTGTAATATGTATTTTTCATTTAATGCTGCAACAATTACACAAGTACCAAAAAGTGCCACGCCCACTTTTCCCTTAAAGCAGTTGTGTGTGACTACATGTGATAAATATTATTAATTTATTTTATCATTATATCAAGGTTTTAGTGCTTCAGTGTGAATACATACATATTAATTCAGCTTTTGACAAAGTAGCAGCCACAAAATCCAAACAGATCTGCAAATATTTCACTTTGAGAACTAAAGGACACATTTGGGACGGGGTCAAATTGAGAAGATTGTGAGATATAAATACTGTTTCCATGGTAACCATATAAGTCAGAGATTGGAAATTTCTGGCACTGACTAACCATGGCATGCCCTACCCACTATAAAACAATGAATATCTGATATGCATTAGTATTCTTTTAATTGGGTGGTATTAAAGTACCCCCAAGGTTTTGTTGGGGTAGGGGTATAAATTGGCCTGAGGGCCGTCTGCCACCCCTACATAAAGTCCAACTACCCAGAAAGTGTCCAGCATACTCATACAGATTGTTTGAAATATGTTGGAATGTGTGACCTTCCATGAAAAGCAGAATGCATTTCTAGAGCACTTCTACAGAATAGTCCACAGTCTATATTATAAAACGTATAACTTTGAATGTATATTTCAAAGATCACTTAGAATTTGCCAAGATGCATTTGTTCATGCTTATAAAATGTTTATTATGTCCCTTTTGAAATCAGTTTTTGTGAACGAGTAAAAAACATATGCCCACCTGAGTTTTCCTCCAGATGCAATTTTGCCGATCCACACTTGTCAAAAACCCTTCCTTTGATGAAATAGTCACACATTTTACTAGCGTTGTCCAGGTTTGTATCTTTATTATCGTTCCCCAAATTGCAGAATTTGTCTTGGTCACTTGTAAATGAAATTCATAATGACTCTGAAATCTTATTTTTCATTTCTTAGCATCGACATGAAAGATGGATTTGATCCTGAATCAAATTGATTACATTGGCCTCTACATTTGGGAGCTACATTATAAAGCTACTTAGTTAATTAAGATAATAAATTGTGATTCTCCAAACACCATGCCTCGTATGTAGATCTACCATTGATATCTTGGAGGGGCAACATATCTTTAGGCGTCGCAGTGTAGTGTGGATCATACCCCATTATAGATCGAAAATCCCGCAACTATAAAACAAACATTTTAACACCTGTAATTATGTTCACGTTTTGTCATTCAAGATACAAGAAGGGGATTAGAAAAATTTACCAAAGTTCTTCAACTTGAAATACCAGATACGCATTGTGAGTTCCAGTCTCTACTATCCCTTGGAACAGGCATCTTGTATTTCCAAGGTATGATCTGTTGAAAATCAAACTGGGAAACATGTATGTGGAATAGATCTGGGGTCCAAAATCTGCTCCTCCCTAGATAAATTGGCCAATTTAGATTGCAAACTTTTTTATATTTAAAATTCTTTTTTATTTCAGCTAATTCAAAAAGATTACATCAATTTAAAAATTTGTTTACATAAGTTACCTGTTGCATTACATAATAATATTTCTCTTGGAAAGCTCTATTTTAAAATTATAGTACAAATACAAGATTGCAAACTGGCATAACTCACAAACTTTAGATAAAGAAAGACTTTATAATATCATTTTATACTCACTAGAGTATGAACAATAATACAGAATGGACTATCATAGAACAGGATTTGGAATGATTAAATTAGATATAATCGAAGATACCTGTCGTTCAGATATGCTGATAGTATCCTTGAATATTGTCCATATTGCTACTTCATCTGTAGGCTTCAGAACACTTCCGTCGGGAGCGGTAGATGGGCATGTTGGACTGCCAAAGTAACGGTAAAAGCTGTTCATGTTCCTTGGTAGAAGCTGTTGTATGCGTAATTGATCAATACTAGCAGGATAATCTAGAAATTAAAAGATATAATGATCTGAATTTTACTGATATTTGAAACGAAAAATGATCATTAATACTCTGCGATCTTTGACGTTTTGGTTTCGTGATGGTTTTTGTCTTTATATTACCGATTTGCTCTGATTGAGTATCATGATTTGTAGTCGCAATTTTCGTTAATACTAACTTTCAATTTTGAAATAACGGTATAGAACACCAAGTTAAAATTTACTTTTATTAAATGAAACAATGTGGCTCTAAATAAATGAATTGCACTTAAGTTCCGGTGGCCATAACAATTTTGTTAAAGAGACATAAACTCCTACCTATCGATTTAATGAAGCGTGTCCATTTCTTGTTATCCCCTGGAGATATCTAAAAGCAAATAATTGAAAGTGAATTGCTTCACTTCCACCATAGGCTCGATTTCCCTCGGAAAAGAAGTGGATTCTCATACCACACCGACCCACAGCAAAGAATTTGTAACTACTAACGTACACTGTACAAACTAAAATACATTATGGCTGTGATTCATCTATCTATTTTCATTTCATTTTCGTTTGATGTCTTCAAGACTATGCCTACCTCTTAAAGGAAAAACTACAATACGTTTTATGTCTTCAAGACTAGGCTAACCACATGAAGGACGAACGACTAGTTTTCGTCTGATGTCATCAAGACTCGACCTACCCCAAGTACAAACGACCATGCGATCAATTTATACAACAAAATTTATGATTTGAACACAGACTCACCTCAAACATCACAGAAACATATGAAATTATGGCACACAAGGGGTTTCCCCATTTGATTCTGTTGCCAAGGTGCATCTGAAAGTACGTCTCAATTACATCATACATTTTTAATCATTAAAAACATGAACAGTAAATACAAGTAAGAAATATCTTAGCTAAACCCCCATTATTACAAGTGGCCAAAGTTCTCCTGGACACAAAAATAATTTATTCAAATCATAGAAAAGTTTTGTATCTAAAATATGTTTTCCGTATAAAGTTGCACTGTGGTAGATACGGAATGGGACAAAAACATCCACATTTTTATTTGGCTATAAGTTTAAATAGTGCATGGATTTCATAATATTTTCTCAGGAGTCCCGAGAAGATTATCTGCAAATCATCCTTCTTGACAAACTAATATACAGTCCCTACACCTCTATATATTTAATTTCACATTGTAATATTTAAATGTAAAACATACAGAGGATATTAAATGGAAGGAGTGGGATATGAATTTTATTCCGAGGTAAAATATGATGTTGACCAAGGGAAATATATTGACCGAGTGCGATAGCTCGAGTGCCAATATGATATTCTCCTATATTCTTTTACGTAATCTGATAGGGGATTTTGGCTGATATGGGATTTTTTTAATATCAGTTCTATTCCCTGTTTATTTCCCAGGGAAAAATGTTATCATAGAATAAAATGATTCAAAGCACATTGTGCTAACGTACCTCAATAGGGAAATGTTTCCCATTGATGGTATGTTCGGAACCATATGTATGGAATACAATAACGTTGACATCGTACTCCCCAATCAATCCCCCTCCACGCACAGTTAAATCACAACTAGATGTATCAAGTTTAACTGAAATGTGAAATTAAACTGTATATTTCTTTATCAACAAGTGGATATTTAGGTTATCTTGTTTACATCGTATTCAAAAAATGTTTCAATCGTAATCGATACGGTTTTTGAATTTTTTTACAAACACGTTACCAAAGTCAGAATTTCGACATACTAACATCACGACTATTTCTGTATGAAATATTTAACCATACTGAAAATAAATTATTGTATAGCAAACTTTTTCCGTTCCCCTCTTTTTGAAATTCCTAGTTGGAACACGGTTGCCACTTGTACCCACGTTCTTGTTCATTTTCTTGCACTACTAATGGTGGGAAAGGTTTACAGACGGTTCTATTAGTATTAATGTTGATAGGAGAAAGTCTTGGACTTGGTAACCCTGTACATTGTGCATCAACTGAAATAAGTACATGTCTCTGAATATTCATTTTCTAACATATTTTAACTCTATTGAAAACATTACACATGATCATTTGTAATCATAATATTAATCGATGTGAGGTTTAACTTGTATTTTTATAATAATTTATTTCATATACTAGTATGTGGAAGATGAAATAGTTCATATGATAAAGAATTCGACATTACATAACTAACATTTCGTCAAAGGTAACATGTACATGTAGCTCCATAGCGTTTGCTTTATCCAAAGTTTTGATGAGACTACCAGTAACTAGTAACAAGTTTGTTATTATATAAATTGACACAAAATATTCGTATCGATGACATAATAGGTGACTATTTTATAAAAGTCCCTAATATTGACACAGACTTATTAAGCAACATTCATATTAAGTCATCTTACTTTGCCTAGTGCATTTTAGAATATAAGATTGTTTTAAATATGCTCACGCATTGGTATTATTGCTACTAACTGTAGTTTTGTTTCATCGTACAGTGGCAGGCCCGTAGCCAGGATTTGCCAAGGGGGGGGGGGGGGGGCGGTTCAGTTTTCAAAAATTTCCAGGGGGGGTTCACATTTGACAATTCTGGCCCAAATATGACTAAAATCACTTGAAAAGTGCTCAAAATGGTGAAAAACTGCATGATTTTGAAAGAATTTTTGGCCAGGGGGGGGGGTTCGCCCGAACCCTGCGAACCCCCCTGGCTACGGGCCTGAGTGGGACAGCAAAAAGGATCATATAAAAATGTTATTAACATTTTGGAACACACTGGTAAAATTGTTGATGCTGTTTAAAGTTTACATTTCTTTCATCTAAATCTGTAACATAAAACTGTATTCTTAGGTTTATATCTTTGTACATTCACATTTTATAGCTTCAAAGTTAAAAATTGTTAAAAATCTTTCTTGGTCAAATGCCTTGCTCCAGCCACTTTTCGAAATATGGCGTGGACATTCTGTGTAATTGTCGACTTATGTTTATGAGTTTTGAACTATGATCTTTCGTGACTAAAGCACCCCATGCAGACAGATCGCCAAAAATTACATTCGCATGATGCGAGACTCGACATTCACCAGGAAACTAGAAGCATTTTGTCACTCATGAAGCAAATTATTTTTTTATTGCTTAATAAATGGTGAATGACAGTCACATTAAGTTCTATAAGTATGAGAATAACATAAAGTCTTGATATTTTGAGGTACCGATGATTGAGATTATGATGCAGAGATAAAACCGATCTTAGGAAAAACTAAAAAAAAATACATCACATATCGAATCTTTCAAAACAGAAAAGATATGTATATATAGAGGATATCCTATGATTTATGAGTGATATGATTTTTATCCACGAATGGATACTCTCTCGCTACGCTCGCTCGTGCAGATATCAATATCCATGAGTGGATTAAAATCATATCACGAGTAAATCATAGGATGTTCTTTTTATTCCACAGTTAGATTCATCATCATAATCGTCGGAAATTAAGTTATTTAATTCGAATTTCCAAACGATCCGGCGATGTTGACACTTAGCCTCGTTTTGAGTCTGAAGTAGCAAAAATCCATAAACCATCGCATACGACGTCGTATGTCATGGCTAAAAAACCGTATGTTATGGTTAAGTGAAAATTTGTCAAAAATATCATATTTTACCACTGATTACAAAAATACTGCTTTTATTTTCACATGTTATCCTATGAATATCATGCTAACTATGGAATAAATTTCTTTCTTTGGTAATGATATAAATACTTTTTATAAAAATGTTATAGAAAAATGTTATCCAGTACTATCATCAGATCTTTTATCAAACAGTGTGCAATCTAAAACATGTTGGGCCTTAGGAGAGGACATTTTCACATTGTGGGGACAAGAAGAAACTTTTAAGTTCGATAAATGTGTAAAGGGTCTTTTAAAATGTATGTATAAACCCCAGATCCATTAACATATTTTTGTTACTTATATATAATGCCTTTCAACTGATGTATGCTTTTAAATGTGTTGTCAAATGTATGGAAGAACCGTGTACACCGTATTTGTGTTCCGCTGTATTAAGCGTTCCCAATAAATAAATAAATAAAATAAATAGTAAGGCCTGTAGGTCCGATTCCCTCTGGTAGCATTAACATTGGTCTCGTATATGTCATACAATTAATATTATTCGAACTTATGAACGGACATAAGTATGATGTTACTTTACTACCATAAAAGCTTAGCATTTAATCGTAATTTAAATCACGGCCATCTTTTTTTAAACCAGTTACACTGAAATATCAGAATGTCATGCTATTCTCATAGTTGTAGAACTTAATGTGACTGTCATTCACCATATATTGAGCAGTAAAAAATAATTTGGTACATTGCTGACAAAATGTATCTAGTTTCCTGTTGAATGTCGAGTCTGGCCTCATACGAATGTAATTTTAAGCGATCTGTCTGCATGGGGTGTGGTCTGAGATACAAAGTCAGCTTACCGTCGCATTCTGTTCCCGTCGCCAACCGAAAAGCTCTGATAAGGAGTAAGACTATGACTGTGAGTACCTGCATTAAAAATATATTAATTTGTATTAGATGGATTTTATTACAGTGAGGTTATTTACATGCATTGCCTAGAAGTAGTACTATTAAATCTGTACCCACTAATAGGGATAATCTTGAAGTACCAAAGATTGAATTTTTTTCCATGCCTTGTAAAATCCTCATCGCTATGTAGACAGAAATATTCATTAATTTAGAAAACTCTTCAATGTACGATTTTATTCCATGTATTCTGTTCAAATAGCAGCAAGTTAAGCAAATTGAAGGCATTTAATCTACATTGAGGAGCACAAAGAGCAACATTTCAAAAACAAAACAGCACAACCTTCCTTATGGATATTTAATGTCTAAATTGTTGTGAACGATTTAGAGCTAATTTACGTCAATATTTGAGAAATGACACGTTATTCATTCAGATTAGTTACTACATGGAGTTTCAGTTTTCTAGTTAATAGTAATTACAATATAAAAAGCAAATCATAATATGCAACCTGATGTGAATTAAGGAACATGAAAGAATATATTTGAAATAAACGCCCAGAACAAAATACAACAATTATTGTAATTCTGCTTCAAATATCTTAAAAAAAAAAATATATATATTGATAATAATTGATAATGATAATATGCCCAATACGTATTTACTTACCATTATTTACTACTTTTCAAAATCCCTTGTTTCAATCCTTTGAAATTCAATGATCTCTCTACTTATACCATGTATACGCAGACGTCTGAGAGATACTGTGTTCTCATTGGTCGAAAGTAAAAAGAATGCGGTTCGCTTTGCTCTCTCGTGCAGATATCAATATCACCGAGTAGATTAAAATGATGGCTCAAAATTATAGGATATCCTAAAATTATCCTACACTTACAAGGAGTGTACTAAATGTATAATATCATAGAAAAATGAATTTCATGCCAAATAAAGTCAATTTAGCGGGAAATCAACAAACGGAGAATATCGTCACGATTGGTTTTCCGGATATTATCATGGCGATACCCTCCGGTCATTCATTTTGCCAATAGATATCAAATTTATTTTTGAATGTTATTGTACAATTAGCACACTAAGTGTAGGATAAATAGAGGATATCCTATGATTTATGAGTGATATAATTTTTATCCACGAATGGATATGATATCTGCACGAGCGAGCGTAGCATGTTATCCTATCAATATCATGCTAACTATGGAATAAGATTGATTGTTAGTACCTCAGTTGAAATACTCGATTTTGATTGGTCAACGAGCGGTGAATAATTTTAACTGTACACCGCGCAATGCATTGCCGGTGAATAATATTCCCAGCATTCCACTAAAATGACGTCATTATCAGACGATAAAATGGCCGCCGCTAGCACTAGCCGTTTCAACAAGAAAATGCAGCAAACTCCTCGAGTCGAGGTCTCCAAGTCAAAAAAATTCCTGACCCTATCATATATCTGTTGATTATCTTGTTTATAACCGATTCAAGAGCGTTGCACTGAACGAACCTATATGCTCTATATGCATATTTGTTATTATTTGTTGGTTGGGTAACATGTTTATGACGTCACAAATGATGCGAAGAATCTTTAAACCAATCAGTGAAGTCTATATTAATTGTTTTAGTTGTTGATGTGGCAATACGTGTCTGTGACGTCACGGGTGATCGCATCATATTCCAAGGAGGATTGGCTCCCAGGATCGAAACTCGATATTTTCCAACAATGAAAACGTCGAAATGTCGTTATTTTCTGAAATTAAAACCGACTATAAATTCAAAATAAACAGTTCAAAAGATTCGAACCAATATCTCGATCATTTCTTGTGAGTTTTGGAATTTTTCGTTTGGAAATAAGACCAAAATTCACGATTTAAATGTTGAAGTGAACAAAATGGCGGCTGTTTGAATTCGAATTTTGTATTACGACATACCCATATATGGGACAGAATATCGGTGGTGCACTCTGGGAGCCAATCCTCCTTGATCATATTCTAAAAACGCCATTTTACGACATTGCATAATTTTAGCTGATTTTGGCTCCATTTCACTTTATTTGAAAGACTTTTAAAAATATAATAATGAGTCAGTATTTTTTCTTATAAATATTTATATTTGAAATTGAGGTCAAAGTCCGAAGATTTGATCAACTGATTGAAATCACATTTTAAAGAGGTAAAGAAGTGAATAATTACAGGAGCAAACGTGATCAATGGTTCGAGGTCTCCCGCAAAGTAGTCGCTACGCTCCTACTTTGCGCTGCCTTCGGCAGAGGAGACCTCGAAAAAATGTTGAAGATGAGGATATTATTAGTCTCTTAGAGAGTAAAGACAGTCAAAATACGAAGAAAAATCTAAAACTTTGTACAAAGCTTTTAGTGGACTTCGCCCAGGAGAGTAATTTGACTCCATTGAGTGAACTTATACTGCCGATATACTGAAATACAACATGAACGTCTCGAGGGTCTGGATCCAACTTCAAGTCAAACTTCAAGGGTCAGAAAAATCTAAGATATTCTTCGGACTAACAAAACAATTATAGACCTCTCCATTCGGTTTACTGTCAAAATTATATCCCTCGACTGTAAACCTCGACCTACGGTCTCGGTTTACATTCTCGGGATATAATTTTGACAGTAAACCTCTGGAGAGGTCAATAATTGTATATTATCCTACACTTATTGTACTATATGTACTAATAACATCAAAATATTTTGATCTATTGGCAAAATAAAGAACCGGAGGATATCGCCACAATATACTCCGGAAACCCAATATGCATTTTTCAATGATATCAAACATTCAGTATACACTACAACACGCCTTACCATCGCGTAAGCAGGCGTCACCGTACAGCGTCAAAAAATAGCGGAGTACAGTTTTCTGTACGGTAACGCAAATTAACTGCTTTGAAGCAAAAACTATGACAAGGGTTTAAAAAAAATTAATGTGATGAAAACTAATACGATTTCATGTGAAATAAAAACAGCATTCTCTTAGAAATGGTTTTAACTAACTGATTATGATAAACGTTTTACGAGCACTGTTCGGATTTTTTCTGAGTGAATCGGCCCACATAATCGACCCAAGTGAAAAAAGGTTGTTTTTTCACATTTCGTTTGGTTATTATTTTCCCTGCCGTCTGAGAGTATGGATTATTTTTTTGAGAAAACGTATTTATTGACTACACATTTTAGAACGGGCGAAGATTCAGCAAACAACCATGCATTATGTATATTTAAAAAAGATCAAATTTGAACGGTGACGCACCAGCTGTACGGTGACGCCATGCTTTGATAAACTAAATGAGACTAAGATTGTATGAAATGGAAACTCTGGAGTATGATCATTTGTTCATATATAGCGCCGTTACATACATAATGGAAGGTTACTGGAAATGTATTATACGGTAAAGATAATGAAACCAAAAACTCTCTTGTTGCTATGTTATTGATGTTTTAAAACAAGGGATGTCACAAGTAAATCTCATCTTGCACGTGTGACTTTTTAGGATGAAAGATGCAATATATTGCATGGGGTAAAGATGGCTGTGTAGGCTATCTTTGTTAGTCATATGAGAAAAGTCTGGTTTAGTTCAAATGATACCAAAGCATTACGTCAACTTTGAAATAGTTAATTCCATGAAAACTAAAATTATCGAAATTGATACTTCCTGTCCGCCATCTTAAATGCGAAGGTGACGGCTGTAACCTTCGCTTGATACTTACCAGTGATAATGTACATGTAGATCTGACGCTTCTTTACCTCTTGTTCGAACAGTAAGCTTAGAGCTCTTCATAAAATCTAAGGAAGCGTCACCGTACAGTTGATGCGTCACCGTACAGTTCTGATCTTTTTTGAATAAATACACTGAATGATTTTTTGCCGAATATTCATCTGTTCTAAAATGTGTAGATAACAAATACATATTCTCATAAAAATAATCCATACTCTCAGACGACAGGGAAAATAATAACCAAACGAAAAGTGAAAAAAACAACATTTTTCTCTCGAGTCGATTATGTGGGCCGATCCAGTCAGAAAAAATCCGAGCAGTGCTCGAAAAACCTTTGTCATAATTAGAAAGTTAAAACCATTCTTAAGAGAATGCTGTTTTTATTACACCCGAAATCGTATTTATTTACGTCTAATTAATCTTTTTAAAACCCTCATTATAGTTTTTGCTTCAACTAAGTTAAATTTCGTCACCGTACAGAAAACTGTACTACTGTATTTTTTGACGCTGTACGGTGACGCCTGCTTACGCGATGGTTAGGCGTGTACAAGTAAGTGTAGGATAATAAGAACATCATATGACTTTTTCAGAATATCATTTTAATCTACTCGGTGATATTGATACATGCACTCGCTCCACTCCCTCGTGCAGATATCAATATCACCTCGTTATATCATATAATTATCCAGGAGTGATATTCATTCTGCATACACACGGTGTCTAATCCAAACGCTCTTGCATGCTTGATCTTATTTATTCAATTCCTGGTGGTGAACAGTCATTTGGTTGATCAACGCTCCGTAGATGTAAACGGATCTGAAGTAGACGAATTGACCACAAATTACGAATTAAACTAGTATTTATATGAAACGTATTACTTAGTCGTGAGAAATCATTTGTTCTCCTCGAAACGCTCCGTCGATTTTGGACACAATTTTAGAAACGCTCCTGCCATTTTGTTTTGATGTTGATGTTGATGATGTTTCAGATTATAAGAGAAGAGTTCGGAATTGAATCTATCTCTCAAAAACGTGTTGTACTTGTTAGGCAAATTGAAACGTCCCAACCTGGTGGTGCTACGCGTGCAACAAGCCGAATTAAGCCTACAATAGATGATGTTATGCCTACATGTGTGCTAAAACATAAAACTATTGACAAAAAAAAGTTTATATGTGAATTAATCTTTCTTCTTTTGATGTCAAGGGATAAGAGATCTTTTCTTTCTCTTCCTGAAAGGAAAAGTCAAGCTAATTCCTAAACATATCTAGACTAGTACCGCAGCGTTTCCAATTCACTGTGTTAGCCAGATCGCAGCATTTCTTGAATATGAGAATGTCATCATTTTTAAGATTGAATTTTTGGTCATCAAATCACAATTATGACAATGTATGGTGCGTTGAAGTTTTGGAATTTGACTAAAATATACGCTGATGCTCTAATCTTGACTCAACAAATCACATGTCTCGAGAAAAGAGGTTTTGACCGGTAGAATGACAAATACGTTTATGAATTTTGATAACTATACTGCTTTGTACAGCTCTTCCTAATTGCTTCAGCCAGCCAAGTACAACATGAATATCACACCCATCGAATGGTATACTCTTGATATCTTTTATTTATTTGCAACATATTTGTTTTAGATCATCTTAAGTATGAGCAAAAGATCTTTGATGATCAGAAATAGCCACAATCCAATATATGAATGTCTAAAATGTGTTGCCATAACTTACGTAGTAGTCTTTTTAAAAATGTTTTTGAAAAAATAGGGAATAAAATACGGGGACGACTAGGTGTATATGATTTCAATACAAATGATGTTTGATTTTTTGACATAAACCTTTTTCTCTTGTTATTCATATATTTTTTATGAAAAATGAGAGAAGGGAAATGAGTGAAGAGATATGGCGAGACCCTCATATCTAGCTATTTCCCATCTGTTGAAACTTGAAAGGAAAACAGCAATAAAACAACAAAAAAATACGACTCGCATAATGCCACACACATATACTATTTCTGATATAATATAGGAAAGAAAGCTGGTAGCGCATATGTTTTTCTTACCAGAACGTATACATATTATTATGTTCTTGAAAGGAGCACGTAGGTTATCGCGAACAACTTCAGAAGGTAATATCTTGGATTATGACTATTTTCTGACAATGAAAACAGTAGATTATTTTTATCTTTTATCTAATTTAAAAGTTAAATTAGAATATATAAATATCACTTTTGATAAAATAAATAAGGTGTCGCAATATTTCTACATTTTTGATTTTTTTTAAAATCTATTTTCAACTATTTTAGATAAAACCCGTGTACATCTTTTGCTTTGGCATCTTTTGTTGAAGCTGGCTCAAAATCATAATCAGGATCTTGTTGATATATTACCATAGCAGCTTGGAAGCAGATCCACGCAGTTGCGTCCCATGTAGTAAATGTAAGAGAGTTCACTTCGTCGTCAAAATAATGTATATATATGGGTATCTTATGATAGGTTGTCTCTTTAACTCTATGATTGTCCGTAGTTAAAAACCGCGACAGTGGTATCGTGAAAACATGAGCTACTTCCTGTTCATTTGGTACTGGTATGAAATAAAACAATAATAAATATAAAATATGACTCACATAATGTCACACATATACACTATTTCTGATGAAATATATGAAATAAAGCTGGTAGCGCATATGTTTTTCTTACCAGAACGTATGCATATTATTATGTTCGTGAAATACGAAAAGTCGTAATAACTTTTCACATATATGAGTTCTTACCTTTCATCCAATTTTCATCTATACTCCTGTAAAAAATACCCAAATGCATGATTTAATTAATAATCATTAGTAAGGGATCAATGTAAAAATCGGTACCTGATGATTAACTGTTGATAGTTAGGAGGGGGTCTAATTTTCCCAAGCAACAATATATCCCTTGTTTAGAGGAATATGAAGCCAAACTACAAAAATCTGGAATAACGTTATGTAAGAAGGTTTTAAGATATTATATGATAGCAATGTTTTTTATGGGGAGATATTGATATCCATGAGTGGATTTAATTGATATTTTTGAAAAACCATAGGATTGTCCGTTTATCCCATGGGTAATCTTAACCCAGCGAAAAAAATAAAATAATTAAAAAAAAATTTTGAAGAAAAAAATCTTGAAAAAAATTTGAAAAAACTGCATAACTGCAGTTAGAGTCATCCAGCTGTGGAACAGTGATTATTAAAAGCACGAAAAACGATTTGGTGCATATATTAGAAAAATGGAAGAACGCCAGCAAAGATGGTACTCTTCTCGATATTTTCGGGACAATATTGGGAACAATGGTTTGGACAGAGAGTTTCATTTTTCGTTCAGCGCAACGCACAAAAAATGGGCTAAGAGCTCTTAGCTAAAACCGATGGATTAACACTCACTTTGTAAAACGTTTTAACGCTAAGACTAGGATTATGACTAGGATTTAAACGTTTTAGCTAAGCTCTCTTAGCCAAGAGCTCTTAAGAAAATGTGGATTTACATTATATTTGTAAAACGTTTTAACGCTAAGACGTTTTACCCAAGACGTCTTAGGGCTCTAGTGTAAATCCAACTAGTCAGTACTACCTGAGCTATTCTAAATACTGCTATTAGGGTAGTTCCAGATCTTTAGAAATTTAATGACTTCAGTCTAAATGAAACCCTTTCGTTCGACTTCGCTCCTCATAAGAGAGTTTCGTCGTTTAAAACTAGACTCTGCGCGCATGGTACCTACTTGACCATTCTCTATATGAATGGAAAAATAGATGGCAGTATAGGTGTTGGAAGGGCAAGAATAAATGGAAACATATTGCAAGAGTCACTTAATTACTTGATCAAACAAGAAGTTCCATATCGATCAACTTAAAACACCATTAGAATGTAACTATATAAGAGGTGGAAGAATTAAATTTAATTGAGGCGCCTACGTACTGTACAATATATAAACGATCGATCATACTTTAGAGTGTCCATGTCATATAAGCCTGGTTAAGTTCAAATATCAAAGCATTACGTCAACTATAAAGAAGTTTAATTCGATTAAAACTAAAAATATCGAAATCGACACTTCCCGTCCGCCATCTTAAATGCGAAGATAACGGCCGTAACCTTCGCTTGATACTGACTAGGCATATGGCTATAAATTAATAGGTATTTATTTATAATCCATTCGGCCCAACTCCATGATGTGGATTTGTCGCCTACCTGGTCCGCCAGTGTCACATAGTGTACATAATGGAACTCAGTTGAAATTCGTAAGTACAAATAGTAGATCATTTTATATTTTATCGAATTTAAAAGTAAAATTAGAATATATAAATATCACTGGAATCATGTTGATAAAATAAATAAGGTGTCACAATATTTCTACATTTTTGAATTTTTTAATCTATTTTCAACTATTTTAGATAAAAACCCATGTATATCTTTTGCTTTGGCATCATTTGTTGTAGCTGGCTCAAAATCATAATCCGGGTCTTCTTGATATATTACCATAGCAGCTTGAATGCAGATCCACGCAGTTGCGCCCCATGTAGTAAATGTAAGAGAGTTCACTTCGTCGTCAAAATAATGTATATATATGGGTATCTTATGATAGGTTGTCTCTTTAACTCTATGATTGTCCGTAGTTAAAAACCGCGACAGTGGTATCGTGAAAACATGAGCTACTTCCTGTTCATTTGGCACTGGTATGAAATCCTCTGGAATTATTCCCACGATAGGTGTCACTAGAGTGCCAGGATGGGCTGTGATTGGTGTAATACTACCCAATACTGTGACAAGATGTCTGGGAAGACCGATTTCCTCTTCTGCCTCTCTTAGAGCTGTATCAATGGAATCTTTATCCTCTGTAAAGTACACAAAACAAGAATATAATAATGACGTAAATGTACGTAATTACTAATATCTTCATCCGAGGTTGTTATCCTCATTTCGAGAGCGGGAAACATTTACATATCAAGGTTAAATGTCTCATTTGTCGTAAAGTAAGTATGCTCACGGGTATTTTGAACATTTTCAAGCCACTTATCATCCAAATATTCCATTGTGGCATGAGGGAATAAAGCTCTTTCTAATTATTGGTTTGGCTTTTTAAATTTTTTCATTAACATTCTTTCCAGTTGAAGGGTGCTTTTGTAAAATAACCGACGGTACTTACCCGGATCCTCCATTCCGCCTGGGAGTGCAACTGTACTTTTATGATGGGTCATCCTATCAGACCGTTGTGTTAGCATTATATAGATGTCGTCATCTTTCAATATCAATGGCAACAGAACTGCAGCTTTTGGAGCTCCCGAAAATAAACCCATGTCAAGCTGAGAAAATGGACTCTCCAATCCAATGATTCTCTCACGAATTTCTTTTATACTTGGGACCACGTGATGTTTTGATGAAGGGCTTCCCGCCATTGTGTCGAGGATCGCAAAAACTAAAGAAAACATGTAAAAACTGATATCCATGTGGTTTCTTTTCGTAATTTAATGCATTTCTGAATGATACTACATGTAGTTGACAGGATGGTAACAACTGGGAAAGGTGACAGTCACTACACACAATAGAATAAATGTCAGCTTCGGTCTGAGTTGTATTTTTTGCTAATAGAAAAATAGATGTCACCATAAGTATTTAAAAACTTACATATACACCAGACTTTACCCCTATGCACTATCATGGTCAATGGACAATTTAGAGTAAGATTGATTACATTTCAAGAAAGAAGCTTTGCTGTCAGCTGTTGATATAAATTCAGTTCTCGTGAAATGAGACATTTACAGTGCAGTCGTTCGAAAATATGAAAATTTTTGGCACTGCAACCTTCAGTCCAATATTAGCAATAACATCATGAATTAAGTAGACTAACGAAATAACTTACCTTAGATCTATAGAGAGAGACTTAAGTTACCGCATTCAGTTAGTTGTTTGTGCAGTAATATTGGCATTGTTATAATGCGATCACTTGACGTCTGAATGTGCGTGATGTACCAGTGAACCACAGACAGGCAAGGGGTTCGAAACCTAGTGAAATACTTGCTAAATGTTTGATCGAAGTTAACTGTCAAGGTTCAAGGTCACATGGACTTTCACCATACTTCCCTGACATCTATATAAATGTATTTATTCAAATGTACAGTTGTGATACTGCCAAGGAATGAGAATGCGGATATTCATACCGTTTAAAACCGTTATATAGCATCTTTGTACTTTAAATAATATTTTGTACTATTATCGCATCATATTATATTACCATGTATTGTATTGTATTTAATTTTTTCCCTATGTATTGTATCGTATAGTATTGCAAAATTGCATTGGATTGTAATTGTTTTGTGCATAGTTTTGTTATATGTATTTTTGTTTTAACATTGAATTGCATTGTTTTGTTATGTATTTTTGTTTTATAGTATTATATTATTTATTGCATTGTATTGAATCGTATAGTTTTGCAATGCATTGAATTGCATAGTTTTGTTATGTATTTATGTTTTATAGTATTCTATTATTTATTGCATTGTATTGAATCGTATAGTTTTGCAATGCATTGAATTGCATAGTTTTGTTATGTATTTTTGTTTTATAGTATTATATTATTTATTGCATTGTATTGAATCGTATAGTATTGCATTGCATTGAATTGCATAGTTTTGTTATGTATTTATGTTTTATAGTATTACATTATTTATTACATTGTATTGAATCGTATAGTATTGCATTGCATTGAAGTGCATAGTTTTGTTATGTATTTTTGTTTTATAGTATTATATTATTTATTACATTGTATTGAATCGTATAGTATTGCATTGCATTGAAGTGCATAGTTTTGTTATGTATATTTGTTTTATAGTATTACATTATTTATTACATTGTATTGAATCGTATAGTATTGCATTGCATTGAAGTGCATAGTTTTGTTATGTATTTTTGTTTTATAGTATTATATTATTTATTGCATTGTGTTGAATCGTATAGTATAGTATTGCATTGAATTGCATAGTTTTGTTAAGTATTTTTGTTTTATAGTATCATATTATTTATTACATTGTATTGAATCGTATAGTATTGCATTGCATTGAATTGCATAGTTTTGTTAGGTATTTTTGTTTTAATAGTATTATATTATTTATTGCATTGTATTGAATCGTATAGTATTGTATTGCATTGAATTGCATAGTTTTGTTATGTATATTTGTTTTATAGTATTATATTGTTTATTGTATTGTGTTATATTGTATTTTTATTGATTTATCATAATTAACATAAAATACAATTACTTGCACTTTTTGCTTGAGCATTGCAATTGTATTTTTACTACGTTATTGTATTGTTTTACAATTATAATAATCTACAATTACTTGCATCTTAAGCAAAATCGTGCACTTGAAAATAATAGTTCTAGGGAGTATTTGGCTGTTCATTGTTTCCACATCCATACCTTTACTACATATCTTTACTGATTCATCCGTCCTCGGGTATTTTGCATACCTGGGAAGAAGTCTATTATCTCAAGGGTGTTAACATCAAAATCGTAAAAATAGCATCATTTTGTTAAAACGGAAATATTTCTTAAATGTCATAAATACCTGTGGTTGCACTTTAAAAGTTTTACTCTGTCTATGATGGGTTTGACCATGATGAAGCGCCGTGTATCATATGTACATATGGTCTTATCGACACCACCATATGTGATGAGCGTGTGGACACCTGGATTTGTAGAACTCTATGCTCGGTCCATAAGGCGGAAGAATACATATGTCCCAGGGTTATACAGCTGTGTATTGCAAAGGCTTGGATGTAAGATTTTGACGCGCTGTCTGGAACCATGAGATGTATCCTTTTCATGATTGTTCTCTTTCCATCACTCTCAACAATCTCCCTCTAAGGTAGAGGTAAACGAGATGAACTATAAACCTACATTTATATGTTTGTTATATTCTTTGTAATTCAAATTGGTGTAATTGACTTTGTACAAAAATTGAAACTCTACTAATACCCTTTACTGGGTGGAGATAAATAAATAAATCTAAACATAATTTTATTTAATTTCTCTACGACGCCCTCTGGATGATTTTTCCATCTTATAGATCGACCCACTGACTTTTAACAACTGCGACTCTTCTTAGTATGCAACAAATACGGCGATAATTCACCAAAAAGATGAGAAATTCTAAAAATGACACCTTATTAGTAAACCACCCTTACAACAAACATGTCTAAATCCCTATTCGAAAGATCAATTGATCAAAAACTGTAATACCTTTCAAATTAGATCATCTTTTATCAGTGCGATATCGGAATCTAGTGTGGTATAGTTAAAATTTATGTTATTTTTGAATTAAAAGATACCATCTCCCAATTTACATTCCTTGCCGTAAGGCGAAATATTTATGTAAGTGGTCAGTCATGGTCACTGACCATGACAGACCATCAGGCTTATGTTTAAATCAGTTTAGGCCCAACTTCTAAAAGATGAACAACTCTTACAATTTCTCTTGATAATAAAATAAAGTATTTGAATTAAACAAAATATGAAGTAGTCAGTTACTTAATATAAAGGAAGTAAAACCCTTTATAACATGGTGGAGCAGCTAAGATCTCGCGACCTCTAATCACGATCTGAATGGAACTTTTATGGATTTAAGAAACAGAAGACTTCCCGAAATTTCAAAAGGAGTACTAAAAGAAGATCAGGACATCATGGCAGATATGTCCTTGCGTCCTGGAAAGTTTAACGGACATTCCGAGGAAGATCCGGCACTATGGTTTTCAAATTTTGAGAGCTGGGTTTCCATTTGCGACAAAACATTCAACACACCGGAAAAGATTGTCCATTCGCTGAGGTTATTACTAGGACCATCCGCTCAATGTCAGAGTTGGTTTGGGACAATGTCGGAGGACGACAAAAAGGATATTTCCTCGATAAAAACAAGTTTCCTGAAACATTTTGGCGACGGCCAAGTACTGTGGTCTCTGGAAAATAAACTGGCTGATCTTAAAATGGCAGATTGTTCTTCCTTGGAGGATTATGTGACGCAAATCCATTCATTAGGGAATAGACTTGGCAGATCCGAGCAGGACAAGACGAGACAGTTTGTACGCAACTTAACTGATCCAATAAAGTATATCGTCTACCCACAGAATGTCACGACATGGCAGGCAGCGGTAAATGCGGCGCGGATAGCGGAGGAGACGTTAAAGATTGCCGGCGATCTTTCCAAACCCAAGACGAAGATGGCGAGCATCGTTTGTCAACTTTGCAGTGGGGAAGGTCACTCTGCAAGCGAGTGTATCAGGACAAGCGCCAATGCGATGGGGGAAAAGAGCGGAAATGACACCAGTTCTACGAAGTGTCAAATTTGTTCGAAATCGGGACACGGGGCAGCCGATTGCTGGTATCGATATAAAGACTCTCGGGAGAATCGCCGCCAGGAAAACACAAGATCAAGAGGTAATAATAATTATTTTCCCAGATCACAAAATTCTTCGATTGTTTGTTATGCCTGCAATCAGCCAGGACACAAAAGTTTTCAATGCAATGCTAAAAATTTAAACGGCTAAGGCATATGAATGGAGGGGAAGACACTCATATGCCTAAAAAGTCAATGTCTGGGAAAATAGTTAAATCAACAAGAAAACGGGGAAGACGAATGTTTGAAGAGGTCGAAATAAACAATTCCAGTCATATAACTATTACAGTGAAGGGAAACCAAATCAAAGCCAGTGGCGGATCCAGGAACCAACAAGGGGGGGGGCCCAAAATTGAGAATATAGAAAAAACCTCCGCGCTTGCGCGGAAAAAAATTTTGGGCCCCTAAAACCGAAAAAGTGGGCCCAAATTTTGAAAATTTGAGGCCCATTTTCTTCCAAATTTGGCCTAAATTAAAAAAATAAGGCCTTAGAAGGCCCAATAATGACCAAAAGGCCCACTTTTTGGGGCTTTAAGGCCTTTTTTGGCCTAAATTTTTTTTGGGCCCAACTTCTTTTTTTTTTGGGCCAACCTTAGGGGGGGGGGCCCGGGCCCCATGGGCCCCCCCCCCGGATCCGCCATAGAAAGCCCTAATAGACACTGGGGCAGACAAAAGCTTTATTAGCGAAAATGTGTTTAAAAGGTACATGTCATATGAAAAACTTGTCCCAGTGACTACATCCTCAGTTGAAGTGGCAAATGGTGAAGTGATGAAACCATTGTGTGCAATTTCTCCAAAATTTGATTTTAGAGATTTTCAAATGACATGCACTTTAAATGTGTTACCAAATTTATCAGAGAAGATAATTTTAGGTCGAGATTTCATGTTCAGTAACTCTATTGAGCTAGGATTTCATTCAAATGGTAAAATGTTGTTACGCATTCCGAAATCATGCAAGGTATTTTTAGCAACAGATATAATATTGCCGCCAAAATCTGAAAAATTGGTAGAATTGCCAGTAGTTAGTTCAAAGAAAAATGTTAGTGGTTTAATTGAAGGTTCAAGCAAATTGAATAGATTAGGTGCTTATATGGCAAGAACAATTGATCAATGTGAGTCGAGTAAAATTCGAACTACATTTGTGAATACTAAAAACGTTCCCATCACTGTAAGGTCTGGTACGCATGTGGGGTCATTTCATCCTCTGACTAGAATAAAGCAGGTTGATAATTCAGCGTTGCCGCCCGATGTCTCTTGCGTGTTAAAAAGAAGTTATGATTCACAGAGTAGTAATGTAAACGCTATTAAGCCAATCAATGTCCCCTTAGACGTATCGCAATCAGACTTATCAGAAGATAACAAAAGTCAACTTCAGAAACTTGTCGATAATTATAAAGACATATTCATTGAAACGAATCCTACCTTAGGCAGGTGTCCATTATTTGAACACGAAATTCAATTGAAAGATAAGAATGCACCTCCTGTGCAGTGTAGGCCATATAAATTGAGTCCTCCTCAAAGAAAGATACAAAGCGAACTAGTGCAAGAGTTAGCAGAACAAAATGTGATTTCACCATCCAGAAGTAATTACAGTAGCCCGATTCTTTTGGTTTTGAAGCCTAAAACTAAAGAGTGGAGGCTTGTTCAAGATTTTAGACAAATAAACAAGCAAATCAGATCAGATCAATATCCATTACCTGAATATCAATCAGTAATTGCTTCTATAGGTGAAAAATGCCCTATGTATTTCAGTTCAATTGATTTAGCTCATGCGTTTTGGCAAATACCACTTTCTGAAGAGAGTAAACGATATACTGCGTTCAAAACATTTGACGGGTTGTATGAGTGGAATGTGACACCAATGGGCTTAATCAGTTCTAGCTCTGCTATGCAAAGGTGCATTGATTTAGCATTATCAGGATTAATTAATCAGTCTGCATTAGCGTATTTGGACGATGTATTAATTTTTTCCACTGATTTCGAATCACATATGCATGATTTACAGAATGTTTTTCAAAGATTGAGAGATGCTAATCTGAGAATAAAAGCAAGAAAATCTAGCTTTTTCAAAAAATCGATCAAATTTCTAGGCCATGAACTGTCATCGAAAGGTATATCTTGTGACAAAGATAAGGTTGAAATCATACGAAATTATCCTAAGCCTAAAAATTCCAAACAACTAAGATCTTTTCTTGGAACGGTCGGGTTTTATAGAAAATTCATACATGACTTCAGCAAAATCAGTTCGGTGCTCTTTTCACTTTTAAAGAAGGAGCAAAGTTTTGAATGGACTAGTGATTGTGAAAAAGCATTCAATACACTCAAAGAGAAACTAATGTCCGCTCCGATACTTGCTTATCCCGATTATAACAAGCCCTTTAAAATGTTCACTGATGCGTGTGGTAGCGCGATCGCATTCGTATTAATGCAAGAACAGATGGGAAAAGATAGGGTTATATGTTATGGGGGTAGGCAGTTGACCGAGTGTGAAACGAGATGGATGACAACTGAATGGGAAGGGTTGGGAGTAGTGTATGCCTTGAGACAGTGTAAGTCAATAATAGGTCAAAATGAAGTAACGGTTTACACAGATCATAAAGCCCTCACCAGTTTGTTTGAAAAGAAAATACCAGATAACAACAGGTTAATGAGATGGTCCATGTTTTTGAGGGATTTCAATATCAAATTTGAGTATCGTCCAGGGAAATCGATAGCGCATGTTGATGGTTTGAGTCGTATACCATATGATCAAATTCCCGAAAATAAACAACCTGTTCATGATGAAGATGAATTTTTACCACCTTTCAATGATTTAAAAGATGTTGAGTTGAGATCGTTGGTGGTAAATCGTGATCGAATTCCAAAAGATTCAAAGTTGAAAAGACTAAATGCGATAAAGCGTGAAAATCGTAAATTGATTATGAACGAAGGCAATAAGGATAAAATTATAAACTACACAAGTAGAAAAATTCAAGGTAGATGCCTAGAAGACGCAAAGACACAAATAAATGAACATTCTAGGGAGGAATTAATTAAAGCCCAGTCAAATGACGAGTTCTGTAGGTGCTTAATAGAATACATAGAGCAAGATAAACTACCAACTGGTCAATCTATGCAGAATTTCGTCAAAAATCAATTTCAAAACTTTGTAATTGTTTCTGGGGTTCTCTTCAGAATGTTTGTTTACGCGGGTACGGGAGACATGGAAAGTAGATTGTTGCTTCAATTAGTTGTACCCAAGTCATTAGAAATAAAAATATTAGAGAGCTTTCATGAACATATAATGGGTGGTCATCAAGGCGTATCACGTAGTTACGCTGCATTGCGACTGAAATATTATTTCAAAGGAGCTTACAACAAATTAGAAAAGTACATATTGAGCTGTAGGGAATGTCAACAACGTAAAAACTTTAGAGATACATTGCACGCTCCCTTGCATGTCATCAATAGTACACATATCAATCAATACCTAATAGTAGATTATATTGGTCCATTACCCAAATGCAAAGAAACAGGGTCAGAGTATGTGCTAATATGCATGGACCATTATTCCAAATATCCAGAGTGTTATCCAACCAAAGATACAACAGCCTTGACAACATCCAAACTGATATCATCTAAATATGTACCAGAAAGGGGTGTACCTGAAAATATTGTTTCTGATAGGGGGAGTACGTTTACCGCGATAATCACAAAACATACGTGCGAATTACTGAAGATTAATCATGTAATAGCAGCCCCGAGAAATCATAAAGCGGTTGGGTTAACCGAGAGATTCAATGAGTACCTTTATAATGCAATATCCATGTACATCAATGAAGGTCAAGATAATTGGGATAAAATTCTACCTCAGATAGTGTTCAGCTATAGAGTTACCCCTCATACATCACACAAAATGACTCCGTTTTTCATGTATCATGGGAGGGAAGCAAACTTACCGGTAGATGTCGAGTTAGGTCATGGCGATCAAGCCAAGGCAAATAAATATGGTGACTTTATTAAGGAAATCGCTTCAAATGTGGAATTTGCTCAAAAGTGTGCTCAGAAAAACCTTGAAATGAGTAGAGAACACATGCGTTCGAGTACAGCAAAAAATGAAACTCGAATTGAATATGTGCCTAATCAAGTGGTATTCTATCACTATCCCGTCAAGAAGAAGTTTCTGAATTTCAAACTGACTTCAAAACATTATCATGGTCCATTTTTGATAGTTCGGAGGGACGGTAACAATTACTATCTGAAAAGACCAGATGGCACCAAGCTCAAAACACCGGTACATTTTGATGAAATACGACCATCGTATCAATTATGGGCTAATGAAATCAAAAATTGCGAAATAGCGCAAGATGATGACGTAGAGAAAGGTATCCAAAATGATGAAAATGACACTAATGAGGCATCTGAAAGTAATAATGAAAATGATCTCAAAGATGAATTGTTCCAAATAGATAAAATATGGCGTGGTCGCTATAAAAATGGTATCTTGGAATACCTTATACAATGGAAAAACATGACAAAAGATGAATGTTCCTGGGAACCGTACGATAATTTAAATGATGAAACCAAATTGTATCTTAAGAATCACACGGTACGGTTAGTTGGACACGTTCCCAAGGGCATACAGAAGAAGATAGCATCATTCAATTCAATTTAAATTGTTATGCTTTCACAGCTTACCTAGTAATCGTGAGGTATTGATTTAGACAGGGTGATTTTGAAATATGCAGCATTTTTATTTCTTGCCTTGATCAGCCGGGAATTTAATTGTTAACAATACGTACAGACTAGTAGTACATATCGTTTGGTGTATTTCTGCCATATTTTGTTAAATCTTCATCTCAATACTAGACGTTTGCGATTTGTTTTACTAATTTTAAAATCTGAGATGCATGTACATAAATCACATATATGGGTGAGGGATAATGTTAGTTATGTAACCTTTTGTATATGTTAACCTTTAGTATAAGATGATTGTAAAATCTTTGTTTGTATGATTGCGTTATGCCCATGCTTCCCCTGGAACATAATTGTAATTGTATAAACCGTAAATATTCTTGTCATGCAATATATGTGGTATAGTTAAAAATAATTGTATTTGAGATTTTGAAATATGAAACGTTTGTCAGATTATGAAAATGTTGATTGTTTAACTGGAATTGTGAACAACAATGTAAACTACTTTGTTTTACTGGAATAGTAAAGATGATGTTTTTAAATGTAAAAAAAAGAGGAACCTAGGTATTGTTTTATTTTAATATAAACAAATGACAACATTATTGTCAAGAACTGTTAAGAAGATCGTTAAGAAAATGATCTCAAGTTGATTATGAATTGTAAAGTGTTATGACTTCTATGTCTACACACACGTGTGTTTTAAGTAAGGAGTAAACGGTAGTCTCATTAGACTAAATTTAAAACAAATATGTATTTTACAACTTTTTTGTAAAATATTCATAATGCATGAGTGATATTTTGTGTAGTTTTATGTAATTTTATATTTGATTTTTACTCTGTAAAAATGTTTGTATTTTCGATCAAACGTGGAAGTTTGATTTAAACGTCGGGAGTGTGGTATAGTTAAAATTTATGTTATTTTTGAATTAAAAGATACCATCTCCCAATTTACATTCCTTGCCGTAAGGCGAAATATTTATGTAAGTGGTCAGTCATGGTCACTGACCATGACAGACCATCAGGCTTATGTTTAAATCAGTTTAGGCCCAACTTCTAAAAGATGAACAACTCTTACAATTTCTCTTGATAATAAAATAAAGTATTTGAATTAAACAAAATATGAAGTAGTCAGTTACTTAATATAAAGGAAGTAAAACCCTTTATAACACTAGTATAGCTACACTGCATACGAATGTGTAGACAAATCGTGTCTAATACAGGTGTATTCTTACCAGGTGCAAACTGGGAGAGCATCAACATTTTGCAATGTATGAGATTTTATATCTCCGACTCTTTGCATTTTCTTTGAAACACCAAAACTGTCACCGTTAACGTCACTTTAATTTACAGAGCACGTTTCATCCATGGATTCAAAAGAGGCTGAAGAGGGTATACTTTTAGGTCGCGAAGCGTTGCCGTTGTGGAATATCTGTCACCAAATAATAAGAAAAAAAATTTCATATATTGCATATATTCCAAGATGAATGTGCCTAAATATTCGTCATTCTCGGGACTTTTCGAAAAATATTTATTTCGTTCAGTGTATTTCAAGTAATGACGGTTGATGACAGATTTTAATATATTAGTGTTTTGTTAAACGTTTAGATATAAATTAAAAATGTCGAGGATAGTGAGATTGATAATTATTTACATATTTCAATCTATTTTCGGTTAGTAGGCTAGCCGTGGCACTTTCTCAAGATGATATTTCACTAGCCCTTCGGGCCTCTTGGAATATATGAACTTGTGAAAGATGTACAGGTATTCACCTCAACAAAATGTAAGTTTGTATTGTGTTTCATCTTAGGTATTGTTGATCTTTCATGGAAAATACTATATACAGCAGCGATGATTCAAAATACGTAATAGACGTACCTTGTATTCGCGAATGCACCCTGAACTAACGCCTGTCGGCTACCGGATTAACCTTATATTTTATGACCAACTTATTTAAATATGAATTGAATAGTGGCAGATACTATTCATATTTAAATGAGTTTCCAGTAAAATAGTAGGTTAATTCGGTAGCCGATAGGCGTAAGTTGCATTCGTGAATACAAGCGAAGAAAAGGGTACTATAATGCCAGTACTTACTGTAATTAAATCAAATGTGTTGCATTCGCGAATTCAAGGTACGTCAATAATGTATTGTCCAGGGTAAGGTATGACATTTTTATACTTTGTATTTAACTTTTCTTCGCTTATTTTAGTATTGCTGTACTAAAATTCATTTATGTGATAAAATGGATTTTGGAAGAACAATGTCTTTCAGGAACCTCACTGCTCCCCACCTGGTTATAAAGACTTAAAACAATAAGTCTTATAACAAAATGGATGAACATTCGTCGGAGGAAATTTTATTTTCAACATTTTCACCAAAAAGGAGGTGATTTGCAACCAAATATTTTATAGTACCTGGTTATAAAGACTTAAAACAATAAGTCTTATAACAAAATGGATGAACATTCGTCGGAGGAAATTTTATTTTCAACATTTTCACCAAAAGGAGGTGATTTGCAACCAAATATTTTAACCGTATGTTAAAAGTAACATCCAGTTACTGAAAATCTAAGCAATCACTCGTAAATATATTCATCAGCTGAAATAATCGAATGAGAACTTCTCACTTCAGCAACAATGACGTAACATCTTTATAACCAAGTGATGACCAGTGAACCTGTCATCCAAGTAAAATTATCGTAACTCTATTAGTATAAACAAAACCTCACAATCACAACTTGAATTTCATTTCGCTATTTATTTTTCTAATAAATTATTTATCATTGGATGTATATCGAACAATAGATGTACAGCAAAACCTGTCTAATCCGAACGCCACTGGGACCGGCTAAATGAGTTTAGATTAGGAGGTGTTCACATTTCAAGGTTTTTGCATTCGCAATATTCCGGATTCTGGAGAAATGTGAACACATTCTCAGTAAATTTTTATAGATCTTTTGACCACATAGCTTTAGGGCATTCCAGAAATTTGAAAATTTGATTCAAATGAATCTAGTCATGATGGAAAGCCCCATTATGATTGAGACCATTTTAGATTTTTTCCCCAAAATTTTGATATCATGACAACATTTGAGCAATTTTGTATGAAACATCAGAAATTTTATGAAAAGTGTTAAGATTAGACAGGTGAATATTTCAAATATGACTGTTCATTGTTTAAATTGGGAAGTGTTCACATTTCAAGTTTTTTTTAAACATGGGAGTCAATGGGAGGAAAAATTGCCCCAAGAAAAGTGTTCAGATTGGGAGGTGTTCGAATTAGCCAGGTGTTCAGATATACAGGTTCTACTGTAGATTCATTCAATGATGAATCGTGGAAATGAGGTGACTTGAGCCACACAATCGAAATTATATTTGATAAGTTTTTATATCTAGAGCATGCAGGCGAACTGTGACAATTACAACTGATACAGCCAAAACCTAATATAACTTAAATAATTTTCAACTATTTCATACAAAAAACAACGAGAGAAATAACTAACAGCTAAATGCCATTGTTTTCATGTCACCCTGTACTTTGCAAATACAATGTAAATCAAATAAGTACATTGCTTTTTAAATTCTTTCAATGATTAATACAATTTGCAAATTATAACTACAAAATAGCGTCGTTTAAATTATCAATTTCTACATTTATATGGTGTCTGTTTAACAGTTTTACCCAAAGCACCAATTCCAACAAAACATATAAAAATAAAATATTAAAAATCTATACAATATAATACATTTACAATACAATATCTCTGTACAATATTTACAACTAGTTGATTGTCTTAATGACATCGTGCACAATACTACAGACTACCTATTTCTATGTACAAATTACTGGTGTATTCACAATATTTAGCTCAATATATGTTCCTAGCCTTATTCCCAAATGTGTTATGAAGCACCCACTTTTTGACAGCATTTATTGGGGAAAGCAGTGCAAAGATATGGCTTTAGAAAACTGTCTGACTGTGTTCAAACCTATCCTCACATGGTTTTGGATAAGATAAGCGGGGTATGTCAATTGTCAAGTACCAGAGGCATTTTCCCCCGTGCGTGCCACTTTTCATATTGTTATACCAATCTTGAAACAGGGTTGCGTATACTTTTTCATCCTCCGAACGCAGGGATCTAAAACGCCATCCGCTACATTACTTCCTTCTTCCGAGAGCGAGCTACGAGTTCTAAAGGCCTGTGTTTGGAGCATGATACTTTTTAACATACTTATAATATGATAATATCATGTAGTTTACGTTTTATTAATAAAACACAAAGTGTAACCATGGCATCAGGGTATAAATACTGCAAGTGTAAGTTTAGAGTTCAACGAACACAGCTGCTGGTATATTGGGTAGTTCATGCTATTATGGCGTATGGTATATTGGGTAGTTCATGCTATTATGGCGTATCTATAGAAGATCATTAAACTGCAATTATTCTACTCTTCTGCAATGTCCCCTCAATCGCATGAAAAGACTGCAGAGTAGTGGGGCGTTCCTTCCACGGGCACTTCGTCGATTCGAAAGTTTCTTAGACATCCGTTAAGCCTTTGATTTAATCCCTGAAGAAACAAAACAAATACTATATAGGATCACGTGACCTTTAATACACAGTCCTACTTTATATTACATAAATCAAAAATGTTGTTATGATTAATATGTACTTGGTGACTCGTGCCAACTTTACATTGATCTGAACTAGATTTGAAAAAGGAGTTCCCCAAAGGAGTAAATTGGGACCCTTCATATTTATAATATGGTAATTAATATTTCAAACTTGACATGTCAGTGCATTCCGGATAGAAGTGACTTTGCGGGAGAGAACGTCAATACACTATGCCCCTGAAGTAAAATACTTTGACTACCCATCATGAAATGGGAAATAATGATGAAAAATGGAGTAAATAATCCAATAATGTCAAAAATTGTCACCAGAAAAGAAAAAAAGATTACTACTCAGAATCGAGAGATAAATGCTATTGGATAATATTAAAACCAGAGTAAGGAAAATTTGTTTTTGGGCAGGAGAATTACATCCTCTCATAAGGGTCATTCCATGGGAAAAAGAAAAGAATTAATTTACATTTCAGTTTAAGGATTTGTGTATTTAAGTAAACCCACAGTGAGAAAGAAAACTACTTGGGTACATTTCACCTAAATATTCTTAATGTAACCCAGGAGAAATTAAAGAAAGTACAATTTCGAATTAAACATTGAATGTGTACAGTGGATTATAAACGAATACATGGTAAATTGTTTAAGTCTTTAACACGTGGTTAACACAGGTGTACTGTCACCTGTGGATCGCTAATTACTAGCAGGCAGCGTAACCATGTCTTTATACGCAGTGAATAACACGTGCTAAAAGTCACAGTTGTCATACAATAGTGTACATCATCATCTGACATCAAATAGTTACATTTTGTAATGTTATATGATGTATAGTTATACAAATACTTATAAATAACTTTGGATAACAAACTGCGATGGTTTTGAAATTGGGTTATCACATCATCTGCATGCGCGCATACGCCATGATAACATAGACAAGAGAACGCCATGTGATAGTTTAACATTTGATTAAAATAAATGGATTTGGTTTAGTATTCATCCATTTAGTTTCACTTTATACATTATTTCCATAAAAAGCATTGCGTTTTCATTATTAAAAGTGAATGTCGAATATTGTAAACGATAACACGGAAGTGTGACGATCTGGAAGTTTACAAACTTAATTTTATCACCTTATTTATGTTCATAATCAAATATTATCTTCCTCTGGAGTTAAAAACAATATTTGCAACAATGAGTGTACAATAATCGCCATTTTATATTAAAAAAACAATTCACACTTTTAAACATACAGGTAATAATAAAACAGCCAATCAACCACTGTATACTCTCAATTTGTCTTAAGTATACGTCAGCTTAAATAGTTTATAACTCAATGAATTCTGCACCTGTTGCCTTTATTTATTGACACTACTAAAGTGTAACCTTTTTTTGTTGCAACACTCGAAGTCCACTTGTGTTTAAGAGTGTCAATAATACCCACTTACCCACTACAAGCCCAGGGGGAAGGCTATGTGCGGGTACGAGTATTATTTTTATAAGTTTAGATGCAATTTTTTGATTGGAAAACCACAAAGTGGTACGTTATGAACCACGACAATTAAATGAAATACGTATGATAGATATGCATAACAGTAAATTGAAAATTGGCAGAAAACATATAAAGGTGCGGCATACAAAGGGAAAGCCTATTTGTTTTATATATATATAATTGAGTAACCGGGTTGAGTAACTACTAACGAGTAGGTGTTTGATATATATAAGTCATTTATATCAGTAAACGTCATTAATATATTTAAACTAACTTGATCTCAAAATTATTCCAATAATTTTGTATACCATACTTCAATTGTATAAATATTCAGAAGGCATAACTTTCAAAACAAAACAAAATATCATAATAAACCTTCCTTTTTGTGTAAAATATTTTGTGCGAGATATCCCGAGCATAACAATCAAATAAGGAGTAATTATGTTAAGGAATTAATTTGGAATTTCCTTTCCTTGTACTGTTTAAATATTTTTCCTGGACACCACTTTCAAGGTGTTATAACTGAAACCTTACGAATTAAGATGGGATACCATATAAAGTTATCAGAGTAGATTATGAATTATTCTTTGTACTTTATTCATTGTATTTTACATAACTTTACATTGTGTTTTCCAATGCTGCTGTTGGCACGTTTCATTAGTACAATATGAATAACTTACTTAAAAGTAATACTTACACTAAAACCTGGTATCCTCACCCTCTGAGGGAGTCCCCCGAGGTAGATATGATTGAATGGGGCACAGGTGTGAACGTAATCTCTAAATGGTTTCTCGTCATCAATTTTAACCATCCCCTTTAGTGGAATTCTTGTAAACTCAACCTGGAAATAGATATAATACATGATTTGAACTGTGGATTTGTCTATTGATTATTGACTTTGAATTTTGTATCACATAACGCTTGCTGGGTTCTTTGGTTGGGTGCCCGACTTATGCAAAAGCAAAATTTACAACAGAAAAACACCAAGACCTATCAAGTCACAGAAAATTAATACATAGAAATAACATGAATCAAAGGCGCGTCTTTATCAACGATGTCTCTTTAGGTGTTGTCTTGATTGTAAATTGACTCAGCACACAGCAATGTAATCGAGAGATAGTGATTTTAAATTAAATAAAATGAATGGCAAATTAATGTTGACGTTCAGAAAATGTATTGAACGATTGTAATATACTTGTCAAATATTTCTCTAATGTCAAATAGCATGTACAACTGTTTAGTTCGTTTATATATTTGATTCGTAGATATATTTGATCAACTTAACTCTGAGCTTAATTTGAAGTTCGGATTCATCAAGTACATTATAGATAAGATGACACCATTTTAATATCTATGTTTTAATTATCAGTCCCTCCCTTAATTGTTTATTCTTAAATATCCAATCCTTGTACCAATAAATAAATAAAAGTAAGTTTAAATTAATACATTGGTACAAGTACATATTATGAAATATGTGTGTCTTTCCGATTATCTATGATTGTCTACAAAGAGTCTGTATATTTTTCTAAATGTTTCCTTATGTGCTGTTTTATACACTTCATTTTACATGGTTCCCCAATTCTTATAAAAACGTGTGCCCTTAGACCCAATTTTTTACCCCTGTGTAATTGTACCTCAGAATATATTCCTTATAAATAACAATAATGTACTATATATCTTGTGATAATAGGCCATACTAGCCTAAGTCGATCAAGCGTTATACACATTTTATTCATGACTTTTTACCCAGTGGTAAATATGATGATATATGTCCACGTTCCATGACACTTCATTCGTAGTCCAATTACAAAACGGAAACGCTGTCTTAAAATTTTCTTTAAGTCCATGTAAGGGCTGAATGGTTTATCAAATAAGAAAGTGTGTCAATTTAACAAGAAAGTGTGTCAATTTAAACAAATTGATTTGTTGAAAACGTCCAACTGACAGCAGTGACTCGTGTCATTATATTGTAACAAGAGAAGATACTTGAAAGGAAAGTACAATTAATTAAACATTGAAAAAATGATCGAAATTAGGAAAGAATAATAAGCGAACTGACACGAAGCCAAGAATAATACGAATTATGAGGCACACCCGAGAATCATGGCGTGGATTAACATGTTGCATATTTGGATTGAAGTTTTAAGCATGAGAAAGCAAATAGTGTCAATTGAATTAAGTTGTTCCTCAACAAAGACTCGACTGACACTTGTTCATTTTTTTGGTTTCATTCATAAAGCATAAGTTGTATATCGATGTTACTACATGCCATTCAATAGCGACAAGTATGGTTGATAGACTCTAAGTCCCCATATGCATGTAATTCTAAAAAGTAGTGTTTTTATACAATATGTGACTAAATATTGTTCGAGACATTGGTCTTCACATTGTTACGCGGGGACTAATTTCAATAGAAGGTGGAGTTAGGCTATATTGCTCCGCCTAAAATATGTCGTCTGCTGACGCGTACGACGTCTGCAGATAGGATCGAGTCCAGTCTCAGTGTCACAACGGAGTCAATCTTCTACCCTGACTTCAGAAAACTGTCGCTGAATAAGTGATCTGAAGGGGCATGTTTTGCTGACGAAATATGTGGTTGTGGCACGACTGACTCCGAATAAGCTGAAGTTAAGGACTTTCATCGGCATAAAGACGACGCGTTGTCGCCCCGCCATAACTAACGAAAACGTGGAAACATCATTTTCAACGTCTGTCTACTGAATGGACGGTTTGACTAATATTTATCTATACTTGACTGCTAGTGACTTTCATAGAAGAAAGCAAATAGCCGAAGGTGTCTGGTGTGAGTGTCTATGTATCACTCTTAAGGAAAATCAATTGCGACTCATACTTTTTCTTTTGTTATTCCAAACAACCAATCAATTTAGCAAATATCTGATTCATCCATGGCATTAGTCTTTTTTGTCTCTTGAAAAATTAATCATTACCGTTCACATTGCGATGCTTTCAGAATTTCACCGCTAATTAATTATTAATCCAAAAGCACTGGTCATAAAACCTGATTTTTAATGTAGATGATTGTACAAATCTGATTGTACATATATATTTATAGATTTTGGTATGATTTGAAATCTTTGTATTCTTCAAATGGAGATGGATGATATCGTTTAGGATGTTTATATTTTTAACACATTTTCTTACTTCCGATTCCATAATCAAGGTCTCGGTATTATTTTAGTTTTTTCTGATACTGAATACTTTTTAATTTTTATTCAATAAGATAATATACACGATTATAAGATGAATAATAGATACAGATCGCCCTTACCTTATGCCAAGAGTTGTCGTTGAATTCCTCATGCATGGTAAGAAGACCGTTTGTATTACCGCAATTGAAGTAGTATCTGAGATGCCCTTGTTGGAGATAAAGCGCTACAGAATCGGGTGTTTCCGCCGATCTATGTTCTAAATTTTCGCTACTTGCTAGAAATAAAAGTCCCGTAGAATGCCTTGTCTTGAATTCGACACTTAAAGACGATCTGAAATTGATAAATAATATGTATGTACCTTTAATTGTTAAAATTGTTTGTGTTTACTTTGATAAATACTGTTACACGTGCAGGTTCCTCTGTATAAATATTTGTTTTCTTATCTTTACAGAATTCAATAGAATTTCGATATTGACATTTGACGTGTGCCATTCTCTTTAAGAAGCTCACCACGCGAGCGTTTAAGTTTCAATTAAATATGTCATTTGGTGTTGAAACATAAACGAGAAGTGTTTAAAAGTGGCTTTATATCCGATGTAAGAAAAATTAACAATAAAAAGGGGAGGGAAACGGTAACCACTTATTGTGAAAATAAACCATAAAATGTTCGCACTTTAAGTAGCTGAGAAAATAAACAAATGTGTCGATCTAGAACCTAGGGAAGCAAAAAAAGTATCGATACACTAAAAATAAAGACCTTAACAATATTGAAACAAAAGTTTTTTTCATTTCCTTGTACTTGTGTACGTATGGTATTGGATTATTCCTAGGCATTCACAGCTATTTGGGATGTTACGATTAATGGAGGAATTTCGGTACAGATTTCTGACCATGTTCACATCCAGATGGGTGTGAAACTACAGGTGACACCTCGCCACAGGTGTATTTTAGAAGAATATTGGAAATGATTAAGATTTGGTCAAGAAATACACGTACTTCAATTGAATAAATATTCGTGGTAGTGTATTTCACATGTTTTGCATACATATAATAACTATGTCAAGTTTATAGCATTTAAGACATTATGATTTTAGCCACAACAAATGGAGGAAATATTTGAGGGGAATCTCTGGTGAAAAAAGTACTTTTTTGATTCATCTTCATGTTGTCTTATGTACAGTAGTTTGTTATCTCATATATATGGTAGTGTAATGACACTATATGGACAACGCTGCCCTTTTAAAACGACAAACTTAACTCAAATATCAAACTGAAATTAGCTATTTCAAATTATTAAACTGTCAGACTATATCAAGAACAAGGGAAAATCACAAAACGCAAACTTATATATTTAAATATTTGATTTTTAAAAAGCGTTTGACATCAAAGAATCAAATTTATTTCTGAACGTTCAAACTATTGTTCAGAACGAATCCCTGGAAACCCTTTTAAGTAAAATGCAAGTCATTCTTGACTACAAACGCCTTTTAGGTGCTTACCTATCGCCCAATGGGTAAACGGGTTCGTACTGTACTCGACTACCTTGCATTCTTGCAATGCGAACGCCTAGGGCGCTGGCTATATCAATTGTTGCCTAAAAAATAAAACACCTAGAATTAATTCAATTAAATATACGAATATTTAACTAATCAAAGTAAAGGGAAAAGACCAAACGCTGTAATGGAACCTATAACAAAAGCAAGCTCGATGGTCAAAGGAAAATCCCCGAAATACAAGCTATGGATTAACATAATTTATCGAAATTTAATTTTTTGTTGTTGCGCTATGTGTCTTTTATAAGGTTTCTCCATTGCAATGAAACTTGATGAAATACCAATAAAACGAGGAGTCATTTCAAATTGATAAATAATGTGGATATGTAGGCCATTGAGCCATTGATTCTATTTATGCATAAAATAACAAACTTTGCCCAAACTGTGAATTCCTGCTTCCTCAAACTTGACCGGACATCGCACGACCTTATCTTGTCATAAATATAATCCACTCACAATTTCAATCATTAGTTTTTTGATTATTTTGAAATTAAAAGCCGGAAATTACATAATCCAATCCTGTTTTTTTTATTTATTTTAAAGTATTCATATTTCAATTTTCTCATTGCTTTTGACACTGGATATCTCTTAATCCAATCGTGTGAAATTTGACGCACACACGTCATGTGCTTATGGAAACATTTTCCTTCTTTTGCCTTCTCAGTCACTATTGTCTTGGAATCCGGAAATCTATTCATTTTTATAATTTATATACAACTTATCGACATTAAAACTTGTTTATGGTTATTTAAGGCTAATGTCTGATTTAGTAAATTGAAGTGTTGTGCAATGTGCAGTAAAAACGAAGAATAAATATATCATAATTTAAATGGTAAAGAGGGGGTGGGGAAAGGGGTCATTTAACAATGTTTCTTCGTGCAATTCCTGAAATGATGAAGCTTGTTGAATTTTCTTGTTTTGGTTGAGCTTTTCATTTTTCTGTTTGATAGAAAAATCCAAAACAACAATGTTAAAGTTACATAAAAAAAGAAAGGCTTATAATAAACTTGGCTTTCTAAATCCCGCAACGAAACATATATAGCGTTAATAGACTTTGTTTTGACTGCAAATGGTATTAGATGCGTGGGTGTCTCAGTATATGCGAACTTGACCTTTTTGTGACTTCTCGGAGTTATATTACACATTTTTGTATGTGTACGTTGTTTTTCATAAATAAACCTGTCACTCCCTCAACCAGAATGAAAATGCCATGGTGCTTTTGGATAGAAATCAATGAAATTGGCAGATATCGCTGAAATTTGATACTCTATTCAAACTAACACAAATAAGCAATATGGGACTAAAATGCAGAAGACGTAAATGACATCACCCACATCATTGATATAACGTTTATTTTCCTTTTAAGGGAAACCCACTCCTTATAGTTTACATGTTAAAATGTCAAGATAGTCAGATAGAGATGACTGTTTGTTAAAACATGCAGTGAAAATTTAAAGTGAATTGTACCGTTTTATTCATTGACGCCAACAAAATAAAAATATAGAACATTTGTGAGAAATTAATAAGCAGTTGTCAACAACTATGATCATATGTTTGTGAATTTAAAAAGGTGTTATACGTCTGTAGTTATCTTTTGATGAGTGCCTTGTATAAACTCTAGAAAATAAAATAGATACTCACTGAACAAGCTTTTCCTGGTATTCTGGTCGCCCTACCACAAACTGGTCTAAACATAGCGCAAGTTATGAACATGGTTAAAACATCGACTGCCGTGCATCTTGAAACCATGTTGATGATTTAAGTGAAAAAGAAACTTTTGATTAATTGAGAGAATTTTTTTTATGAATGATTTAAAGTTCGTGTATTTTCTGACAGCGTTGATATATCTTGATTTTAAATTGTCTTTATTTTGATTCTTACAGAATGATTACCGACGGTTGTGTTTAGATGCGATGATTAGTTCGCTTTATATACTTACCAAACGATTCATTCATAAAACGATTTGGAGTTTGGAACATGCAAAGTGACCAATCACAAACTCAATTTCAGTGACGTCATGATCAAGTCATGTGACAAGCTTGTTAACTACTACGTGACTCATTCATAAATTGATGAAAACAAATTTATACTACATCGAGTAAACTTACTGTGTACTAAATATAACAAGATTAGGGATGGGGGAAATAGGCTTTACCAGTTATATTTATGTATAAACCGATAGTACATAATCCCAAATAACAACTATATGGAATAGGCACACAGGAAGCCATGGAAGTAAATTTTTGACCAGCGTCTGTTAATGTTTATCGCAGGCTTTCGTTTAATCACTGATCAGGGTCAACGAGGGCCTATTGTGATATTTATAGTCCACAATCAATAGAATTGATTACGCCATAGAAAGTGCTTTGCATACTCACCATGTGATCGATATGAATGAATAATATTCTCTGACTAGCTTTTTTATTATAACTTTACCCCACATTTATTGATAAAGTAATTAGATACTATACTTTTCAAACCTTACAGCGTTGAACCTTTAAGCTTTCTATGATTAGAAACTAGTTCGAAATTAACCCAAAATTTATCAAATGCGCAGTGTTTAAGTAGTAGTTACAAGGCCATAAACCAATATCCAAATTTTATGATTTTAAATCAACAAAAGTTCAAACATGTCAATTTTGAATGTTTACAAATTTCACTTATTGTAGATGTTTGAAATTCGCTCAACGTGTCAGAGACGATAATGTCCTTAATATGTCACTGTGTATCGTGTTTATCTCGTGCCATCTCTCTCTAAAATTCAAATTTGATTTTCTGATGTTTTTTAGAATTCTGAGTGTGACATTGCTCATTTGTTCATTCCTTATCAATTAGAGTATTTTTCATTTCATTCATATGTACGTAGGAATCCATCAACTGTGAGATTTTACTTACGGACACTGTCCTTAGAATGTCCCTATACCTCTGACAGTGGCAGTGACAGACCAGTGATGGTCCGCACTTTGCATGCCAGGCGAGGGTACATTGTCCCATAATTCAAAGTCCATCTTATGATAACATCTACAAGGGTTAATTATATATACAAACCTATATTTTTAGATTTGAATTTGTCACAATCTACTTCAAATGCCAACCCGTTGTTCAAATAACAAATGCTATGTAGATATTTGGATTAAAAGTTGAATTTACTAAGGGGCAAACAAAGGGATACATACATGGTAAATAAGTGAAAGTGACACTATTATAGTGAGATTTTGCAAATCGCTTATTATTCACGTAAAACGTATAACTTATGGAGCGTTTGATTACGTCATGAATCTATTGGTCAGCTCTATACGTCCACAAGTGTAATGTTCTTACGTAAACACGACGATTTATAATACTATAAAAAATAAGACAAATTCAGTCAAACAATATGTGTATTGTACATCCAACGCAACGGAAATGTCAAGTTGTACGCGCATACTGTAGAATTCGGGTACATTTTGGGTACATTCGATGGCAACAAAGTTTCGGAAAGATTTTTTTGTGGAACCCATTCAATTATGCACGTGTGGCAAAAGAAAGTGCTATGTGAGCTCGTGGGTAGGAGTACCCATTATGCAGATCAATTGACTAATTTTTTATCGATACTGTTTTATTGATACATGTGTATGTTTATGGTTTATGAGATCTAATTTGTGGTTTCGCCTTAGTAATTCATAAATTCCCTGAGTGCGTTATTCTCTCATAAAATATGTTTTCATGAGTTGCCATAGTTACGGTGCATGACTCTATTACATAAATCTGCAAAACATACCTGTCAAAAGCAAACGGGGGTATCATTCGGTAAAATCTTACAATTTTAGAAATGCAATTGGGTGAGTTGGGGACTTTGATTTGCTACAAAATTTATAAAATTACATTCTGAGCACAACACAAAGTTTTATGACGTATACTAGGCAGGCCCAGATGTTCCCTAACTCCTGCGAGAAAAAACACCACGAGTGTCCTGCAAAAAATTGAATAAGCGTAAAAAGAGACGAAATACAAAATAATCAACTCAACTGGCATATTGCCAACATTTCAAATTATACAAAAATATCAGAAAATAATATATTTCTTTCAAATCTGAGTGAGAAATTGTCTGGAATAAAGATACCAGACGAGAACTTTTTGCGCTATTTTAGGCGAGCTAAAGCGCAACCAGTACGCGAGTACACACGGTTCAGCTTCCTCATAGTTTCAGGTTGTGACAATTTCAAAACAAAGTGCCATGGTTTACAAAGTGATAGTAAAACAGCATTCTAAGAGATTTAGTGGCTTTTTAGACCACATGTTTGTTGGGACAAGCTGAGAAACAAGTGTTCATCAGACCACTAAGGGCACCTATGTTCCTCCCATCCCTCTTCAAAATTGCCCTTTCACACCCATTTCGGACCCCACATACACTGATCCGCAGCTTTGATAAAGTTCGATTATTGACAAATATCTGAAGATCGGTACGGCTTATTCTTTTTAATTACATGCCAACTTAGGGTGCAGTTGATGTTTTCTTGTAGAAACCATGTTTATCCGCCGCACCAGCTGTGGCCATGTCAATGCAATACAGTTCGGTTCTACTTTTGTTTTCCACCTTTATGTACACTGGCAGGTCAATAAAGCAAAACAACCAATCTTTCAAAAAGTGAAACTCGTAAATGCCATGCTATGAAACAGATGCTTTTGCAAATGTATATATGTAGCCCCCTATGTCATATATAGTCTACCCGTGTAAGTGTCGTCTGCTTAACCAAAATGCCGTCTGGTCATATTTATCAATTCCACAATTTTTTTCTCTGACATTCCAATGAATTATCTGCATATTTGATATTTTTATACAAATTGAAACGTTGTCTACATTCCTGTTAAATTTTCTTCGTCGGTTTACTCTTACGTTAATTTCCCTATTTTCATGATTTTAAAACACACTAACAAGTCTTCACTCAGGATACCCACCTAGCGCCCCTACCTAACGTGTCTGCACATATAGCGCCGGTAAGCGCGGTTGAAACCATGCTATGGAGCCACCTAGAACAAACCTACTTTTTCACCGGGGAGTTTTATCGGAGTAATGGCATATGTTGCATTAAATTACAACATAATTATATTTCTGTCTTTGGTATGAGTATGCATGGTAACTGCTTTAATGGAATACTTTCAAAACAATATTATTTAAAATTCTTAGCAGTAGACTACCTAAGACTGGAATCATTACCTAAATGGAAACAGTTGCTTTATTATTCAAAAGCCTCCCCAACTTATACATCTTGAGACATCTCTGCATAGTATCAGTTTTCTTCATTCTGACTTATCAGAGCATCTGGCCTCTTCACATGAAGACGAGATTCTAAAGAATAGTAAAGGCTGTGAGCCACAATGGGTTTTCTGTTATGGATAAACTATGAGTCTTTTCACCTAAGATCCAGTAAGTTCTTTTGTATTGAGGTAAATGTATTGAGGAGTGGGTGGGTGTACCGTAACATGCCCGATACAGTTTGAAAGGAGTGGTATCGATATGGAGAACTTTTTGAACACGCGTTTCTCTTAAACCAGTCATAAAAAAATCTAAAAATTTAACACATCGTCAATTTAATGGTCATCTTTTGAATGGTAACAATACAATTTGAAAAATATATATATACTTTCATCTATATTGTTTTAGGAAACACGCCAAACACTTGTTTTGTTCTTGGTATCATGTTTCCAGAGTGAAATGAAACATCTTTCCGAACCTCATTGGAACAAAACGACATAATTACACTTAGGTCTCTCAATATTGTAATTGTACAAAGTAAATTTTGGTTGATTTGAAAAAGTGTCTTGTTAATGAATTAAAAGGTTTATCTTGATTTTGATCTATTTTGGGGGGATTCTGTTTTAATTTTTTGAATACTTTTTTAAAATCAACCAAAAATTCCTTTGTATAACTATAATATTGAGAGATCTAAAAACATGTTGTATATGCTATTTTGTTCCAACAAAGTTCGGAAAGACATTTTATTTCATTCTCAAGCATTGGTAGAAAGGAGCAAAAACAATTGCACTAAAAAACAATTTTTTTTAACAAAAACAGTTATAATAAAATATTTCTAAATAATTTTCATATTAAATTGTTGTCAGTCAGTCAACATTACATAAAATACCGTGTTTTTACAGAGTTTTCAATGATTGGTTTAAGAGAAAAACAATGTTGAATTCAGTTCTCCATATCGATACCAATCCTTTGATTTCTTTTGTGTCTACTATCCAACTATTGAATGAGTGAATAGGGTATAATTAGTTCAGCTTCAGTACACTGCATGTGACAATCAATCGTCTTTTATGCCACACTTGTTTTGGATAGCTTGCCAATTGTCAATTCTTTAAAACCAATAAAAAAAGAATACACTCTTCTTTTTTACAACTGTATATTCTTTAAAATAAACTACACTTCATTATACTGTGTTGCTACACTCCCCTCCATAAGTTTGGCAACCTTTGCTCCCCCATTGAACTACGTGTTAAAACCTCTACCTTTGAATTTACTTAATTTACTTAACCTGCAATGAAAATACTTATACTATTGATGAAAACGTAATTTTATTTTATTTCCAATACCTCCACAATGGGGGAGCAAAGGTTGCCAAACTTATGGAGGGGAGTGTACATAATTGGGTTTAATTATAGATAAATTGTTCGTTACAAAACGGAGAGTAGTGTTACTTTCCCATATGATGTCACAACTTTCTTTTAAAATTGTACCAGGCAATATTCACAATGGAGAATTTTGAAGGGGCTAGAACATGTAGGGAAGAGGTGATCAAAGAACATTTAAAACGCAAGGAAAACAAATGCCTGTTGTGCCAAACTATGATCCAACGGACCCTGCTACCAATCAGGGACCCATACCACAATCCAAAACCACAATATGTTTAAACTGGGACATATTATTCGTACGTATAAATATATTTCAAA